TGAGAGCCTATTCCAGGGGAACCTTAACTAGTAGGTGAGCTAACGGGGCTCAAACCTGACGAAGTTGCTAACACGAACCCTAGCAAGAGCCGTGCTTCGCAGAATCTACCACCGGATGAGAAACGCGACCCACTGAGAAGATCCGGCGAGAAACTCAGTGGGCTGTGTCTGAGGGTTAATTTACTCGTCGAGCCCTTAGTCGCAAGCGACGGGTTCGACGAGAACGGTGACCGGTGCTTGAAGTACCTAAAAGCACCGTTAGTGGATCGGGAGGATCCGAGATGACGTGTTTGGGGCGACGTCGACTGCTTTCCATTCTTTCCGCAGGACGGGAATGTAGTTACCGGCGGCCACGATGAGAGGGTTCTCGTGTCGTGCCGAATTTCCACTAATTGTAATAGTTACAAAAAATACATTTTCATTAATATTACTAATGATTTTGGTACCCCGTGATCTGCAAGCGAATTAAAGTGTCCCTTCGTAGTACGGTAAGACTATAAAAATTTTCACACGTTTCGTCATGACTTATGCAAGTTCAGTGATCGCTCACACAGCCTACGCCCACATAAGCTTTCTGCAGGTCATCCAATCTCGTTTCTACAGAATAAATGTCGGAGCACGGTTATATGTGAGGAATGTAGATCTTCACGATGACCTACAATTCGAATCGATACGTAAATTTCTGAAGACAGCATCAGAACGCTTCATCGAAAAAGCAGCGCGACAGGATAACCCAACTTATCTTGGCCGACTCTAACTACATATCCGAACCAGGCGACGTGACAACGCAAAGTCGCTGTGACCCTAAACATATCTTCTCGTCCCTAAACATACCCTATCCTAGGGTCTTCAAAAACCAGTCATCATCCTCGTCCAACTGGTCAAATACGATGAGTTCGACGGGCAACCTAGCCCATGGAAACAACCCACTGAGTTTTTCGCCGGATCTTATCAGCGGGTCGTAATTCCGATCCAGAGGTAGATCCAGCGAAACACTGCGGTTACTAGCAGCTGGCCTACCCGTCCGCGCGTAGTTGAAATAGCCTCTTAGGCTACCAACGCCTAAGTAGGAACAAAAATATTGCCTCTTAGGCTACCGACGCCTAAGTAGGAAAAAATTAAAAAATATATTGGTAAACCAAATAACGTGGGCTACGTTGCGTTTTGAGTTCTAACCTTGTGTTTATTTTTCTTCTGTGATATTAAACCTATAAGTATATACATACATGATTGTATTGTTTAATAGGCAATTTAGAGGGAATCCATTACTAAGAAAATTGTTTTTTTTTTTCGAAATTGTCGATACGTTAGACAGACTATAATCAGACTTGCACAGTGGTGGGAGACTGTTCTGACAAAACTTACCTAAGATTGCCGAGTTAAGCATGTATGATGGAAAAATAATAATATCGGTTCAAGAGGGTTTTAGATTTCCATTTTTCTCATTTAAAAATAAACATTTAATTATACCACCAATTTGGACACAATGTAAGATATTTTTGGAATTTGTCAATCGTCATGTAGCAAATATTTGAAGAGTAGTGATATGAGGAGTAAATACGCTGATAAACTAAAATTAACTTAACTGTATTTATTTCGTTATCGAACTAACAATTCGTAATACAATTATTAACGTTTTGAACTGTAACTTCATTTAAAAAAAAAACGTTGTTTTTAAATAGCATAACGCATTTTTTTAATTAATTACTGTAACAAAATTAACAACATTAAAACAATCTTTGGTACCTATGGTAATGGTAATAATTTAGAGCTTTCTAAATAAAATGTTTTTTCGAGTTGGTCGCAAAGTTTCCGACACTATCCGCAACAAGTAGAGAAAGAAGATTCATTAAAATATAAAAGTAGGTGTTATTTTAAACAGTAATAGTGTGTTATTAATTTTATACGAAAATAAATTATAGAAGGAATAAATAGGTTTTTTTTATTGCTTAGATGGGTGGACGAGCTCACAGCCCACCTGGTGTTAAGTGGTTACTGGAGCCCATAGACATCTACAACGTAAATGCGCCACCCACCTTGAGATATCAGTTCTAAGGTCTCAAGTATAGTAACAACGGCTGCCCCACCCTTCATACCGAAACACATTACTGCTTCACGGCAAAAATAGACAGGGTGGTGGTACCTACCAGTGCGGACTCACAAGAGGTCCTACCACCAGTAAATCATTTGTAAAGTGCACGCGACATAAGCCAATTAGGGCGATGCAAATAATAACCTACATGTTTCTGGCATCACGCCCAAACCAAAAGCCTAGTTTAAGAACCCCATTAACAACGACGCATCGTTTTGTACATATAATTTAAAACGACTTTTAAGCATTATTCTTTTTTTTTTATTGCTTAGGTGGGTGGACGAGCTCACAGCCCACCTGGTGTTAAGTGGTTACTGGAGCCCATAGACATCTACAACGTAAATGCACCACCCACCTTGAGATATCAGTTCTAAGGTCTCAAGTATAGTAACAACGGCTGCCCCACCCTTCAAACCGAAACACATTACTGCTTCACGGCAAAAATAGACAGGGCGGTGGTACCTCCCAGTGCGGACTCACAAGAGGTCCTACCACCAGTAAATCATTTGTAAAGTGCACGCGACATAAGCCAATTAGGGCGATGCAAATAATAACCTACATGTTTCTGGCATCACGCCCAAACCAAAAGCCTAGTTTAAGAGCCGCAATGACATCGACGCATCGTTTTGTGTAAAACACAATCAGATTCAAACTTATTCTGCAAGTTATTATTCGACAAAATTTATCTACCTATTTAACTGCCTTACCTTTACCTTAGTTGGACTACCTGTGTTCTTTAATCATGTTAACATTTTTTGGAAACATAATGTGTTTCTTTAATTGGCTCATGTTTGTGAAAACATCCTCTGTCCCCCGTGTCTAGTTAAATGCTGTTGAAACATTGTTGATTAAATAAATAAATAAATAAATATAATTTAAAACAACTTTAAAGCATTATTCAATCTCAGTTTGACTTAAGACCGCCTACGCTAATAAATTCGTCTGTGGTACCAATCTCTAATCGTTGTCAGTTCACGGCAACTCGACTCCGGAAAATTAAGTGAGCCGTAAACCGCCCTAGATACATCGAAACATCGTATTATGTTAATCGCTTTTGCCAGTCGACTGACACGAACCAGCAAATTCTCAGATAAATTAACATTACTGACTTTATAAAGGCATTTCGAAATTTATCAATGCGCATCGTAATCTAAGAGGATGCTTAAACAATTTTAATTCATTTTTATAATTATGACGATTATAAATATAAAATCGGAATTCATGTTGTAGTACAATTTAAGGTTTTTGCAATAAACGCAGTCTTCTGTCTGTGAAATTTTCTATAGAAACGGATAGATGATAGTCGATGTAAAATAAACATGTCTGTTTAGCTCTACTTCCATGATATCGATTTTATTTTTAAATAGGAAATTGCTACAGAATGCCGAATGTATTTTATTGCAAGCATGAGTGATTTTATTGTATCCAACGAATGTAACCCTTTGCCCATTAAAAGTTAGTTAAGATTATTGTTAATGTCTCTCTGGATTCGTAGTAATAGGTGGGTTTGTGGTACCGCAGCCCATACACAGCCCACTGAGTTTCTCGCCGGATCTTCTCAGTGGGTCGCGTTTCCGATCCGGTGGAAGATTCTGCGAAGCACTGCTCTTGATACGGCTAGCGTTATCAGCGCCTCCAGTTTTGAGCCCCGAGAGCTCACCTACGCGTTAGAGTTACGCTGACATAGCCTCTCAAGGCTATCAGGTAGGAAAAGGTACCGCAGTTATTAAATATGATTTAAATCATAAAAATAATTTTCAAAAAGGTTCACTATTTACAAAAAAAAAAACTAATGTTTGAGTTTATAATAATATGTTGAATTGACTCTTATACTGACATGATTATCTTCACATGAATTACCATATTTATTTCAATCACATTATTACTTATTTACTTTTCCAAATAATACACATTCCAAAAATGCATCTACAAAATGAAGTAACTTTTTCCTGATATCTCAAGAGTTGAAGTCCAAGCCAAAGAAAAGCCTGTGCAGTCCGACTATTGAACTGAAACTATAAACGATGCAAAAACAATTATGGATAAATTAATTATTCATTATCCAATTTGCACAATAGATCTCTTTCGACAGGCTTGTAGGCGTCTATTGTTAATAATAATAATAATAATAATGTAAGTGATGTATTAATGTCAATAAGCTTAGCTCGAAATTCAGTTCCTTGATTGTTATGCTCATTAATGTTTCAGTTTGCATAAAATCATGATGAGATAATAACTGTATAAAAGCGAAACAAGATGGCACTTACTATCGTCATCAACATAACATTAATTATTAATTCATCTGAGGCTCTTCAAAGACAACTTTTTATAGGGTAGATGAATGATCGATCTATCGCTCTACCTGGTGTTAATCCGACGCCGGAGCCAATTAATCCCGCAAAAAAAATTAAAACCAGCGCGCACCCTGTGATATATTTAGAAATAACGGCTATCCTTTGAACCGGAACAAATAATTATTTCACGGCAGAAATAGGCAGAACAGTAGTGCCAACCGTACTATGGTAATTATATCAATAGTAATTATACAGATCGTCAGAATTTAATAAAGGAAAAACTAGGGAATTAATAACGACGCTTCAAAAGACCTTTTGATTATTAACCGAAATGACTGCTAATATATTATTATAAGATCCGAGATTTTCTGGCTGACTTAGCTCTAAGCTCAGCCTGAGGGGATGGGGCTTCATATCTTCATGTTTGAAGGATGTTGCACATTGCGCGTTAGTTATGTAAAAAACTACTGTTTTAAATCTACTCAAAGACTCTTTACAAGTGACAGCTACGCAAAGAGCTTTGTTTTTCAATATTCTCAATTATGCTGTACCTAATAACATAAAAAAACATAAATTACTTTGTACTTTCTTAGCATCTATGATTACATTCTTACCTTCTCGGTTACGGGTAACCCTGCAAACTCCTCCGAAGTAAGACAGTCGCCTTTAAACCAATTCGCTAAGCGACCAAGTTCTCCTAGCACGTTCGAAGGATTCAAAGAACTAAGCGCCATTATTTCGGATTAAAAAGGATTCTAATCAAAATTTTAGTGCATTCCCCAATCACGTCAAAACTTGTAATTCTATTAAACTTGAATTCGATAATACTTTAAATTCGAAACCTAACTTTACCTAGGAGTCGAAATGAATACTAAAATAGATATTACGAAATATCATTGTCAGGAAAAAAAATACTTTTTAAGAAAAGGTAATTTTTAGTAGCAATGTATTTTCGGTGTTCGCAAGAAAACGCGTGCTTCCCTTACGGTGGCGCTCAAAGGACTGTTACGGTAGAATCACAGCACTGATGTTATTCGAATTACTCGCTAAAATTGAAAGTCGTTCCTCCAAATTCGATTATGCCGTATCTTCAACCTGTAAAGCTCATTTTCAGATGTCAAAGGCCGCGACTAAAGAGCATGCGCAAGGGAAAGACAAAGATGAAACCATTTCTAACACTTCCTTGCGTCCTTTGCACCAATCGTACAGGCAATGGCTCATGACGTAAAATGAAAACATTACGGTGGGAGTGAACATTGTTGGAGCATCAACTGTATGTTTTATTCAGAACTTTAGTTACGATTTAGATTCCAAGAGCATCTGTTTGTCTCCATTTTCTAATCAAACATAATAATATGATTTTACTACATCTCCGTTTATTAATACGATTTTATCGAACTAAAGTAAAATTTATATATTGCTAGCCCGCACGGGTAAGTAATTCCATCCTGCCGATTTCTGCCGCGAAGCGCTCGTTCTTTCCAGTATGGTAGAGGGGCAGTCTTTATGCAATGAAAATGAGACCGGATCTGTTACTGTTTTTTGCCCGACCAATATTCTATTTTGATTTAAACTGAGGAGTTTTTATTAGCATTGCATTATCGTAGCGTGAAGTTTGTCATGTAGCCATTGCTTGTGAAAGTCAAATAACAATATCTGACTAAATTTACAGTTGAAATAAGGTCCTAAGCCCAGAATTTCCTTTTTTTTTTCCACCTAAGTTGGTAGCCTAGAGAGGCTATTCCAGCGGAACCTTAACTAGTAGGTGAGCTCACGGGGCTCAAACCTGACGACAATGCTAACACGAACCCTAGCAAGAGTCGTGCTTCGCAGAATCTACCACCGGATCGGTAACGCGACCCACTGAGAAGATCCGGCGAGAAACTCAGTGGGCTGTGTCTGAGAGTTAATTTTCTCGTCTAGCCCTTCGTCGCAAGCGACGGGTTCGACGAGAACGGTGACCGGTGCTTGAAGTACCTAGAAGCACCGTTAGTGGATCGGGAGGATCCGAGAAGACGTGTTCCAGAATTTACTGAAAAAAGCTTGAAGTTGATGGCAACGGTGTTTACGATTTGGCATTGTTCTGCCTATTTTTAACACAAAGGGTTATTCCTGTTTGAAGTTTTATCCTGTCCAATTGAAAGGAGACTACGAACTCGTGTCTCATCGGGGCAGGGGAGTAGAGGCGCTGGCTTCCAGACATCGGTAACCATTTCTAAGACGGGTGGTCTATACTTATCAACCAGACTAGATCAACAAAACTAATCGTTGATCAATACAGAGTAAAAACAATATCTAACAACTTGTGATGTAAATTAATACTCAATTCAATCATTGAACCCTAAACCAAAAAAACCTAAGCCGAAAATTATTCATTTGCCTAAAAATATCCAAAGTATAACATTCAACTGGTTCAAACCAGTGAAATTATTATAAGTTTTTATTTAATATACTAGTTTAATGTTGGGTGCCCGACTGGCATGAGACTCTGGGGTTGTCAGTTCCGGTATTGACCGGGGACACGTGTATTCCGCTTCAGTCTGGCACGCACTAATAGGGGGTGCGAATGGTGCGATAGATGCGCGGGCGCATATAGCGCGGGGTGGGTCGTCGCGACACGGACCTGAGTCACATGCCCTTTGGCTACTGTTGCCACGCGAAACGGAACGCTGCGTTACACTAGAATGCATAATCTCAACCATTTCAGATCCCACACTACAGTTTATAAGTTTTAACACTCAACTATATACACTCGCGAGCAAAAGTTTGGAATCACTTACTTGAAATTGGTTCCGCGCGATCTTGTGTACTAAATATTTTTGATAATCATAAAAATTTGATCATTTTAAAGGTTGAGCTCTTAACTTTAAGCTGATATCAAATTCATTAAAATCAAGCCAGTATTTAAGAAGCTATCTTGGATTAAGTAAAGGAATAACGAAAAAGACGTGTTTTAATTATTTGATACGTCGCGAGTTGCGGCCTATTGACCCCTAAAAAAGAACCTGTTATCGGATTTTCTTTATCAGTCGACTTTCAGACGTTGACCGGTACATATCTCCGCTACTTTTGACCCTTTACCTTGTACGACAATTGGGACAATACCTACAGAAGTAGCACAAATCATAGCCCTATTGCAAGAAGAGCTCAGCCAGCGGGTTGTCGCTCGTCGGCTCCAAATAAGCCAGTCCTGTGTTTCAAAAGTTTGCAAGCGCTTTCAGGAGACTGGTAGCGTTATCCCGAGACCAAGATCTGGACGGCGCCGGGGCATATCGGAGAGGAATGACCGTTTTATCGTGTTAACCTCTCTCTGAAATCGGCATTAACCTGGTGTCGACGTCCAGCAGGAGCTCCAAGATGTTCGTAGGGTAGCAGCCAGCAAATGGACAGTTCGTCGATGACTCAAACAAGCGAATCTGACTCCAAAAAGGCCTGTCACAGGCCCGAAACTCACGGTAGCTCACCGACAAGCACGCCTTCAATTTGCTCGTACCAATCTTAATTGAGAGGTTGAGCAATGGAGGCAAATCCTGTTCTCCGACGAGAGCAAGATGTGTTTGCACGGTAGCGACCGAAGAGGTCGGGTCTACAGGCGGCCTGGGGAGCGATTTGCGCAGTGCTGTTTCGCTGAAACAGTGGCTTATAGGGGGTGGCTCTTATATGATGTGGGCCGGCATTTCCTTCGACGGTAAAACCGAGCTTGTTTTCGTGCCTGGCGGGGGACGAGGAGGCGGTCTAACTTCGGACCGGTACATTTCCAATATTCTGCTGGAACATGTCGTTCCCTATGCGGGATATGCCGGTGACGACTTCCTCCTTAAGCACGATAACGCTCGTTGTCACACTGCCCGTGGAACAATTGAATACTTCGAAGAAGTCTATTTCGCCACATTGGACTGGCCTGCACTCAGTCCTGACTTGAATCCTATTGAGCACGTGTGGGATGAACTGAAGAATAGGGTTCGTTCCAGAACTTCTGCTCCTTCATGCCTGAATGAGCTGAAATCGGCGTTGATTGAGAAGTGGGAAGGTATCCCACAAGAATCAATTCAAAAGCTGATCAGGTCTATGAAGAATCGTCTTCGAGGAGTTATTAGGGCAAGGGAAGGGAACACAAAATACTGACATTTAATTTTAAGGCTAAATAAAATTTTTATTTATTAATTTTTGTTGTTTTATTCATTCATTATTTTTCCATATTTCCTTTTTTTCCTACCTCCTTCACTTAATCCGGGATAGCTCCTTAACTACTGGCTCGATTTGAATGAATTTGGTATCAATTTAAAGTTGACAGTTAAACCTTTAAAATGATGCGATTTTTATAATAATTAAAAATTTATTTAGTAAGCAAGATCGCGCGGAACCAATTTCAAGTAAGTGATTCCAAACTTTTGCTCGCGTGTATACTTTATTCAAACAGACTGACTGGTTTCGACGCTTCAAAAATTCGAAGACGAAAAGTTGGAGGAATTACTCAATCAAGACCAATGTCAGAGGCTAGCAGAAGTTGAAAAAACATTACAAGTAGATGAGTCAACTGTTTCAAAACGTTTAAAAGTTTTAGGAACGATCCAGAAGCAAGGACATTGGGTACTGTATGAATTGAAGACCGAGAGACATTGAACGGCGTTTTTTCATGTGTAAACTACTGCTTCAATAGCAGAAAAGAATAGGATTTTTGCACCGAATTGTGACTGGCGATGAAAAGTGGATGCACTACAATAATCTAACGCATAGAAAATCATGGGGTAAGCCCGGCCATGCATCAACATCAGTTGCAACACCAAATATCCATGGTTCGAAGCTTTTTTTCTGTATTTTATGGTATCAGCAGGGTGTAATTTATTATGTGCTACTCAAACCAAATGAGACTATCATGGGGGATTGCTATGGACTTCAATTGATGCGATTAAGTTGAACCTTAAAAAAAAAGGCCGTTATATGAGCAGAGACATGACAAAGTGATTTTGCTACATGACAGCACTTGGCCTCATGTTGCAAATCATTGAAAATCTACCTGGAAATGCTTCAAAGAGAAGTTCTACCCACCCACCGTATTTACCTGACATAGCCCTTTCTGATTTTCACCTATTCCATTCAATGGCACATCCCCTAGCTGTCCAGCGCTTTTATTCATATGAAGAAGCTAAAAAATGGATCGATTCCTGGAGAGCCAGAATGATGGAAGAAAGTAGTCACTAGCGATGGGAAATACTTTGAACAAAAGGTTTTAAATAAAGCTTTTATTTTGAAAAAGAAACAGCGAGAACTTATTCAGGGTCCTAATATAATTTTAAAGGTTTTATTTTTAAGTATTCAATGTCATTTTTTCATCATGGAAGCCATTTATAAATGGAGATTATTATTATTATAAGGGTATATTATTTATTTATTTACATTTAAAATGTATGACATTAACATTACACTTAGAATATTGGATTTTGGCACTAAGCAAATGGTTTTTTGACACTTAGACCTTTCTGATCTTTCACTTAAGATAATAGAACTATTTAGTACTTGCAGGGCCGAATGCCATGTCCTTATCTTCTGATTAACAACCTATTACATGACACCAGACTATTATAATGCAGAATCCTTTCACTTTAAAGACCCCTGTAGTCTATATTGAATATGTATATCGACTCTTGAAAGGCAAACGTGACTAAGCGACAATGCGTCAACTTTACAGTAGACTAAGTAATTTAAAGTTGAAATACCGGAAAAAAAATCTATTTTAACAAATCTAGCCGCAGGATTGAAATGATTTTAATAGACCTAGAATTTTTTTTTTGCGCATCGAATATGGTTATTTCCTATCATTTATGTACAAAGCAGTTATTGTCGCTTAGTCACATTTGCCTTTCAAGCGTCGATATGGGAAAATCCCTCATGTAATAAGTAAAAACATGCCTAAAAGAACTCAGTCCCTGAAGTAACAACCATTATACACTATATTTTCAGATTGTATTATATTTTTAATATGAGTCCAATTTTTATTTGTTTTCATCAGTTGTGCTGGCATGAAGTAAAATTCATTGGCTTAGATGGAAGAAGTACTTACACCTTGCTTAGTGTTGTAACTAGACCACAATAACTCACAAAAAAAAATAACAAAATTAACAATATTAAAATCTTTTTGAAGATTAAAGATTTCCAAATATTTAAATTACATGCAAAACATAGATATCCTTTATAAAAATTTGTTTTGTCAATTTGATTGATTTGACTTGCCAGTAAGCAATGTTTTGATATTGTTAGATGTGTACCTAGTCACTAGTTTTAAGGAGTCTGTTTATTTGGAAGTGTAAACTAATTAAAACATAAGTTTAAAATATGCTAATAATATGTTCTAGTAAGTTATACACATAATTTTAATTTTCATTATTTTTTCTACTTTATAACTTGTTTCATTTTAACAGTTGTGACAAAGATAATCAAATAATATAAATGATATGGTGGGCGAATGCAAATAGTTCTTACGCTGAAAAAACACAGAAAGTATTTATTTAAATACCTTGTAATTTACTAACCTTTGGGGTGATGTTGATATCCATTGCAGCTGTTGACTAAAATCGATACCTAATCAACCTTTATCAGTTCACTTTGTGACGTAAACACAAGGCACTCTAATTACAAAAAATCTTAACTGTTAATTTTACACTCAACTAATTTAATAATCAAACGATGCATTTTGTTAGAAAATATAAACCAGACTCGTTAGTCCACTCCATAAATTGGCACAAATAGTGACAGATTTCCGTTTACTTCAAAGAGCAAATTAATGTTTAGTGGTGGTTTAGTGTTTACTTGTCATAGACCTTAATACTCGTCCGTTGTTTACTGCCATTCAGTTTCAAAGAGTAGGGTTAATAGGAAGGAAGCTAGTTCGGGGCTCCATAGATTGTAGTTATAGGACTTATGAGCGACGTAGATTTGTAATTTGTACTTGTATTTGTTTGGACTTGGCGGGAAAGGCGTAACGTTGTTGAAATTGTTTTATTTGTTGAGTTTGCGTTTGTTCGGCGTAATCGTACAATAATTATGATATAGGAGCCGTTTTCCATCTCTGAAAGTACACGAATGTGCGAAAAAGAAGCAGAACGCTTGATTTGGCTTGTCAGACGCTTATCTAAATATGTAGTATTTAAATTATTGTCTCAATCAGTTTTTATAGATTTTTTTTTTATTTATTTCTTCTTTCCAATTTTTTTCTCTGTCATTTTTCTTTCTTCCTTTTATTCTTAGACTTCCTCCAAATTGCTTGAAATTTTTCTATCTAGATGTGGTAGTGGTCTTTTTAGTCACCTCTCTTCCAAAAAATCCATTGAAACTCTCAGTATATTCACACCTTTTTACTGAGACTAATAGTCTTATAACTAATATAACTTATAACTAATAAAGCTTTATTTGATTTGCATTTAGTTTTGTTCAACTTTTCATAGAACAGAAGGCCTTCATTTACAAAAGTTACGGCATGAAACCTATTATTTTTGCTCACTGCTTTTGTTGCCCTCATACATCTTATTTATTTTGTATGATATCCATGCTCACGCAGAAAGAACAGGTTACTGTAGCGTCGCACTTCGGAAATGTGAATATTATAGATTTTACTAAGTTAACCCTACAGTTTCAATCTATCTTATCTTAACTAAACTACCTTTAAATCATTATTACTATGAAATGTTTCGTGAACGCTTAAGTGAACTATTTAGAAAAATACATTTTATGTACACTTGTGCACTTTTGCTGATATTAAACTACTACCGCTGGACGTAACTTCTCGCCGTCCTCCAAAAAGTACACTGAAAAAGTGTCAGTAAATGACAACCATTTTCATACCCCAACTCATATCTTCTTATCTCATTTCATTTCATTTTAATACCACGTTTCACATTAATCAACTTCATTTCATTTCACTTCATATTAACTTAATTCATTTAAAAATAATATTTATAAATATAAAAGATTAGGTAGGTTGTACACCTTTGCTTTTCCAATTGGAAAAGTTAGTGACAGTGACAGCTGCTTGCCAACTTTCACTGACACTGACATATTGTTTTCATTTTGTTGGATATTGACTATTAATCTGTTTTTCGCATTAATTACGCTGATCATTAAATTAGTAACAATATATTATTCAAATACTTAATACTGAATAAGGCGTTAATATATCAACTTTACGCACCAATCACCATGACTTCAACAATGCCTAATGATACAAATGAAGAACGTCGTCGTAGAGTAAGTACCCAACTACATAATATGAATAAATATACAATGATGATCTCTATAAGATTATTTAAAGAATTTTATAGTCTGTTGGACGTTAATAAACAAGTTTTGTAACCGGTTCTAATATTTAATGTTTTCAATGATTTCATTTAAACTGAATATGATCTAATTTCCATCGAAATTTCTCGAGCTAGCAAGTATTTTTTCCGACAACAAAGAAAGTATAACGACCATCTAAAAGTACAGTTTGACTAGATATTGCAAATTAGTTAAAATTATCGTAATTAAAAAAATATGCTAAAGATATGTTTAATAAAAACTGATAAAAAGAAAGAAAAGCAGCTATGGCTTAAATGGATTACTTAACTTGACATATAAAAATTAACAATATTTGTAATCTACTTCAGCCAGTACTTTAATATTGTTTTCAAAACCATGAATTTCAATCACTATAGGTACTGCTAGGTCCTCTTCCAGCAGGTTTTCTTCGTGCTGATGCTACTTCTGACGGTGTGGACTCTGATTATGAAGCTGCACTTGCTTTACAACAACAGCTATATGGTGCTGCAGTATGTAGATTCTTTATTTTTAATTTAGAATGAACTACATAGTTTTTTGATAGAAACATAACTTAATTTATATATTTATAGTTTTAAGATGTCACAATGGCCTATGGGAGAGGTTTTTTTAAGTCATAACTCAGGAGTGTTGAGTTCATACCCTTTTATAAAACATGTTTTTGAAATTATAGAATCTATAATTGATGATATTTGTAAAAAAAGTTACTAATTTATGAAATAAATACTTAATCTGATTTTTACTAATATTGAAAAGTTTCAAAACAATATATAGTATGATCACAACTGTACCTATACTATAGCAAACAGATGCTGTTGGTTATAGTTTCAGGTGACTTTTTAGCGTGCTTTATTTCCTATTTAAGCTGAAAGCCTTGTGAAGCTATGTCAGCTTTGAGTGCTATTCAACCACTTTAGCTCTTTTGGTCTCAAGGTAGTGGCAATCATGTTCAGATTGATCATCTGTCTACTTGGAGCTGTAAATATAATGGTGATAAACTGTACTCATTTGATTTAATTATTTAATTTCATTGCAGAATTTTATTAGTGTTTAGGTGAATTTAGTGTTATTGGTGAGTTAGTGAGGACAGGCAGTACAATATAATTGAAAAAAGTTAAGTCTTCAAACCTTTTTCTCAAGATGGTGGATGACTATATTAATTTTGTCATGTATGTAGGCTCCTGTAACTTATCTATCACCTGTTAGGCTATGAGCCCTTTGTTCAACTATGTAGTAATAAAATTTTCCTTCAATATGTAAAGCTAATTATAATGGATGAAATGTTTCTCAGGTACCACAAAGTGGCCCTCCAATGACAGCGAGACTAAGTGTCACTATAGCTCAAGCTAAGCTTGTTAAAAATTATGGTAAGTATTTTTTGAAGTGATAAAAATTTATAGGTCCAAATTTGCCCAATGTTTATTACATTTACCACAATAGCATATGCACATATGTGCATGATTTATTTAAATCTGACACCAATAATCAAGATCAGAAAGCACATATTCTACATGCGTTTTTTTTAAAAATTGAATATGGTTCTGCTAATCTTCTTATCAAAATAGGATACCTCAATGAATTTTTTTCTTTTGTTTGTGATATCTAAGATAAGCTGTGACTACTTTTGACTCATATTAGAGATGTGTAAAGTGCTTTGTCGCTTGCATAAAGTTTGATTATAATCAAATTGAATTAGACTTAAAAATTCACAAAATAAACTAATCAACCTTTTTTTTTTAAAAGACGCAGACTCGATTGGTTAAATGTACTACATCCATTTTTATAAATCAACATGGATTCTCTAAACTATCTCAGTATTTGCTTAAGAAACGAGCAACATTTTTATTTTAACCTTGTATTCTGTTTGAGAAGTCATTCATGCCCTAATTTTTTATCTCTTACCTAATTCCTCCGTTTTACTGATTTGATTTTCTTTCTACTGCAAAACAATCTTGCGTTCCGTCTTAAAGGCGACCTTAACTGTTATTCTAAAGTAACTGTTTGCCTTGTAAAAAGACCATTTGGAGTGCAGAATACAGTAAACTATTAGTACCAAAAGCGATCATATATAAATATTGAATGATCCTCCTTGAAATATGAACATAGGACTAACTCGTATGGACCCGTATGTTCGTGTGCGTGTTGGACATTGTATATACGAGACTCACACTGATCCGAGCGGCGGGAAGACTCCGAGATGGAACAAGGTCATTCACTGGTATGATATTTTCTTTTTTTTTTTAATTGCTTTCGTTGGCAGTCTAACAAAAGGATTTAAATTCAATCAAGGCCAAGATTCTTGGCAATTAAAAAAAAAAAACTATGAGAGGTGACAATATTAGGTGATAGCTGACTAGATAGCATAGAGATTCGCAGGTTTTATGTATGGCACGCAGTGTACCTAAAGGGCGTCACACACGGCGAAGATACTGTAATATAATCAACATTTTGTATGAACACATGGTTAAGATAATATTCATTTGATAGTTCATACGAAATGTATAGCGAGCGATATTGTATGTTAAGATAAAATATTATAGTATCTTCGCCGTGTGTGACGCCCTTAACACAATAACAAATTAAATGACGCGTGGGGTCCATGTTCTCGTGTGACACATATTACGCTGCGCTGTATATTTCTTGAAACGACAGGTACATACATTATTATATTTCTTTTAACATGTTGGGGACCAAGTATTAATTTTTCACATCACAACTCGTTAAGTTACTAAAAATTATAACTTACATCATTATGTGCTTGTTTGCAATATTGGAAGAATGGGCTTTATGAATTTTAAAGCTAGTACTTTGATGGCAAAGCCAAAGAGGCAAGTTACCATGGATATTTGCTAGTGAAACTGACATCTGTACACTGTTTATACTATACGTCCTATACCGACAGTGAACTAGTAAACTGGTGGTTGAGTAAGACCGCTCGAGTAAGTACCAAGACTCTGTCTATTTCTGCCGCGAAGAAGTTGTGCATTCAAATTTGAAAGTGAGCAGAAGTTATACCATACCATTGAGACTTTGACCACTTCGATAAAGCGGCACGACACGAGAACCCTCTCATCGTGGCCGCCGGTAACTACATTCCCGATCCTGCGGACAGAATGGAAAGCAGTCGACGTCGCCCAAAACACGTCATCTCGGATCCTCCCGATCCACTAATTTTGATGATCACCATGTTGGTGCAACTTAATAAATAAATAAAAAATGAACTTTTTTTCGTCTCAGTCTCCTACCACCCGGTGTGAATACAATATATTTGGAGATCTTTGACGAGTGCTCATTTACAATGGACGAGCTGATTGCTTGGACCCACATCACTATACCGCAGGCCGTTTTGAATGTAAGTTAAAAAATTATTTAAAATTTCATTTATAATTCATTTGCATTCATTTATATAATTCATTATTCATTATTTTGCGGTAGGCAGCGGCTTGGCTCTGCCCCTGGCATTGCTGAAGTCCATGGGCGACGGTAACCACTCACCATCAGGTGGGTCGTATGCTCGTCTGCCTACAGGGCAATAAAAAAAAACATTTTCATTTATAAAAAAGATAATACAACGAACAAATAGACAATTTGTTAGACAGTTTGTAAGTCCGACAACTTTCATTATCACTCCTAACATATACGTTTTAAGTGTAATTTTGTGGTATTCCAATATCAAACTCATATGTTCTAGGGTGAAACTCACGAAGACTGGTACCCCCTGAATGGAAAACAAGGGGACGGCTTGGAAGGGATGATCAATCTTGTAATGAGTTATTCAGTAAGTACAACTCGTTTTTTGCTACATTTAATTCTAGTGTGTTCGTTTCGCTGGCTTCGTTGCAAGTCAAAACAAAGATAATATATTCTCAATACGTTTATCAATAGATTTGCGTTATCATGAAATCGATGAATTTGATTTTCCGGTCTTCGACAATTGTTTTATTGTGAGACAATATGAACCTGATTTCCCTTATAAACCTTATAAGGCTTTTATTTTTATTAATAACTAGCTGTACCCGTCCGCTTCGCTGGGTATTTGAAATTAACATTATTATTTCTCACCCCCACAAAGATTCTCAACATTAACGCCCACACAACTGGTGTAGGGATTCCAACACTCATATAAATATTAGGTCTATCCATTAAGGTACATGTATTTTCTATATGGATACCAAGTTTCAAGTCTGTTGGATGCATGGTTCAGAAGTTAAAACGGAACATCCGTAAAAAACACTAGATTTATATATTAGTATAGATTTTTCTATTTAACTTTTGCTCGCACTTTGACTAGATAAAGTGAGTACTTGAGGTTTATATTAACATTTCATGTAGCCATTACAGTAACATGATAAAACATGAATAGTTTGATCAAACTCAATCAAGTAGGTATATTTGCTTAATGGCTAAAGATAAGACGACACGTGTGTTCGCATCGAGCGACGCAACCAGGTACCATTTTTTAAAGGAAATATGCACCTTAAAATAAAATGAATGAGTAAAAATTGAGTGCGAAACTTTCGTTAGGCAACGGATTGGCTCTACCCCTGTCATTGCTGACGTCCATTGGCGACGGTAACCACTCACCATCAGTTGGGCCGTATGTTTGTCTGCCTGCATTGGCAAAAAAAATGCGCGAACATATCGTACGGTAATCGCTTTCAACTGGTCATACATGGCACTATTACAACTAATAAAAAATATCCTGAATAAAATATTTTCTTTGTTTACACATGGCAATATTACCACTAATCAAAAATATCGTGATTAAATGTCTTCTTTGTTTATGTCATTATAACATTAAGTTTTTTATCTTGGCTTTATTTAATATATTTTCAATCATCGTTGAAACAATTAATCACATAGAATTTTGAATATATTTTTTCCTACCTAAGCTAATGGTCTAAAGAGTATATATCATCGTCACCGGGCTAGTAGTTGAGCTCACAGGGTTCAAACCTAACCTAACACGAACTCCGCCGAAAGAGCCGTGCTTCTCAGAATCTACCACCGGATCAGAAACACGACCAACTGAAGCCGAATCTTATTGTTCGGACCTTTTATATAAATAAACTTAAGTTGAAATTGTCATTAGCGAGATGCAAGGATCTGTCAAATATCTTATGTTCTAGCATAGCTACCCGCTACGTATGGACACTTCCGTAGCTTTAAATATCTTGTAAGTCGGATTATCTGTTGTCATTTACACGCCGAGCCCTTCGTCGCAAGCGACGGCTTCGACGAGAAAGATGACCGGTAGTTTTGTAAGAGTTCGCTTAGAAGCGCGCATTGCACAGGTCGGTCCGGCGGCGGTAGCCTCGTTCCCGCCGGTGTTGGTGGTGCCGAGCACCGGCATGGGGTACGCCGCCATGCCCGTGTACCCCGCCCCTCAGGCGCCGCACCCACCCCCCGCTCAGCCCACACAGCCGCCCGTCACCGCCGAGCAGTTGCAGCAGGTGACGTATCCAAGAATGCCTTTTTCTATGTTAAAAACCTAACTACGTACAGGGGAAATTAATGACCGAAATGTATGAAGGATGTGATAGGTATAATAATAAAACCTTCTGCATAACCCACATTGCTACTGGTGGTAGGGTGTATTGTAATGCACGGGCACCACCATTCTACCTATTTCTGCCGCATCAGTAGAAGTTTAGGACAACCACTATTCTTCTTGCCCTTTTCCCTCTTTTTTTTATTTATTGCTTAGGTGGGTGGATGACCTCACAGCCCACCTGGTCTTAAGTGGTTACTGGAGCCCATAGACATTTACGACGTAAATGCGCCCCCGAGTGCGTATGCGATGGCGCCGATATAAGTTCTAACGTCTCAGTATAGTTACAACGGCCGCTCCGCCCTTCAAACCGAAACGCATTACTGCTTCACGGTAGAAATAGGCAGGGTGGTGGTACCTACCCGTGCGGATTCATAAGAGGTCCTACCACCAATAAAGTCGGTAAGTTCTGTCGGCTTGTGGTGGTTCCAATAATGAATATGTTCTATTCTAATCCACTTTTTATTTTAGATTGAAGAAATGTTCCCGAGCATGGACAAGGAGGTCATCAAGTCGGTTCTGGAAGCAAACGGTGGCAACAAAGACGCCACCATCAATTCGCTACTTCAAATGTCGGAATAAACTTAAATTATATTCCGTATATATTTAATGGTATCTAAAATTCGCGAATCATAGTGAAAGAATATTTTTCGTAATAATAAATTGTAAAGTTTTTAAACATTCACTACACCGGTTAAAATTTGAGCATATAAACATTTATAGAATAAATTTTCAAGTATATTTTAAATCTTTTTCAAATTCTTTTACTATGATTCTTAACGCTATCTATGGATATAAAAGTTAACGCGCGTATTTTCACATGACACATAAAAACATGCTTTATTTTATATAATGGAAGAAAAATGTTTATAATTACTAAGAAATTATATTTGAATACGCTTTATTGATGACCTCTAGTTAGCCAGATGTCACATTACACAAGTGCTCTCGTTGTTGCTACGTTTTATAATACAATTTATTGTAATTTATACTAATAAAAATAATAGCTAATGTTTTACAGATTGAAAATAATTAAGAGCTAAGCGATAATTAAATCTCGCCTTTATTTCATGAACGTGACGGTCGTCAGGACCACAAAAACTAAAGATTCGAAGTTCCGGAATTTGATTAATTAAGTTTTTAATAATTTAATTACTTAAAGCGAGAATACTGGTGTCTATAATATCTTCTGACAACAGGCTCAGATTATGTCAACACTCAACAATATTGTAAGTCCAAATATGTAGAAGAAAAACTACATAATTGTAGTTAAAAAATCCATTTTTACGAAATTCATTTATTTAAAATTATAAGACAATTTGTATCATAGACTTCATTCCTAGTAAGACTTAAATAGTTAACTTGGTATAAAAAAAAATATTACTGCGCTAATGTAATAGATGTAAATTTTTTTGTGAATAAAGAAAAATCAAATTGTACAAAATATAAGTAAATTGATTAACCGTAGTATTCTGATGCAACAATTCACCCTGCTTTAAAGTAGTAGTCAACAAATAAAATAGTTTGAGATATTATTAACGTAGTACAATGGTAACATTGCTGCAATTATATTTAAATTACACTGGTAACCCTAAACTTTATATTATATCTGTGGTGCGTCGGTGAGGGGGAATGCAGTATTTCAATATTGCATCGATCTCACAATTAACTTAAAATATACCTATATATGTTTGAAACAGAAAATTTAAGCAAACAAAGCTGGATCAGTTTTAAAATTTATATAAGTAAAAATAAGACTGCACTCGTATGTAGTTTTAGTGGTTGATAATCACACCAATATATTTCAATAGATCAAAATAAATATTGGATTTTATTGCGTAAAATGAACTGATCTCGCTTTTGATTTATATTAATGTCCCCCTATTTATTAGTTTGCTCAACTTTTATTTATTATGTACAGCATAAGTGCATACATTGATTGTTTTATTTTATACATTATATTACAATTTTGGCACTAAGGTATCTAAATGAAATGAAATCTATTATTTGCTATGTTCTTAGTTGAAGATATTGCCTTATATTTTTGTCTAAATTCCGGTATTCACTAACCAATGAGCTAGTGAAAAAAATATCAATAATTACAACACCAATACATGATCATGTTTATTGAAATGCAGACTTGTTCGTATGCAGGAAGCTTTCAGCTACATCTTGTGCCAAATGATTTGCCATCGACGCGACGTTATGCTTACTGTATTATTATTATTGTTGTTATATTTATTTTCAATTTTTACATTTTATTACAAATACAATATTAATTAAGTAAAGGTTTTTTTATTTAAATATCGTTAAGAACATACAATTTCTTACTGAACGAAACGAGTATAAATTCTTATCAGTAAGGGCGCGTACACAGAACGTCCGATTTTACAGGTTCCTTTTTAACGGATCCGTCGCTATAGTCCAAGATCCCAGGGCCCCCAGACGTTACGTATTTTCTGACGAACGAAATGTGCCCGATTGCGTACTGTTAGTATGTACTAAGAACGCATGCCTACCTGCTACCTTGCTTAGACGGCCAATTTTCAGGTATCAGGTACTCAAGGTACATAAAATAATTACCTACTTCACGTAAATTCTGAAAGCTGATTTTTAAATATGTCCACCAGACAACTATTTTAAAACCTCTTACAAAAAGACAGACCGATCCAATAGGCCAATCATCCCCTAAATTCAATTTAATACCTCTGTGGGTAAGAGCGCGAGGGCATTGTCCACGCGCATGAGGCTGAGTGAGACATGTATGAGGATATATTGACTTCTCTGTCTCTCTTTCAGTTGACTCATATCAATTAATTATTAATATTAAAAGAAAATCAGATAAAAATTAAATAATGCATTCACTAGTTCGTTTTTTTACGTATCGACGGTTCTACAAATCGCCTTGTATGAATGTACTGAATGTAACTGTAATGTAATGAATCTACTAGAGGATTTAAATATAGAAAGAGACTTGTGTACAAATATTATATTTTTATACAAAACAGTTACAGTTTACAGTGATTTAATTAAATAATCATTTACATTTACCGAAAATGGTAAATAGTGAGAATCTTTGTTTAAGTTCCCTTATAAATAATAATTAGATGTTATGACGTGCGGTTGCTTATTGTCTGCCCAGAATGAAACACAATCTACAAGATATAAATTTATTTCACATTTTTCTTTTTCTTTTTCTTCGGAGCCATATCTTCTGCTTCCTGCTTGGCCTGCAATTTGTTGGCACTCTGTTTTATTTTAGTAATCTTTCCTATAACATTTTTAAAGCGTTCATCTTGTTTCATTAGCCTTTTGTTGACTTTCTTTAGGCCTTCTTTGATAGTGCTATCGATGTCCTTGTCTTCGCAGGGTCGCAGGCGTTCCTCGGTGTTCACATCTGATTTGTCTTCGTTCATTTGGGACTGTATATTCTTAATTTTAGCGAGCTTCGCTTTCTTCGCGGCTTTAATACGTTGTCTCCGCGCTTCTTCTAACCTGTAAAAAAAAATCTTACATTAATCACTTGTAATGCCTATTAGTTCATTTCATTTAGTGTTTAAGCCTCCGGATGCAGAAGGTTACCCGTTATAATGTAAAGTTTTCAAAGACTGACGGGAACGCGAGGAGTGAAGTTGTGTGATTTGTTTTATTTTGTCTATTTTGTGTTTCTTTAGGTTTAAATGTGTAATGACTGTGGTATATTAACTGTTTAATATCTGTGAAAGTGCACAAATGTGGGAAAATGAAACAAAGCCGCTGAACGTAACTTCTCGGGATCCTCCAAAAAGTCGTCGTGGCCTAAAGGATAAGACGTCGTGCATTCGTATGAAGTGATGCACCGGTGTTCGAATCCCGCAGGCGGGTACCAATGTTTCTAAATTTTTTTATTTTTTTTTTATTGCTTAGATGGGTGGACGAGCTCACAGCCCACCTGGTGTTAAGTGGTTACTGGAGCCCATAGACATCTACAACGTAAATGCGCCACCCACCTTGAGATATAAGTTCTAAGGTCTCAGTATAGTTACAACGGCTACCCCACCCTTCAAACCGAAACGCATTACTGCTTCACGGCAGAAATAGGCAGGGCGGTGGTACCTACCCGTGCGGACTCACAATAGGTCCTACCACCAGTGAAATACGTACTCAACAAATGTTCACGATTGACTTCCACGGTGAAGGAATAACATCGTGTAATAAAAACCAAACCCGCAAAATTATAATTTGCGTAATCACTGGTGGTAGGACCTCTTGGGAGTCCGCACGGGTAGGTACCACCACCTCGCCTATTTATGCCGTGAAGCAGTAATGCGTTTCGGTTTGAAGGGTGGGGTAGCCGTTGTAACTATACTGAGACCTTAGAACTTATATCTCGAGGTGGGTGGCGCATTTACGTTGTAGATGTGTATGGGCTCCAGTAACCACTTAACATCAGGTGGGCTGTGAGCTCGTCCATCCACCTAAGCTATAAAAAATAAATAAATAAAAAAGTCCACTGAAAAAATCTCAGTAAATCACCACCATTTGACTGAGATTATACTTCATCCCATTTTATTTCATTACATTAAAAAAATTAAAAAATTGAATTAATTAAGTTTTCATTAAAATTAAAATAAGACGACCTTAAAGGTCTTAGTTAACAGGTCATAAAAACCCTTGAAAAAAATAAAGTTTTTATCTTTGATAATCAAAAATCAATCAAAATTATTTAACTCTAATGTAGTGTATTGTAAATGTTTTTTATCGGGTTTAATTTAATATTTACCCAAGACGCAGAAGGTTCGATCTGTGCCCCTACTGAACATTGTCTAACACAACTTTTCATTACGTTATATAAATCTTATATACCTACATTTAGGTACTTCTCTACAAACGTTAACGGTAGTAGAATATAACTCCCTCTACCACTACATCACCCCTCCCCCGTTTTTTTTCGACGTCTAGCTAGATAAAATTGTTCACAAAATCGTTCGAGATGTCCATTTTTTCTTTTGGTATGCGGGAGGGTCGCAAATCTGCACTTGTGGTTTGCAGCAACAAGCCGCAATTGTTAAATGCACCTATGTTTTAATTCCATCCAATATTTTCGAAGGTATGTTTGAAGACACACCTCTAACGACGTTGTTAACTTACATTTTATTTGTCTAAAACATTTAAGAAAAAACATACCCTGTATTAACGAGGTGGGTGGCGCATTTACGTTGTAGATGTCTATGGGCTCCAGTAACCACTTAACACCAGGTGGGCTGTGAGCTCGTCCATCCATCTAAGCAATAAAAAAAATGAACATTGCCGATATTCTCAAGATGTTTTTTGAAATATTTTTAATTTCATTTATTAATCTGGTAACATTGGTTAACCAGGTTGTCTGTTGAAAAGAAAATTAAAGTGTCTAGTTCCAGTGGGTAGTGGCTTGGCTCTGCCCCTGGCATTGCTGACACTCATGAGCCACCACTCATCACCACGTGAATTGTATGCTCGTCTGCCTACACGGGCCATAAATAAAAGGTAGGCCGAGTAACGAACCGGGTTCACGCAAGCTATACGGAGAGCACGGACCCTTGCTTTTGTAAGTCAACGGTTGATGATAAGTGTTACAGATTACTGGTGGTAGGATCTCTTGTGAGTCCGCGCGGGTGGGTACCACCACCCTGCCTATTTCTGCCGTGAAGCAGTAATGCGTTTCGGTTTGAAGGGTGGGGCAGCCCTTGTAACTATACTTGAGACCTTAGACTTATATCTCAAGGTGGGTGACGCATTTACGTTGTAGATGTCTATGGGCTCCAGTAACCCCTTAACACCAGGTGGGCTGTCAGCTCGTCCACCCATCTAAGCAATACAAAAGGTTGTGATATTCACCCCTGCTCCATAAACTCCGGATTGACGCCAGCTTGGATCCACCTCTTGACCCTGTAGCTGCGTTTCCGCTGTTCAAACTGTTCGTTGTCGAGCTGCGCCTCTTGTTCGCGGCGCGTCACGCTCACCGTCGTGAACACCTTCACGGCTTCGTCGTCTGAAACATTATTTTATTTTTTAAGGTTGGCAACATGTATCGTAACAACACAGTTCATTTGGCCTAAAGGTATACCAGGCGATAAACACAAAAAAAAACAACACAGTTCGAAATGTGAATTGAAAACCTTCACATTCTAAAATAATTGAATCCGAGTGATAATTACCAGTGACGTGGTTTATTTCGATTTGATTTTTTTTAAGATCCGAAACATTCGTGACTCCTTGACTTCAAAGATTCGTGACTCCTTGACGTGATTTCCTTTTAAGTACGTCACATAAATAATTGATCAGCAAGAGATACAACTGGCATAATTATCAGGACATATAAAAAGAGGTTAAAGGATGGCTGTTGCTGGCTACTGTCCAGGGACGCCATTTCTACGTTTATATTCCACATGGTAAGGGGACCGGGCGAACTGAGTCCAATTACGTGTCAGCTGTCAGATCGCATCAATACTTACCATCTAATATAATGCAACAAGTAAATGCAGTTTAAAAAAACCGCACAGTCGCAAACAGAACTAAACATATTTTTTCTGTAATTATATTAATTAAGGTATTAAGTTAATTTAATAAAGTTATTGTATTGTCATCGATCGTTGGTACGCGTTGAAATTTTCAATTTTATCAGACGTTTTGGAATTAATTAACCTTGGAAGATTCTATTAAATTTGTGATTAATATGGAACAAGTTAATTAAACCGAGGTGAAAAAAAATAAAAAAATTATCTTACGATAGCAGTCCTACAGCATATCGCTTTACACGGCATTGACTATACATACGAAATACATTGAGCATACCATGAGATAGCGAATTTATAGCTCGTAGTATCGCAATGGGACATTTTGCGTAGCTTTAGACCGACGTTAGCAATAACTAACTCACCGTCGATTTTGTATTCAGTCAGTTTAGTCTTGATCTGATCTTCGATTTCTCCGAGGCGCAGAATGTCGTAGGGTGTTATCAGAGATATCGCCATTCCGCTTCTACCTGCTCTGGCGGTTCTGCCGACCCTACAAAATGAACACAGTATATATTTAGAGTAATTATTTAAAAAAAATATTTCTAAATTTTTTACCTCAATTCTTATTTATTTAGTACATTGTTAGCAATACCCTATTTTTGTGTCAAGTATGTATTAACGTTTCATTTAAAAACAATATTGTAGAGAATTAAAAATAAATGCATTTTTTACTAAAAATATGCGACGAATGTTTCAGAATGCACACTTAGGCACCAAAAAATTTATTAATAAAAAATGTGCTTAATTTCGAATGATTATATAGGACACATTTTTGAGCAATTAAAATTTCGAAAACATGTGTCGAGATGGATGGCGAAATATGTTTTTTTTTATTGCTTAGATGGGTGGACGAGCTCACAGCCCACCTGGTGTTAAGTGGTTACTGGAGCCCATAGATATCTACAACGTAAATGCCGCCACCCACCTAGAGATATAAATTCTAAGGCTTCACTCAGTATAGTTACAACGGCTGCCCCACCCTTCAAACCGAAACGCTTTACTGCTTCACGGTACAAATAGGCAGGGTGGTGGTACTACCCGTGCGGACTCACAAACGGTCCTACCACCAGTAAAATGTGGTGCCAACTTCTATGCTCATATATGTGTGTGTATATTCACTAACCTATGTATATATTCCTTAGGCTCGAGCGGTAGTTTGTGGTTGACGACGAGGTCCACGGTTGGTATGTCCAAGCCCCTAGCGGCCACGTTCGTAGCCACCAAGGTGCATTTGAGGTTGCTCCGGAACTGCGCTAAAGCTGCCACGCGTTCCTTCTGGCGCATAAACCCGTGAAGACAAATATTGTCCATCGATATCGCGTTTAACATCATCGAAAGGACTTGGCATTCTCTAGAAAATATAAAAATCAACTTAAAACTTTTTTTTTAACTAATCAATTCGACATCTGTCGCGTGTGGGATCCTACTCAAATCTAGGCACGTGCCTAAACTCATAATGCATTACGTGGAGATGTCTTGGTTGGGACCCATGGTAGACACCTAACTAACATCTTCAAGTTTTTTTTTATTGCTTAGATGTGTGGACGAGTTCACAGTCCATCTGGTGTTAACTGGTGGTTACTGGAGCCCGTAGACATCTACAACGTAAATGCGCCACCCTCCTTGAGATATAAGTTCTAAGGTCGCAGTATAGTTACAATGGCTGCCCCACCCTTAAAACCGAAACGCATTACTGCTTCACGGCAGAAATAGGCAGGGTGGTGGTACCTACCCACACAGACTCAATAGCATGGGTTAATGCGGCATTGAAAAAAAAAAACTGTTACATAATTTGTATCTTCATATTTTGTAAGTACAGAAATAATTTATTTTAAACAAATAAAATTAAAATACTTTACTTTTATCAAACTTGATAGCATAAACATTCCACAGATATAGCTGGGACCCACAACTACAACAATTCCAATTTAATAATATAATAAAAAAACTAGTTTCTATTGGTTCAGACAAACAATACACAGTATTAGTAATTCATTTGATGGTCCAGTGATCATAATCGTAAGTATTAACCAATGGATTCCACTGTGTGAATGATATTCAGTAGATTATCTTAGCGCTTCCAGAACACATCACAAGAAATTATATCTTCTTACTCACTTCTTTGTATCAGTAAAGACAATGATATGAGAACTTGGTTTTGTTTCTCGATATTTCCTCAGAGTTTGTACAAGGTATACATCACGGGCGTACGCAGGACAAACGACGTAACGCTGGTCCAATGTCGAAACTGTTAGTTGTTCATCAGTTTCTTTCCATACAAGAAGTTTCTGTGCCAACACAATAATACAAAACTAACTATTGTATTAAGCACGGTTTTGATAAACAATGAATTTTTGTCTGAAATCTTAATCGTGTTAAAGAGGATATTTTACTCTTAAAAATTTAGTATTACGGTCATTTTACAGCAAAAACAGGATCAGGTGGTGGCTGTAGCTGTGTGCTATAGTGTGTGCTTGCATACCTTATCACAGCTATCTTTTGGGTTTCATATTTGAAATATAGAAAGCAAAAACATAATATTAAAATATAATAAATAATACGTTTTCTAAGAAAATAAGTCTGTAATTACTAGTTGTAGGGTGTTGTGTAAGTCCACTCAATTAGGGACCAACAACTTACTGAGTGAGGGACTTCAAGCAGTCATGCATTCCAGTTTGAAGAGTTAGGACTGGCGTTATGCTATACAATTGGACCTTGAACTCATGTCTTACAGTGGTATGCAGCATCCAGATTGTGATGTCTAGGGACTCCAGTAACCTCAATACAAAATATCATACAATTTCACATAGTACCTGTATAACACAAAAAGTGAAGGTAAACACTATGATATTCTTATATGATTTTAAATAACTTACATCATTATTTAAGGGTAATAATTTCGATTCACGCACATCAGGTGTAATGGTAGCTGAGAAAAGAAGATTCTGCCTCTTAGATGGTAAAGCACTGAATATTGTTTCTAAATCTTCTTGAAAAGATTCACTGAATAACCTGAAAATTAAATATGTCTTATAAGATTTTTTAGTATGTTCTTTTTCCATTTAATGTGTTACATGTTCAATGTATATTAGTAACTAACACAATAATAATATTACATTTTTTTAGTTTTAACTATACATAGTAAAAACATTATAAATACTGATCTTAATATCAATTTAATGTTTCTTTGCATATTTGTTGATTTATTTATACATATATGTATTTACTTCACTCAACTAATTTTTACTCTGACTTTTTTTAAATTCTTTATTAGAGCCATACACCTATTAGGTTAAGTTGGCTTACATTAACTTTAAGGAAATAGAAAATATCCAAATATCCATTGTGCCAGGATATCTCACTTAGTAGTAGGGTTTATATAAATAATATGTACGCTTCCACGCTTTGGTATTATTGGGCTTCTTATTTTCACATGAAAGGTCTGAATGGTCTGATCTTGCAGCATCTACAAGCTCATGAAACTACTTATAACAAAATGGGTTAAAAACATTAAAGCAATCAATAAATGGAAAATTACCTATCAGCCTCATCCAGAACCAAATATTTAATTTTCTTTAATGAGAATGTATCACAGCCTGATATGTGATCTGCTAAACGACCTGGCATCGCTACCACTATATGTGGTCTTTTAGCTAATTTCAGTGACTCTTCTATTTGATCCGATCCTCCTGTCACTATGCAAACTCTGAGTTTTAGGGGTTGTCCTAAAATTGTGAATTGATCTGCAATCTACAAACTGATAACTAAGTATACAATTTAATTATTATCAAGCACAGTTTAAGTAGCAAAAAACTTTCTTAAACTTAGAAATTACTTATTAGATAAGTTTACTTTTTACATTGGTAGTTTATTTAGTCTGGGTTGACTAATAAATAGACACCAAGTCTGTCTTAAAAAGGCACAAAAAAAACATTATTGGTAAGTTTTAAATTGAACTAATTAAGAAGATTTCAAAATGAACTAATGTGTAGTATTTGAAAAACCAAGAAAAATCAAAGTATTTATGAAGAATACACATGTAAATTCTTGACTTTCAAAGCCAAACAAACCTGTCTTGAGAAATTTAATAGTTGAAAGCCATTTAATGCTTATTTTTAAGGGAGCGGGCAAGTATTTGTCAAAGATTCCATTCATTTTGAAACATTTTCTTTAAAGATATGTGGAATATTTGAATTTAGAAATAGATAGATATTTGTTGTAACATTAAAAATAATATTATTACAAGATAGCCGATAAGATACCTGATAAGCCAGCTCATGTGTTGGAGTAAGAACCAATGCAAAAATCCCATATGGATCCTCGGCCAAGTGCTGGATAATGGGTAGGGCAAATGCAAATGTCTTTCCTGACCCAGTTTTGGCAGCTCCAATGCAGTCATCACCAGCCAATAATCGCGATATACAGCCTTTTTGGATTGGAGTTGGTGTTCTAATACCTAGCATATTACATATTGTTTTTTTTTACGTAGTTAAATGAATGTAATTTAGAGTTAAAATAGGGGACAAAATTATAAGTCAAATGTTAAAGGGTAACCCTGACAACGGTTTCGAAGAAAGCCAAAATACAAAGAAAAAGTGCATCAAATTTTGTGAGCTTGAAGTTATTTTTGTGTTCCTATACCATTATGAGTAACGTACAGATGCTACAACTGAAGATAATTTTTTTCAAAATTAATGGTACTTACCCAACGTAAGCAATTGTTTAATAAGCCATGGTTTTACTCCTAACACAGCAAATTTCTTTCCATCATTCTCGGTCATCTTTACTTAATGTTACAATATAATCAAGCATTCAATCTAATAATATAATTATCAATCAGCTTAACAGAATGATTATTTGAATCAGCTTATAACAACAATATTATGGAACAAGGATAGAAAAAATAACCTGAAAATAACAAATACCAACAAATAAATGCCAGAAAATTATATCACATGTTGGTTCTCGTGAGGTCAAATAAATAAGTGTTTAAATAAACTGTATAATCTATGCTTGTCAGTGCTCTCAACTTTAAAAGGACTTTTTGGCGGGAACGCGAGGAGTGAAGTTGTGTGATTTGTTTTATTTTGTCTATTTAGTGTTTCTTCAAGTTTAAATATGTAATAACGGTGGTTTATTAACTGTTCAATATCTGTGAAAGTGCACAAATGTGGGAAAATGAAACAAAGCTGCTGGACACAACTTCTCGGGATCCTGCAAAAAGTCCACTGAAAAAATCTCAGTAAATGACCACCATTTTACTAAGATTATATTTTATCCCATATCATCTCATTTCATTCAACTTCGTTCCAGTTGATTAATGTCTCAAATTAATCATCTTCATTTCATTTCACTCCATATTATCATTTTTCATAAAAATAAGAATATAAATTAAAATAACATGATTTAAAGGTCTTAGTTACCAGGTCATAAAATCCCTTAAAAAAAACTCAACTTTAAAAATGTTGTGACACTGGTCACTCACATGCGCACGAATACGCAAACCCGCAAGTGTGGGACGACATTTGCAAATGATTATCCAAAGTTTTCGCTGCATTCGTGGTTTTCCAAGCTGTGTCGGTTTTTTAACAGACATCAAAGCGCGCGAACCGCGAACCTTCGCGTAGTCTCCCACACATTCGTTTGCCCAGTTGCGCCGACGATTGCGAAGGTAACGGACGTATCGCCATTTTCATAGTTCGTGACGTCTACTGTATAGCGTATCTTCATCAAAAGAAATCCCACAAAAACAGCATCGCTGTTAATGATGTCTGGGAAAGAATTCAAGACTCTTTTTCTCTTCAATGTTCTATTGACGAATTCAAAAGGAGGAGAAATTCGTGAGACATTCGTAAACAAGTGTAGGAGGAAGCGCAAACGGGTTCGCAAATTGAGTATGCGAACCCATTTGCACAGCCGCTAGGTTTGCGAATGAATGTTTGACGGCCCTTCACATGCGCTTAAACATTCGTACAATGTACGAATATTTGCGCGCATGTCAGTGGCCGGCATTACAGTGTTTCAGTAGATTTTAGGTAGGTACATTGTACGGTTCGTATGAAAAAACAGTGGCAAAATTACAGTGTTATAAATTTAAAGAATAACTGAATGTGATTAGAATTTTTTTTTAATTAACGTTACATACTGTATCATGTCATAAATGAGGGGGTTTCCCCTTTCACACACTAGTGTTGTAGCAGAACAGAGATAATGCTGTCAGATCCTGCATGATAATAAAAATGTAATTATTTATTGTAGAAATTTGACTATTTTATTTTTCGCTGAACAAGTTTACAACAGATACTGATGAATTTGCTGTCATGAATTACAGTGTAATATGAATATTTCTACAGTGGTTGGTAAATTACATGAAATTACAGTGTTTTTACCACTATTACAGTGTAGTTGGGAACACTGGTTCTGTTTGTATTATATATACATATATGACTATTCTATTGTATGTATACACATAGACAATATAGGTAATTAATACATTTGTCAAAAAGATGAAATTTTATAGCGTGTAAGCGAGACCTTTAATCCAAGTCTTATATTTTCTTCCTTTATAGATTAATCGAAAGACGATAAAACTTTGTTAAAATGTAACAAAGTATTTAAAAATGTTCCTCTGTTGCTTTAAAAATATCAAACATTTTTGAAACTCGATATTTTATAAATGGAAACATCAAACATCGCCAGAAAAGTATAGGAACTTCCAAACAAAATTGAAACATCGTACAAAGTACCTAGTGTATTCATAAACGTTTCTTAATAATGTGTGGTATAATTTATTATGTTTACTCATAGCTAGTACCGCTGGTCGTTACTTCTCGGGATTCTCTAAAAAGTCCACTGAAAAAGTGTCAGTAAATGACCACCATTTTACTGAGATTATATTTCATCCTATATCATCTCATTTCACTTAATTTCATCCTAGGTGATTAATGTCTCAAATTAATAATCTTCATGGTAGTTTTCCAATTACAGAGCATAATGCGAGTCAGTGACGCACAATGCCAAATTATGCTGAAGCTTAGTTGAGCATTATGCCGCATAATGCGCTCTTGTGCTGTAATTGAAAAACTACCTATTTCATTTCATTTCAGTCTATATGATAAAAGGTCTTAGTCACCAAGTCATAAAATCCCTCAAAAAAAACAAATAAGATATGACCTAAAGGTCTATGTTACCATGTAAAAAAAAATTAAAAAGTGCATATGTCAATTGTCATAAATTATTTAAACACTGCTTAGATATTGGGAGCCGGCGGTAGTGTGTTTAATCATAAATATGTTTTATCTATGAGACTAATAGTGCTTAAACTGCTTAATATACGAAATCCGTATCTGCATTTAAATTGATTAATACTTGCTAGTTTCATTAAAAATATATCATTCCGTAAAAAAAATACAAAAGGTTATTTATAAACTATTTAAATTAGTGATTGAACAATTGAATATACCTTCAATACCAATTTCATAAGGTAAGCTTTACTATTATTGATTTAAATATGTAACTATAAAAAATACATTAAAACGGTATGAAAAATTCAATTAAATTTGACTAAACTTTGGAAAACGTTACTTAGTTATTCATCAAGAAGTTTATTTACTGTACAGATAATTGGGAATAATGCCTATTTAATGTACAACTGCGGCATTATTATAATTTCCATTAAGACATGATTTTTCAAATGTGGTAACAATACATTGTGTCATTGCCCTTTAGCCTGAATTAAATGTAAGGTGATAGTTTTGCTTACTAGACGTTCTGTTACATATTTTATTTAAAATTGTTTTGTGCCGTGTAATAACGCATCCACACAAAAATGTCAATACCTGGTGTAAACAGGAGTTTTTTTGCAACTAAAATGCTTAAGGGGCCATTCCAGCTATACTCTGATAGGATTTTTAATACTGTAAAGAAATTGTAACGTATCCAGGAAATATTAGAAATTGACAAAGCTAATCAAAAAACCTTAATATTTCAAAATTTTCTGATTTTTCTCATCTCAATCCTATAGTGCTTAATAAAACGCTGTTAGGATTGTAATAGCAGAATTAACATAAAACGCATCTTATGTCTGTCATTATCTAGTATCTCTGAAGATTGAGATTGTGTTTTAGCTTGCATAGAATATCTTACAGTTCTCTCTGTTTACTTAACTATTTATTATTTAATAATATGGTAAAGTGCACATGTGGGTTATGTTTATTTAATAGCTTAATAGCTAATAGCAATAGAGAAATAGAGAGCTAGAGAAATAGCAATTTAATTGCCATAGTTAAAGTCTGTATCGTTCAATGGATTACAACATTACAAATTGAGGGCCACTTCAAGAAAGAGGTATTTAGTGTCAACTACTATAATTTACTATTTACATAGTACTTAAAAATAGGAGAATGGAGTACAAGAAAAAGATACTGCCTTTAGTCGTTATAAAAATTGTATTGATTTATACACATATCTTACATTTTATTTATTTATAGCATTGATTGTTGGATGAGCTCACAACTCACCTGGTGTTGTGGTTACTGAATCCCATTAGCCATCTACAACGTAAATGTGCCACCCACCTTGAGATAGGAATTCTATGGTCTCAGTATAGTTACAACGGCTGCCCCACCATTCAAACCCAAAAGCATTACTGCTCCACAGCACAAATAGGCGGGATGGTGCTACTTACCCATGCGAACTCACAGGAGGTCCTACCACCAGTAGTTATGCAAATAATAATTTTGCGGGTTTGATTTTTATTACATGATGTTATTCCTTCACCATGGAAGTCAATCGTGAACATTTTTTAAGTACGTGTTTGTATCTAGTGATGCACCGGCTACGTTTTATCTATCTATATCTAAATCATCTATTATCAAACCGTGAGAACTTAGTTGCCCTGGTAATCAAATAAGTCTACATTAATTGTTAAAGTGTTTTATAAACTTTATTTGTTACAGATTATTGAAAAGAAAATGGGTGTGTTTAGAAAATTTGTTTCGCATGCATTTAACAATGGAAAAATTGGTATGAAGAGCAGCGGAAAATCTGTAAGTTGATATATGGTCCTGTCAACTATCTAACTAGATTTTATTCTCTGTAGCCTTAAAATTACCACATTCTCTGTCAATATATTCAGACATCTGAATAATATGAAAAAATTTGCTTCTTAGCAGATTAATTAAAACCACGGTAATTTAAAAAATAACTACACACCATTTAAATAGTCTTCTACAAAAGTCTAAATGTATGTACCTTTATAATTACGATTTTATTAATTATCTTGTCTATGTATCTTCTAATGTATGTATATTGACCTTGTAGGCAGACGAGCATATGACCCACCTGATGGTAAGTTGTTACCGTCACCCATGAACGTCAGCAGTGCTAGGGGCACAGCCAAGCCCCTACCCACTGTTAAGTACCCTCCACAAGTACTCTCCTCTTTTAAATATTTATTCGTTCGTTCGTTAATATTGTTCGTTCAGTAAATATCCATATCTAGATTAATAATAAAATATAAATGCGTTTCATAACAGTAGTAGTACATAACCTTTATTATCTAAGGCATAATTAATGATTCTCCTAGACAGTATCAAAATAAAAAGTCAACTAATGATAATGATAATAATACCTAATCTAGAATTATGGTCACGTTTCTGCTTCATTCGTTATCAGCATACTGATCACGTGTGTTGCAATTGCAGAGTTCATTGCAGAATAAATTACGTATGGTAGTGTGACGGCTAATATTATTATTGCTATTACTAACATACATTGATACATTTAAAAAAAATGCTATATGCCGTTGAAATTCGAAATCCAGTTTCATATTCATATTAATCCTCTCTTGTCTTGTATTCAAGTCAAAATCGTGTACCACATTGAAAATTATTAAAATTTCATACCCGATCCTGTGGACTGAATGGTAAACACGACGACGTCGCCCTAAACACGTAATTACGGATCGTCCCGATCGATTAACGGAACTTTTAGGTACCTCAAGCACCGGTTACCGTCCTCGCCGAATCCGTCGCTTGCGACGAAGGGCTCGACAAGTAAATTAACCCATAGACACAGCCCACTAAGTTTCTCGCCGGATCTTCTCAGTGGGTCGCGTTTCCGATCCGGTGGTAGATTCTGAGAAGCACTGCTCTTGCTAGGGCCAGTGCTAGCAACACTCCGGCTTGAGCCCCGTGAGCTCATCTACACGTCAAAGAGAAGCTGAAATACCCTCTCAAGGCTATCAGCATAGGTAGGAAAAAAATCAGTATTTTTCCACAAACTACTTTTACAATCAAGCAATAATAATATTGTGTGTTCTGTGGAGAGGGCTTTGAGGAATTGTTCGAAATGATCCAGCCATCCCGTTTTTATTATCCTACCGCCCGCCAGTGCGTTTACAGAGAACTTTTCTGTCTGGCTTTGGAATAAGTAACTCCCCTCAACATTTCCCGGGCACTATCAAATGTCTTTATCCAAACGAGGCTTGTGGAAAGTACTTAACGGTAGGCAGCGGCTTGACACTGCCCCTGGCATTGCTAAAGTCCATTAGCGACCACCGGTATCCTATGACATAAGATTGATTACGGCATTCACGTGATGGCTCCAGTACCTGCATGCGTAGTTAGTTCGTCTGCACTATTTAGCAAATAAAAATACAGTTTAATTTATAATACCAGTGCGTACCCCGCCTTCGTTAACATTAAGAATGATCAGTCACGTTAGTGGGGCGTCTATTAATAAGGAAACTAAATAGGTCCGCTATACTGTTCAAAGTCTAGTTCTAGATAACATACGTACGTACATAGCTGAATCGATTTACATATACAACTACAGGAAACATCGAGTCTTATGGAAAAATATAGATTTTTTATTATATTAAAACTACCCAAATACGGCTCGACAGTTTTTTTCCCACTATTTTCGCGGTCTCGCCTTTATGAAATTAAAATTCAAAAGTAAAATACATACATAATCTTAGGTCTTGTCATATCATATTTTTATGTATGGTCATCTATTTAAAATTTGTTCCCTTCTTTTTATTCCTTAAAGTGGTGGATGAGCTCACAGCTCACCTGATGTTAAGTGGTTACTGAAGCCCATTAGACATCTACATCGTAAATGTGCCACCCACCTTGATGTATAAGTTTTAAGGTCTCGAGTATAGTTTAAACGGCTGCCTCACCCTTCAACCCGAGAGCATTACTGCTTCACGGCAGAAATAGGCAGGGTGGAGGTACGTACCAGCGCGGACTCACAAGAGGTCCTACCACCAGTAATTACGCAAATTACAATATTGCGGGTTTGATTTTTATTACACGATGTTATTCCTTCACCGTGGAAGTCAATCGTGAATATTTGTTGAGTACGTATTTCATTGAAAAATTGGTACCCGCCTGGGATTCGAACACCGGTGCATCGGTCAACACGAATGCACCGGACGTCTTATCCTTTAGTTAGGCCACGATGACTTCTGATTTGAGTTGATGGCGTAGTTATTTTATGAAATTATCTTTAATAGCTTTGGCGGATGAAAGATCACACGGTCCATTAAACAGCTTGAGACATGAGATTGAAGTACCAATCGTATTGTATAAGGGCTGTCCCACCTTCCAAACCTTAACGAATAACTGCTTCATGCCACATGCTGTTTTAATTCGAATAATAACTAAGCCAAATTAATTTGACATTTCGACCTAAAGGTGTATGATAATGTATAATAAACAATGTTCTTTTTGATTAGCTTATCAACAGACAGACTGATCGATAGTCTGGACGTTTAAAAAACACTTACGACACAGAATTAAGTTTATCAGAACAGACTTTGCACCGTAGATAAATCATAAAATAACATTGCTTAAAGGAATTGCTATTGCTGACGACTCAAGCTGCGGCAATGAACTTGAACGTTCGACGGCTTCTAAATCACGCGGCACATACCCATTCGAATGTTTTGTTCCGTTTTTTTATTGAGAGATAATTAAAGAAACAGCCTTGAATGAGTTTATTGCCACCCTGGTTCTGTGAACCGGCTGTGGTACTGTAAAAACTGAGACCTTAGAATTCATGTCTCAATATGGGTGGCGGCATTCATGATCGTAGATGTATATGGGCCCCGGTAATCAGTTAACATCAGGTGGGCCGTGAGCGAGATGAACAACCTAAGAAAAAAAATCAAAGCAAACCTTTTGTAGTTTTTATGAAGGCACGATAACTTAAAAACTATATACAAAAATAGCTTTTGCTCGAGTAGATATCCTATATACTAAATTAAGATTTATGTTATTGTGGGCCCGCTTCAAAGTTTTTGGAGTGTAAGTAATCGTGGCCTTCAATGCGGCAACAGACGTATTCTGTATAATATTCCTCTTGGCTGAAGCATCAGTTAGAGTGACCTTGAGAAAATCTGGTAAAATTAACATAAGACACATCAGTGCAGCCGCAGTTGGATATATTTTATCATCTAAAATGCGTTTTTTTTAATTTTATTTTAAATTAGAATTGATGTTAAAGAGAAAAAAAGAACTGCGAATGACAAAATCAATCTACATCGAATTATTACGTTTTGTTAGAGGAATTGATCTAAAAAAACACAACACACGGCTTAAGTATCTTACTTATTTTAATTCACATATTTCTTTCTGCATAAACAGGAATATCAAGCACACATTGGCTTGCACACGATTCGAATATGATTACTTTATTTATTTATTGCTTAGATGGATGGACGAGCTCACAGCCCACCTGGTGTTAAGTGGCCACTGGAGCCCATAGACATCTACAACCTAAATGCGCCACCCACCTCGAGATATAAGTTCCAAGGTGTCAGCATAGTTACAACGGCTACCCCACCCTTCGAACCGAAACGCATTACTGCTTCACGGCGGAAATAGGCTGGGTGGTCCAGCCAAAAGACAATTGTGACGATTTTCATGTTAACGAGCATCAAATCTTGAGTGTTTATGAATCACAAAAGACAATAAATGAGCACTTTCCTTGTTCCTGTGTGAATAAACTATTGTAATTCCCGTGGACTAATTGTTTTATGATTGTCAAATAAATAAACGTAAACAGGATGTTGTCACGTAATTGCTATTCATACGATTTTTTTAACGATATCAAAGCATATTTCAATTCGTTTCGTTAAATTATTAAAGATAATCTATTTCGTTTTCAACTAACATTTGAGTTCAAAAATTAAAGATAATTTATTACAGAAATCAACGTGATCAAACCACGATTGTAAATTAACTCACCAATATTATTTTTATTAGGATTTTTCATTAGAAATAATTATTTTAAACCTATTCAGAAGTGTATAGTAGCTGTAAAAGTCAAATTTATTCTCGTTTATAAATAAGGGTAAAACACGAAGTTATGTTGGATATTTAAAATTAAACAAAATTGAAAGTAGATAACAATATAATGAACAAATTTTGCTGATTACCAATATATAAAACATCGGAGTATTCGCTGGTCGTTTCGTGTCTTGGTCGTTTTTCCTTATGTGAATATATTTATCTGGGTAAGTGTCTAGCCCATCAAGGTAAATAGGTTTAAATAGTTGTTATATTTTCATAAAATTGTATCTGATAACGTATTTTTAAATTGTACTTTTTACAAACATAGTAGAAGAGCTAGGGTAACTGTTCGTGAAGCCAAAACAGTAATAAAATACCCACAAGATGGTATCCGTTTGCTGGACTAAGTATAATTACATATTGTCCAAATAGTTTCATTGTATTTCGTTAACCCGCAATCGAAAACGAATGGAAATGTAATCTTAATATGTATATATAAATAAGGGTTTGGGCCAATTTTCATGAAATTTTGGTTTTCTACTGTATTCGAGAATGGTTTAGCTTTACAATTCGGTCCACTAAAAATGCTTTTTTAATTATTATTTTTGTAAAAAAAATGTTTAAAATTTTCGGATTTAGGACATGACTTCCGTCGGATCCCCTATTATAATAAAAATAAAGAAAATAATAGTAATGAAACTTTTTTTTCCACCTAAGCTTAGAGCGTTACCGAGTGAAACAAAGATTCGTTTTTTTTTTATTGCTTATATGGATGGACGACCTTACAGCCCACCTGGTTCTAAGTGGTTACTGGAGCCTATAGACGTCTACGACGTAAATGCGCCGCCCACTTTGAGATATAAGCTCTAAAATCTCAAGTATAGTTATAACGGCTGCCCCGCCCTTCAAACCGAAACGCATTACTGCTTCACGGCAGAAATAGGCAGGGCGGTGGTACCTACCTGCGCGGACTGACAAGAGGTCCTACCACCAGTAAAACGATTCATAGAGTGTGTTAATAAAAATGATACTTAAATATATTATTCAAAATGATTATTTAATTTACAGTCGCCGTTTCGTTCTCTGCTATCATGCGCTCCGGTAGCGATGGTAGGCTTCGAGCGTAGCGCTCATTCCCAGGACATCACGAAGAACATTCAATACATCAGCAACGAGAAAGTCAAACTAACAACGGATCCGAAAACAATGAAGTAAGTGACGCCAGGCAAGAATGTGTTCTGTTTTAATTGGCAAGACGATCGTTATTCCAGTGGACTTTGATCGCATGTTTAAACCGTAGATTTTACGCAACAATAGGGGGAAAGGTTAATTGGAGCGGTGGATTATTCCTATTACAGACAGAGAATTGGAGTAAAAAGTATTCTTCGATGGAAACCGCGTCAACCTATTTAATATAAGATACTCTGACCTGACCACGACCAATCAATAATGATCTTAATAAAAAGGCGACTCGCGTTGTATAACAATTGATCTGGTCAATTGACTACCACCAGTGGTGTTTGTATTATCTGATGCAATGCGTAGAGTATACCTTGTTTCTAACTAAAATTGGATATCTATTTTACTTTAATGTAAATTGAGGTCAATGTATAGTGCTCTACTTAACCTTATATTACACTATTTTTTATTAATATAAAAAGAAAATGATATTAAATAAAAGTGTAATATTTACAAACAATACTAACTATATCGTATCAAAGTCCATGAATTGTCTAAATTAATTTATCTAAATCCTTTTCTGAATCGGTGTATTTATTTAAAGTTTCTCCATTATGTTAGTTAATAATTAGCTGTATATTAATTTTAGGAACATTTTAATGTTTTAGTCTACTTAAAATCTCTATTCTTAAGCAGTTAAAAACAGAAAAGGCTCAACGTCCATACACAACTTGCCTACAAAGAATATTGCGGTATTTTGGTCATGTTGCACGCAGGGATACCAGCAATTTGGAACGCCTTGTGGTGATTGGTAAAATCGAGGGAAAAAGACCTAGGGGTAGAGGTCCCAAACGATGGTCGGACCAAATAGCGGAGGAACTGAAAACACCTGTCAGCGACGCACTCCACCAATCTACAGAATGGGATCGATCGATCGATCGGGAGACAGCTAGTTGACGGAATCGGACGGAGTCACGATCCTCAGCAATGAGGGACCGATTGAAGAGAGAGAGCCTACTTAATAATGCATACTTGTTTATTGAAGTGAAACTTCTTTATCGACGTAGGGAGGAAAAAACGTATGTAACGTTTTTCGGTTACGCGCCATCTTAATTTCTTACGTTACGCGCCATGTTTATTTTATTTCTATTTAGTTTGTTATCAACAGATGTCGCTGCACGTAAATTCAACAATTCCTGAATCGCGGCGACGTGATGTTACACAGTTGATAGACGTTCCTGTATTTCTCTTGCTAAATCATACCTACTTGGCGTCGGGATACCGTGATCATGCAAGCGGTTCCCTCGGGGTGCGGTTGCTCCATTGTACTGCGGAGTGGTTGACCCTTGCGATTATTTTTATATTTAATAAGTTTCACTTCTACCGTGTGTGACTTGCACACACACACACACACACACACACACACACACACATTTTTTTTAATTATATTTTTCTCCATCAGACTGGACCAGCAAAGAGACAGGCCTCTCTGCATAATGATCAACTGGCTGCTGGCCCGACAGAAGCACGTTATGAAATACGCGACGTTGTACTTGGAGCAGGGGTTCGACGTGCTCTCGGTGTCGTGCACTCCGTGGCAGCTAATGTGGCCCATGAAGGGATCGCAGGTAAATTTATTCCTTTTTTTTTATTGCTTAGATGGGTGGACGAGCTCACAGACCACCTGGTGTTATGTGGTTACTGGAGCCCATAGACTTCTACAACGTAAATGCGCCACCCCCCTTGAGATATAAGTTCTAAGATTCCAGTATAGTTACAACGGCTGCCCTACCCTTCAAACCGAAACGCATTACTGCTTCACGGCAGAAATAGGCAGGGCGGTGGTACCTACCCGTGCGGACTCACAAGAGGTCCTACCACCAGTGAAGAGGTCCTACCACCAGTATTTCCCTATCAATATTTTTTTTATTGCCTTTGTAGGCAGACGAGCACACGGCCCACCTGATGGTCAGTGGTTACTGTCGCCCATGGACTTCAGCAATGCCAAGAGCAGATCCAAGCCGCTGCCTACCATAATATGTTTTCTGCTTTTCTGTTTTCACCATGTTCTATGATTCGTAGTCGGATTACGTTCTGCGAATCTAGCATAACCCGATGTTACCAGAATAGGTAGGATAAAAAAAAAGTCGGATTTTTCACTTCTAAGAATATATATGAACATAATATGTAATGGCAAAATAGTAAAATTTTAAAATCGCCTTAAGGTATATCTATGTTTTTAAATACAGGTATACCGCTCTTCCAACATGTTAAATTTGTAATTTAGAAAGATAGAAGCATGTTGGAATTTCTTGGATAAAAAAATTCTTTGGTTACTCTCTCATTCATGAACTACCAGTCGATTTGTATATTAGATCCGTTTTATTATCATTATAATAATTACAATTATCTCACCCGTCATTCCAGGTAACTTAGGTAAAAAGGTTTTTTTTTTCTTCCAAATAACGATATATATTATAATTTTTTTTTTGTTTCCTTTTGTATATCTTTAATATCGAGATATTCTATTCAGAGTTGCGTATAATTTAGTAATTAAATATTCCCTGAGCTTAAATTATCGCAGCAGTCCTAACATCCTCAAGATCCCCAAGGCCTTCAGAAATGATGATATTGACTCGGAAGACGAATAAATTAAAATTATTATATATATTTTCCCTACCTATTCGCTGATATGTAGCTTAAGTGAGTATTCCAGCTACGCCCGGACGGGTAGGTGAACTCACGGGCTCAACTTGAGAGACTTTGCTAACACTAGCCCTTGCAAGAGCAGTGCTTTGCCACCGAATCGGAATCGCGACCCACTGAGAAGATCCGGCGAGAAACTCATAGGGAAATTAGTATCTGCTTCGGAATTGCGCCACTTGAGACGTCACCATAACTAATTTTATTATTATTTTTTTAAGGGATTTTATGACCCGGTAACTAAGACGGTAATGTCTTATTTTAATTTATATACTTATTTATATGAAAAATGATAATTTGGAGTGAATTGAAATGAAATGAGATGAGATGATATGGGATGAAATATAATCTCAGTAAAATTGTGGCCATTTACTGAGATTTTTTCAGTGGATTTTTGGAGGATCCCGAGAAGTTACGTCCAGCGGCTTTGTTTCATTTTCCCACATTTGTGCACTTTCACAGATATTAAACAGTTAATAAACCCACGTTATTACACATTTAAATCTGAAGAAACACTAAATAGACAAAATAAAACAAATGACACAACTTCACTCCTCGCGTTCCCGCCAAAAAGTCTCACCATAACTAATACATCAAACCACAGATGACAAAAAATCTGTTTGTCATGTCGGCAGCTAGTTGCCGGTGACGTTCTCAAATTCATGGCTTCGAACGAGAATGAGCAGCCCCTCGTGGTGCACGGGTTCTCGATTGCTGGATACATGTGGGGAGAAGTTTACGTGCACGTCATGAATAATAGGAAGATGTGAGTATGAGTTTAATCTCTTTACAACGCGTTAGTATTTTTAGCTCTTATTGCATTCGATTAAGGTTGAATTTAGAATGGTCTTCTTGTGCTAAGCGTCATTTTGTTATTGAATTCGTTTTTCTGTTTACGCAAGGAGACGCGCTAAGTCTCAACCTTCAATGAAGACTTATAGCTAGTCTTTATAAAATGTACATAGAGAATGCAATATAACCCAGGTTATAATGCAAATCGTAATATTTATAACTGTGTTAATAGCATATGCTATGGTCGGTCATCGATTGGTTATTTCTTGGTCATGTGGTGGCCTAGACTAAACCTATTATAATTTAAAAAAAAAACAGATTTCTCAGAGTATATTATCAATTGTATGCAGTCGTTAATCCGCCTCTATATTGCCTCTAAGGGCATATTAGCATATCTTGCTGATAGTTAGTGGACATCGCTCATGGAAGTGAGCAATTCCAGGAGCACAGCCAAGTCGCTGCCTATGGCTTTGATGTTGGCAGAGGATGAACCAAAACGGATGGGTGCCACCATCTTATCTATTGCTACTCTATGGTGGAACAACGGTCATCTATACTAATATTATAAAGAGGAAAGATTTGTTTGTTTGTTTGTTTCGAATAGGCTCCGAAACTACTGGACCGATTTGAAAAATTCTTTTTCCATTAGAAGCCGACATTGTCCCTGATGAACATAGGCTACTTTTTAAAAAAAAAAAAATATTTTATTTTTTTGGTTTCATGTGTGTTTTAATGTTTCCGAAGCGAAGCGAGGGCGGGTCGCTAGTAGGACATAAAATTATTAACACTGATTCCATTTCTCAAGGCCTCAAGGGCAGTAGTAACTTAATGTTGACCGTGGGATTCGGTAACTGCTTAACACAAAGAGGACCGTCAGCTCACAGCATTAAAGAAGTTGATTAAAAATTCCGCAGGTACCAACCGGTAATGGACCGCATCGCGGCGCAGGTGTGGGACTCTGCCGCGGACATCAGCGAGATCACGATCGGTGTGCCGGCCGCCGTCTTCCCGAAGAACCAGATCATGCAGAATACTCTGCGGGCGTATATGGAGTGAGTTGTGGTTTTTTTTTACTGGTGGTAGGACCTCTTGTAAGTCCGCACGGGTAGGTACCACCACCCCGCCTATTTCTGCCGTGAAGCAGTAATGCGTTTCGGTTTGAAGGGTGGGGCAGCCGTTGTAACTATACTGAGATCTTAGAACTTATATCTCAAGGTGGGTGGCGCATTTATGTTGTAAACGTACGTGGTTTACGTTGTAAATGCGCCACCATGCGCCATATGGACTCCAGTAACCACTTAACACCAGGTGGGCTGTGAGCTCGTCTACCCACATAAGCAAAAAAAAATGATATTAGGGGACGTCCATTAATTACTTGAGGCATTTTTGAAAGTTTTTCGACTCCCCCTCCCCTATTAGTGAGATTTAGCTTGATCCCCTCCCCCCTAGAACACCCCACGCAACTAATAGACGCCCATGGTTTGCTTGGTAGCTAACACATTCTTAGAGGATTGATACTTAGACCTCATAACTCAAAGTGGGGGACGGTATTCGAGTACTGTTGTTTATGGGCTCCGGTAACCAACTTAACATCAGATGGGCCGTGAGCTCATTCACGCGTCTATGCAAGCAGAAAAATCTTTGCAATTCAGTGTTGCTTATGTAAGATATATACTAAGTGTTACCTGCGGCTTCGACCAACTGATCAAGGATAAGTGTCTGTGTAGTTTCACGTAGAAGTGTGTCTATATCGCACTCCTAACCTAATATTAATCATTTTAGTCATTATTAAATCCTGTCATTTCATTGCTTCGTTTCAACGTGAAACAAGGACAAACAAACACACTCACATTTATAATATTTATAAAAGTATTTTATATTAATTGTTATGTTAATTGCTTGTTCTGACTGGCTAATAACGCAGAGCCAAAGCCGCCGGGACTTTATATTGTAAGAATCCACTAAGTTTGAAAGCAAAAAGCGCATCTACTTGCTTCAAATCTGAAATAAATGTATACGTGTAAACAATTACGAATTTTTTGTTGGACGTCAATGTAATTTTGATATATATTCCGTTTCTTTATTATCTTCCATCGACAATCAGTGGCGAGCTATGGCCATTGTCAATGTACACACGACCGACCTCGGCCCTGCCAATTAAATATCACTCACAGCATAACGATCTAATAATTTCGATATGAAACTTGTCGACTGGAATTTAGAAGCGCTGATGTCCATGTTTACTTCGAGTATTTCAAATTGTCTACATAAGAATCGATTTTAATGTATATATTTTTTTTTTATATTTATTGCTTAGAGCAGTTATTGCGTCTGATATCGGAACTTAATGTATGGTAAAAAAAAAACATTGTTTGTTCATTACGGGATTATCTTTTTAAGAATTCGTATGGTTGAGTCATTACTATTTGAATTGGATGTCTTTAAAGCGGAACACATGGTGGCTCAGTAGTGACACCAATTTCCGTTTCCAATACGCTCTGTCACTAGTAAATGCTGATAGACAATCACACTATGCTGGTCCATTCTCTGATCTCTGCATCGTATTGAAGTCCCTTCTTCAACCCGTGTCCACCTAATGCTGAGTGAGCCGTTGTAACTATACTGAGATCTTATAACTTATATCTCAAGGTGGGTGGCGCATTTACGTTGTAGATGTCTATGAGCTCCAGTAACCACTTAACACTAGGTGGGCTGTGAGGTCGTCCATCCATCTAAGCAATAACAAAAAAAAAAAGTTGAGATGATAGCTACGGATGTGTTGTGCCGTCACAGATACCACATGAAGACGTTCTATACGAGCGCGACGTCGCACTACATCCGCTCGTCCCAGCTGTTCCACTCGCCGCCGTGCGCCGCGCCCGCGCTGTTCCTGCTCTCCCGCAGCGACCCCGTCGGCGCCGAGCCCAGCAACCGCAGCGTGCACGACTCCTGGTGCAGCATGGGGATTAAGGTAACGCGCATCTCTATACTATCGATACTAGGGATGGGCAAATATTTTGATAGTCGGGAATATGGCCCCATATCGCAGATGAAAATTTTACCTCGGGCCAAACAGTTTTTTTTTTCCAATTTTATATTGTGCGACTATTATGCATACTGTAATTGTTCAAATCAAATCAAATCAAATCAAACTTTATTAGCTAAAACACGGTTTACAAAATTGTTGATAGTTATTTTATAGAACAGCATGTTTCTACCAACCAGGTCGGCGTGCAAATATTGTTCATAATTATTTACATTAAATGCAGTAAATATGTTAATTAATTAAAATATCAAACAACAAAATAAATTAATTGAATAAGAATTAGTTATTTATATCATAAAACGAAAACAAAGAACAGAAAGAAGCTAATTTAAAATTAACATAATGTTTTATCATTTAAAAAATCATTAACTGTATAATAACAATAACATCTTAAGGTTAATAATTTTTTCAAGTTCTTTTATCATAATTAGTTAGTTCAATTATCATAATTATATTTTCGAATAGGAGGCGCTGAAAAGAGCGGTTGTCCGGGAGAAAATTTTGGCTCCCACCGGCCCCGATAAATATATCAGTATTGCTTAATATTTTATCTAAAAAAAATTATGCACCAATTTATGTTAGACAAAAACTAATATTTGTGTTTTTAATAATAATATATACAATGCTTCACGGGCCAGACAAAATTCTGCCGTTTGCCCAGGCCTGATCGATACTGATTACAGTTACGATTGACCGACCAAATAAAGGCAGCTCTAAACGGTCCAGTCAACGAATGAAGTCGGGTGTTCGAATCCCGCAGGCGGGTACCAATTTTTCTAATGTAATACGTACTTAACAGATGTTCACGATTGACTTCCACGGCGAAGGAATAACATCGTGTGATAAAAATCAAACCCGTAAAATTATAATTTGCGTAATTACTGGTGGTAAGATCTATTGAGTCCGCACGGGTAGGTAGGAGCTCACAGCCCACCTGGTGTTAAGTGGTTACCGGAATCCATAGACATTTACAACGTAAATGCCGCCACCTACCTTGAGATTGAGTTCTAAGGTCTCAATATAGTTACAACGGCTGCCCCGCCCTTCAAACCGAAACGCATTCCTGCTTCTCGGCAGAAATAGGCAGGGTGGTGGTACCTACCAGTGCGGACTCACAAGATGTCCTACCACCAGTAAACCCTACCTACATAAATGTGCAGTACAACAGACCCTAACTACAATACGATTTCCAGTGCACGTGGAAGTGCTGGGATAAGTCTCCCCACGTGCAGCATTACACTCACCACCCGAAGGAGTACCTCACCGCCCTGTACGCGCATCTCGACGCCAGTGGACTTATCTCACAGCCTGAAAAAATTCAACGAAGGATTGCTCTCTAGCCCTCTACACATTTAATAATTAGTTCTTACACGTTTTCCGATGTTCTTTTTTTGTTTTTTTTTTTTTATATTTCGTTACGATTTTAGGAATTCGTAGTTCCTATGGCGAGCGGTGGCGAATGAATGAAATTTGAATGAACGAATGAATGACATTTGTGTGATTTGGCGGGAAAATTTAAAATTCGAAAAATCTAGTATGTCGTTACTAGAAAATTAAAATTTATACATACTCAGAAACGTATCCTGTTAAAATTAATGATTCGCAAAATACTGTACTCTTTAATTTAAGTATCAAAATATTCGGTCGTGTCTTTTTTTAACCCTTGTAGTGCTGAACTTGTTTTGCAGAAATTGCTAAAATATTTTTTAAAAAAACCTACCTTATAATATGTAGTTATTTATAAAAGTTAGTAACTTATTAATAAACGTTATGCATGCGCGTGCTAAGTCACGTCCGTATAGGTCGATACCTATAATCAATCTGCAGAATAGTCGGTATTCCGACGGTCCGCACTTTATACGCATTAATAGAGAGTCGATATATCGACGGTTCGCGCTCTAAGGGTTAAATAGCAGTCATGATGTTAGCTTTAGGTGATTTTAGTGATATTTAATCTTTTTACTATTTACTACCTTTAGTTATGCAATTGCCGTTATCACGTGCGCTTTTGTGTCTGACGTATTTGACAAGGGCCTGGAATGTAGAAATGAAAAATGCCTATGAAACAATGTCAATTTTATATTGAACTAGCGACCCGCCCTCGCTTTGCTACGGAAACATTAAATTTTATTATTAATAGCAGAGTCCCGCGATGTTACCCGCGGTTATTTTCGTACCGTGGGAGACGCCGCGGGGCGACGCTAGTCTAAAAAATAGCCTAAGCTACTTATATCATCAGCTACCTATCGGTGAAAGTCTCGTCAAAATTGGTCCAGCCGTTCCAGAGATTATCGAGAACAAACAAACAGACAGACAGACAAAAATTGAAAAAAATGTTATTTTGGTGTATTTACCGTATATATATTCATAATTATGCACGTAGTAAAAAGCGGTTATTTCAATGATACAAACAGACACTCCAATTTTATTAATATGTATAGATGCTAGTGGATCCGATTGGGGATCCACTAAGGAAAATTCCGTGGCTCCCTACCGCTTAGAAATCTTAAACCTTGTTGTCGGGCGCTCACGATACGCCCAGAATTTCATCCGCACCTTAGGTTAGTATAAATGAGCTCGGCTCTAGCACCGACTCTATTTCCAAATTCCAATGATACCATTGTTTTTCTATTTACTGATGTTAAAAACGCGTCATGGAATATGATAAAAAAAAAACATGACTGCATCAAAGTGAATGTAAAAATATGATAATGTGCTTTGTTGCAACAACAATGTTAAGGTCGATGGACGACTAGAAAAATAATTATATGAGTAATCAATACCTTAAGGTACTAAATTATAATCGTTACTATTTCGATTCTAACTCTCAATCGATTCTAATATTCAGCTATAACTCCACAAGTACCTACTAGGTTTTTATGGTTTTACTATAAAGGTGTCAAACCAAGTGAACCATAATAAACTGTAATTGTTGTGTTCACGAATGCTTACGGTTGATTGGAACTGTTTTTATGGGTGTGGGTTGCACATTTTTTTTTCCTATTTCTATTAAGTAGAGATTCGGTTAAAATTCTTGTATTAGTCCGAAAATATCTGCAAATCTGTGATTTTATTTAACATTACGACTCTCGTTTAAAACAAAACAAAAATTTGTGAAATAAAAATACATTTTGTACCAAAAACCTTTTTTTCTATTAAATGTAATCGTATTTAAATGTTTACTTACTTGTTAATACGTATCACAGAATATTGCTTATATTAGTTTAGTTAGTTTTGTGTAATGTTATTATAAGAAAGTATTGTTAAGAAAATTTTATAAAATGTTTTAAATTGTTTTTATTTCTTATTAAAAATAATTTCTCACTTTTGCAACACTAAACTGAACCTCTCATCTAAATGTATCAAATGTAATCACATCACTATTTTGCAAAACTTTGAGAAACTGATGAACGATAGAAAGGTTTGAAAGTTTTGAAACCATTCTACCGCTCAGCAGTCAAACATCCCTATTCTTGACAGTGGGTCGGTTGATACATAATACCATCTAGATTTCGATCTCATGTATATATGTTATAGCATACATCAATTCCCTCGCTTCTTAAGATCAAGGGAGCCCACGGTGCAATTGAGGCTTGACTTGCCATAGTCAAGTTGTGATGTCTCCTCCTTGCGTCGTATTCCTCACTGCTGAGGGTCGTGACCACCACTTTTGTATCACCTTCGCACGCACGATCTTCGATGTGTACGAAATTTGTGATGGCTATGATGATGACCTATGACGAATTATCACAAAGTGGGTCGTGAACTCTTTGAGGCGTCTACGCAACGTAAATAATCACAATGCGGCTTGCCACCACCAATGAAATTATTATTAGGCCGGGTAATTATTTTGTGATTATTGAGGAATGCTGTGTGTATATTGTACCTTGTACTTATGGAAAGTATAGTTAAGGACCACAAACTTTTATAGAGGACAAGGTACCGTATGTTTCATGGGGAATGCTCTGAGGAATTGTTTGAGATGATACCATCATCTCAACCTTCTTTAAACGAGGCTTGTAGAGAGTATTTAACGGTAGGCAGCGGCATGGCTCTGACCCTGGCATTGCTGAAGTCCATGGGCGACGGTAACCACTCACTTTGAAGTCGTCGTGGCCTAAAGGATAAGACGTCCGGTGTATTCGTATGTAGGGATGCACCGGTGTTGGAATCCCGCAGGCGGGTACCAAATTTTCTAATGAAATACGTACTCAACAAATGTTCACGATTGACTTCCACGGTGAAGGAAAAACATCGTGTAGTAAAAACCAAACCCGCAAAATTATAATTTGCGTAATCACTGGTGGTAGGACCACTTGGGAGTCCTCACGGGTAGGTACCACCACCCCGCCTATTTCCGCCGTGAAGCAGTAATGCGTTTCGGTTCCAAGGGTGGGGTAGCCGTTATAACTATACTGAGACCTTAGAACTTATATCTCGAGGTGGGTGGCGCATTTACGTTGTAGATGTCTATGGGCTCCAGTAACCACTTAACACCAGGTGGGCTGTGAGCTCGTCCATCCATCTAAGCAATAAAATAAAATAAAAACCATCAGCCGTATGCTCGTCTGCCTACAAATAGCGCTAGTGTAGGAAGAAATGACATGAGTATAGCAGGCAGTTTTAAACAGAGCGAAGTCTGCTGGATTGTAGTGAAGTGGTAGTTTTATTGGCTTCCTTGCAGCGGACACTTTTTAATACACTGACATGGTACTCCTTACTTGTAATACCCAACATAATTGTAATTTTCTTCATGATTCACTACGACGGCTTGAGCTGGAAGGAGAAAGCCATGAATAGAGGAGTCTGGAACACATACGCGAATAGGCTAAGGCACACTCTGGGCTGTAATTTCTAACATGATGATGATTATGATGGCTGGTGGACACACGTGGCGTAATCAGAAAGATTTTTTTAACATGTACCACCAGATCGGAGTCGGAACCCACTGAGAATATCCGGAGAGAAACTTACTCAGTTAACCCTCTCAACGGAATTGTTAAGACAACACAAGAGAGAGAGAGAGAGAGAACATTATTGCACACCAAAACACATAACATCACAAAACATTCAACAAGCAGATACGTTTGTACAATAGGCGGTCTTATCGCTAAAAGCGACCTCTTCCAGACAACTGTTTAATTACCCGAAATTCTGGACAGATAAAGATACAGCAGGTATGTTGCGGTGTACTATTAACAATACATATAATAATAAATAAATAGATAAATACAAGTCGATTTGATTTAGAGTTTGTGTATTTTTTTTTCCCTTTCAAATCTTTGGTAGCATAAGAGGCTAATCCAACTTCGCGCGGATCCTCTATCTATGTGTACCGGTGTGTAATGGAGAGCTTCCGAGTAAGAGAAATAAATGTACCTACAGTGCAAGTGATGACTAAACAAAAAACAACGCTGAAAATCTTAAGTCCATAGTAACTATAATATTTGCATTCGTCGGTACACAACCTCGAATTATGTAAATAAATTCATGATTTATTTAGCATACACATTTATTCGTCATAGTACACTGTATACACAGACGTTATCCTTCTTTTTTCCCTACCTATGCTACAGCCTTGAGAGAGAGTTTGTGTACCGGACTATCAATAGGTGCAATGAGACCTCCTCTGTTTGTGACAGAAAAAGATCTGGCCGTCTACGTAGTGTTCGTACGAAAAAGGTGGTCAAAGCAGTAAGGGAAAGAATTCGAAGAAATCCTGTCCGAAAACAAAAGATTTTATCTCGGGAAATGAAGATGCACCTAAAACCATGTTGCGTATTTTAAAAGATGACTTAGGACTTGCAGCCTATAGGAGACGTACTGGTCATTTCTTAACTGATAATTTAAAAGAGAATAGGGTGGTAAAATCGAAACAACTACTGAAGCGGTACGCAAAGGGAGGTCATAGAAAAATTTTGTACAAATGAGAAATTTTTTACAATTGAGCAACATTTTAACAAACAAATTGACCGTATTTATGCTCAAAGCTCTAAGGATGCTTCACGATTAGTTGACAGAGTGCAACGTGGGCACTATCCGACTTCAGTGATGGTTTGGTGGGGTATTAGCTATGAAGGAGTGACTGAGCCATACTTTTGTGAAAAAGGTATCAAAACATCGGCACAAGTGTATCAAAATACCATTCTTGAGAAGGTAGTGAAGCCCCTTAACAACACCATGTTCAATAATCAAGAATGGTCCTTCCAGCAAGACTAGGCGCCAGGTCATAAAGCTCGGTCTACGCAGTCTTGGTTGGAAACGAACGTTTCGGACTTCATCAGAGCTGAAGACTGGCCGTCATCTAGTCCCGATCTTAATCCGCTGGATTATGATTTATGGTCAGTTTTAGAGAGTACGGCTTGTTCTAAACGCCATGATAATTTGGAGTCCCTAAAACAATCCGTACGATTGGCAGTGAAAATTTTTCCCATGGAAAGAGTGCGTGCTTCTATTGAGAACTGGCCTCAACGTTTAAAGGACTGTATACTGTATTGCAGCCAATGGAGACCACTTCGAATAAGCTTTTTATACTTTATATTGTTTTATATGCATGTATTAAAGTTATTAAACTAACACACTGTAAAAGTAATAAATGTTATTTGCAATAAAAAAAATATTTTTTCCTTTGTAACAGTATTTATGGCCAGACTAAGTAATATTAATTATAATGCATAATTTATAATATATTTTATTACGTATTTCTTTTTTAATATAAATTCTTGGTAAGTAACAAACTGTTTCGCCATCATCCGTTTGTTTCTTAGATAAGCGCGTTTTACTATGAATATGTAAGACAGTAAACGTCGACGTCACCCTAAACACGACATTACGGGTCCTCCCGATCCATTAACGGTGCTTTTATGTGGCACAAGCACCGGTCACCGTCCTCATCGAACCCGTCGCTTGCGACGAAGGGCTCGACGAGTGAATTAGCCCATAGACACAGCTCACTGAGATTCTCGCCGGATCTTCTCAGTGGGTCGCGTTTCCGATGCGGTGATAGATTCTACGAAGCACTGCTCTTGCTAGGGCCAGTATTAGCAACACTCCGGGTTAGAGCCCCGTGAGCTCACCTACACGTCAACGAGAAGCTGAAATTACTCTCAAGGCTATCAGCACAGGTAGAGGAAAAAAAAATGCTTCGATCGACAATAATAACTATTGTTGTTATGTTAATATTGTTGATCGAAGCAGTAATGTGTCAGAAAAACAAGCAAAATTAATCATTATTCTTAAATTTAAATATTAATTAAACAAACAAGAAACATCTATAAAAACAAAGCGGAGGTATGACATACACAAGCATGCCCCGCGGTTACTTTCTCGATTTTGTAATTTGGTTCGACTTCGAAAAGAAAACTAACGAAAAGTTGTTCGACTTGAATAAAGCGGCTAACACCTTTACCTTACTCTTTTAAAATGCCTTTAACTATGCCTATACCTTTTGATATCGTACTTATTTACTAAGTATAATTTCAAAAGGTATGGTTGGACAGATTATCAAAACATGCTACATGAAAATACATCTTAGTGTACACCTGCAGATCGTTGAGTCTCACATACCCCGCGCGCCCCCTAGGCGCGGGGACCTCGTAGGAGGTTCGGCCCTGGGCCCGAAAAAAAAAAAAAGTGTAGTTATCGAAGTGTCGTCCAATACTGTATCTGCACCTTAAGTTCAAAAATAATAATGAAGAGAATCATTCATCATTATAATTTAAATAATTTTATTCGTTTAATGTATGTATGTATAAACTAAAATTAAAGGCTTAAAGTTCCGTACCTATAACATTACCAAACTATTTATACATATTTATCATTTTTTACAAAATCGGTTGATATATTTTATTTGAATTTGTTTTCGCTTAGTTAGTATTTAAATTCACCTCGAAAAATCAACTTGCACGATGAATATAAGATAACATACATTCTCCGTGAAGCCAGTAGTACTCTTTTCGCTTTTTCATCAAAATGAGCTGTTTTCAAGGCCGAACAAACTTATTCATCACACATTTAGGAAAGCTTCAACTTTATTTGAAAAATGTAAGTAACCTTATAGACAATTTGTACAGAAAATTTCCAAACCGCAATTCGTATTTTAGACAGACTACCAAGTTTTATACTATTTTTGAAGGTTGACGAGCATACGACCTATCACCATCAAGTGAGCGGTCAAAGATGCAAATTAACATCAGCAATCCCAGCTGGATAGCTGAATGACACTTAGGACTCCTTTCAAAATGAAGGAAGGACACGTCAAAGTGCTCAAAAAACACCATTCATTATCGATGAGCAAAGTGATTCCATGTATGTAGTATGAATGAACTGGTCCAATGCCCACTTCGATAAAACGGCACGACACGAGAACCCTCTCATCGTGGCCGCCTGTAGCTACATTCCCAATCCTGCGGACAGAATGGAAAGCAGTCGACGTTGCCCAAAACACGTCATTTCGGATCCTTCTGATCCACTAGCGGTGCTTTTAGGTACCTCAAGCATCGGTCATCGTTCTCCTCGAACCCGTCGTTTACAACGAAGGGCTTAACGAGTAAATTAACCCACAGACACGGCTTACTGAGTTTCTCTGTGAGTAAAATAGCCTCTCAATGCTATCAGCTTAGGTAGGAAAAAAGGGTCCAGTGGCGGATGTGAGACGAATATATTAGCAATCAATAGATCAACAGCAATTATAGCGTTGCTGAGAGAGGAATTTCGAGAATTGAGATTGAGAGTCCAATCTGGTGCAGTGTTTAGTATTGTATGAAGCTTGTTGTTGGATTTTACAGTTAAGCTTTCTTATAAGTAGTTTTTTCTTTTGTTACGTTTTGACTGTGGCTAAATTTAAAATTTTCTAAAGAAATACGTACTCCGCACATGTTCACGAGCTGTTAAATAAAATTCGATTAAGGTCTCGAAGCTCGCAAGTTGTGGTATCTATGGGCTCCGGTAATCACTAAACACCAGATACCACCACCAGAGACCACCCTACCGATTTCTGCCGTGAAGCAGTAATGCGTTTCGGTTTGAAGGGCGGGGCAGCCGTTGTAACTATACTGAGACTACTTAGTCTGGCCATAAATACTGTTACAAAGGAAAAAATATTTTGTTTATTGCAAATAACATTTATTACTTTTACAGTGTGTTAGTTTAATACATAAATATAAAACAATTTAAAGTATAAAAAGCTTATTCGAAGTGGTCTCCATTGGCTGCAATACAGTCCTTTAAACGTTGAGGCCAGTTATCAATAGAAGCACGCACTCTTTCCATGGGAACATTTCAAATTATCATGGCGTTTAGAGTAAGCCGTACTCTCTAAAACTGACCATAAATCATAATCCAGCAGATTAAGATCGGGACTAGACGACGGCCAGTCTTCAGCTCTGATGAAGTCCGAAACGTTCGTTTCCAACCAAGACTGCGTAGACCGAGCTTTATGACCTGGCGCCGAGTCTTGCTGGAAGGACCATTCTTGATTATTGAACATGGTGTTGTTAAGGGGCTTCACTACCTTCTCAAAAATGGTATCTTGATCCAAGTGTATCAAGATACCATTGTTGATGTTTTGATACCTTTTTCACAAAAGTATGGCCCAGTTACTCCTTCATAGCTAATACCCCACCAAACCATCACTGAAGTCGGATAGTGACTACGTTGCACTCTGTCGACTAATTGGGAAGCTTCCTTAGAGCTTTGAGCATAAATACGGTCATTTTGTTTGTTAAAATGTTGCTCAACTGTAAAAAAATTCTCATCCGTAAACAAAATTTTTTATGACCTCCCTTTGCGTATCGCTTCAGTAGTTGTTTCGATTTTATCACCCTATTCTCTTTTAAATTATCAGTTAAGAAATTACCAGTACGTCTCTTATAGGCTGCAAGTCCTAAGTCATCTTTTAAAATCCGCGACATGGTTCTAGGTGCTATCTTCATCTCCCGAGATAAAATCTTTTGTTTTCGGACAGGATTTCTTCGAATTCTTTCCCTTACTGCTTTGACCACCTTTTTCGTACGAACACTACGCGGACGGCCAGATCTTTTTCTTTCACAAACAGAGGAGGTCTCATTGCACCTATTAATAGCCCGGTACACAAACATTTTACTAATACCAAGCGTATGGAGAGTTTTAAAAATTGCATTTGGCTCCATACCTACTTTGTGTAATGCAATCACAGCGATTCGGTACTCTTTATCACCCCACTCCATTTTAATATCGGAAAATATTGTACAATGTATTGGCTCCATAATGAGAACTCAATGAGCAATCATATAAAAATGACAGATTCCAAATTCAAATGTAATATTTTGTTTATTTTTAATTGTAACAGTATTTATGGCCAGACTAAGTATATATAATATTATAACTATACTTATATCTCAAGGTGGGTGGCGCATTTACGTTGTAGATGTACCTATATATAGGCTCTAAGCAATAAAAAAAAGCCGTTAGTTCGTTCACCGATCTATACAATTCCAAAACTTGGAACTAGTGCAAATGCAGGCGACCTTAGGTACAGGAAGACAGAACCCTATTGATGATATTTGAGAGGCGGTACAAGAGCATTATCTCGGGTATCAATTTCGTCTTTCATAACACTAAAGGCGAATTTACATTACGAAATTAGTGGCATGACATTAATTTCGTGACATTAGTTTTACCAACAGTTTCATGTGTAATTTAATACTTTCGTAATGCATGCATTAATTTCATGCATGCAAATTAGTTTCGTGCCCTGCGCGATTTTTTGGTGAAATTAGTGTCATGCAACTAATTTCATAGTGTAGACGCGACGTGAAACTAATGTCGCGAAAGGGCCTGCGCTGTGCGGACGTGTATATTGTTAGTTCGGACGCGCTTCAAGCGTTGAAAATGGTAAACCAATGATGGAGTACAGAAAAAAATATAGATCTTATTAATGAATATCAGCGACAAGGGTGTCTCTGGGACCCGAAACACCTACAGTAAAAAATCAAAATTATCTTCACTCATTCGAAAATAGTTTTTATAACTCTCAGGATCTTCATCTGCTAATTCAGAGACTAACTTCATTGCACCTAAATGCCTTCTTGTTGACCATCCTCGAATCTAACAACTTTTTTTTTCTTGATAGTCTTTTTTTAAGTTTATAGGTATATAAGCATTTCTTTAGCTACATTGGATATAGCAAATTATAGCTTTGATGCTGAAGGCGCCATGGTTACTGCGATACTGTGGATTTCGCGACACAAATTTTTTCACGAAATTACTTTCGCATATATCGAAACTACTTTCGTGAAACTGAGTTCAACATGCATGACACTAATTTCGTAATGTAAACTCCGCATAAGGAATGTAGTCCAATCCAATTATAATTTACTTTATTTTATTTTAATATATAGGTATATTGATTTCACAGATGTCCAAAATCACTTCAGTTCAGTTGGGAAACTTTGCGTTAATACAACCATTAAGCCGACGTGTTCATATACAAACAATAAATAAAAACATGCAATACATAAGCAATGATGACAGAAACATTAAAGTAGATTCTAAAACCATGAAGTGAGTACTTAGGTGTTTTATTTTTCTAATGTTGTTTGTTTTTATGTTTTAATGTGTTGATTTGCAGAATATCTCACAGCCTTGAGACACGAGAACGACAAAAACTTCGCGGCAGAAATAAGTGGCAGGTTTTTGCCTTTTAATGCGCCACTATTAACGCATTTAAATTTTTTATATTCATAAGTATATTATTTCATCGTATTAGTCGTGCAAGAAACTACATTGAGTACATTAAGTATTTGCCGATAATTCTCATATTTATCATATGATATGTATTTATCATGTACTTGAAATTGCCCGGGTCATGTCATTTTTCAGAATATCCTATCTAATAATACTAATATAGGTTATATATAAGTTTAATAAAAACAATCTTTGTGCGAAATTTACTCCAAATCCGTTCACCCATTTTACGTGCTAAAGAAAATAAAAAAATTAAATTAAGGGTTGATCGTATAAAAGTGAAAATTGAGAGTAATATGAATTTTTTTATTTTAAGACATGACAAAATAAAAATAAAAATGAAAATTTTGCCAAAAAATTAAAGTTTATAATTAAGAAATAAAAAATAGGGGTTGATCGTAGAGGGGTGAAAATTTCAGAGTAATATGAATTTTTTTATTCTAAGTCATAAAAAATTAAAAACAAAATTCTTAAAAAAAAAATTAAAAGTTTTTAATTAGCAAATAAAAAATAAAGGGTTGATCGTAGAGGAGTGAAAATTTAGGGTTGTATGTATTTTTGTATACTGTATCATAAAAAAATAAAAACAAAAAATTTTGTCTAAAAAAATAAATAAAAAAAATTAGGGGTGGACCACCCTTAAAATTATGGTGGATGAAAATAGATGTTGTTCGATTCTCAACCCTGACCGATGTGCACGCTAAGATTCACGAAAATCGGTCGAGCCGTTTCGGAGGAGTTCAATCACGCACACCGTGACACGAAAATTTTATATATTAGATATATAATAACAATAATAGATATTATTATTGTTTCGGCAAGTGCTGTAATATCTAATAAGCGCTCTTAAATATCTCTCGGGATTAGAAAGTATAAATAATTTAGTGTTTCTTCGGACAACCCCATACAACGAAAACTTAACCGTTCGCATGTATATTTTATGTAATCCCTGTGTAGACAAGCAATCCTCCAATAAAAAGCCAACATACAAATTTTCTTTATAGATGCAAAATTACACTAGTTTAGAACTTGAATCACACTAACGACATTTACAAGATAAATTTGCAAATATACAAGTTTCGAACAAATAACATTCGGTCGCTTTACCCAGACACAAACGGCCGTCTGGTGTAGTGGTAAGTGACATGGTCACTACACAAGGGGGTCGCGGGTTCGAATCCCGCCAAGGGAAGATATTTGTATGATAAATATAAATGTCTTTTCCAGGGTTATGGATGTATATTAAATATGTGTATGTGTATAATAAAAATCTTATATTTATTTCCGTAATCTGGTACCTGTAACACAAGTTCTTTATGAACTTATCACGGGACCAGTTAACGTGGCGTGACTGTTAGTAAATATTTATTATTTACTTTAATTTACTCGTTTGAAATCCTTCTCGTTCGCAGTTTCACTACAACTTTAGCGATTTTGTTTAACTATATCTGTGCTGACTTGGATAAGTTTTCGATAAATAACAATTTAATATCATTGCAGAGCAAACAATTTGACTAATAGGCCCCTCTGTATAATCCTGAGTTGGATGCTAGCAAAGCCCAAACACGTACTACAGTACGCAAATATTTACTTACAGCAAGACTTCGACGTGTTGTCTGTGTCATGCTCGCCGATGCAGTTCATGTTGCCAGTCAAAGGGGCAAAGGTAATCGTTTGAATCCATATTTTTATTTTTTTTATTTTTTTTATTTGCTTAGATGGGTGCACGAGCTCACAGCCCACCTGGTGTTAAGTGGTTACTGCAGCCCATAAACATCTACAATGTAAATGCGCCACTCAGCTTGAGATATAAGTTCTAAAGGTCTCAAGTATAATTACAATACAGTGCATACAAATATACGGGAGATGTATTTTTCAATGTTATAATTTGCTCATTTCAATGTTCTCGTTCCAGTTAATAGCCGCAGACCTAATGAACTTTTTAGAAAACAACCAAGCCTACGGCCCGCTTGTCATACATGGATTCTCTGTAGGCACTTACGTCTGGGCTGAGTTACTAGTTAAATCTTTGGAAAATATAAAAAGGTTTGATAAATTAATAATTTGTTACATTCACCTGTAGCTGAACATTCAGCAGAAGATTTTTATAAGCTCGACACTGGCAATAATGGCATCGCAAGAAGCCAATTGCCATACTTAAAAAAGAAGAATAAGAACCGCCTAGGGGGCATTTAGCTCACCCATTTATAAAATATACATAATATATTTTTATTATAAGCTCGCTTCGACTACATACTACTTCATATTAAATATTAAAATTGAATTTGTTCTTCATACTTTCATGACTTAACTATTGAAACAGTTACCATGAAATTCGCATACCCTTTGTCATGGCTACAGAAAAGAACATAATCATAGTCGCATTTAAAAGTTCATCAAGTCACTATATTACCTTTTCTGTACATATTTTATTTATTGACCGCAAAAAAGTATATGTTTTTCCACATTTCATTTTTTTTCAATAACATTTTCAGATATAAGCCAGTACTTGATCATGTCACTTCTCAAATTTGGGATTCGACGACCTACGTATATGAATTACATCTCGGACTTCCTTACGCTGTGTTCCCTAATAATAAAATTCTCCGGAAAGCATTTACAGCGTATTGTGTGTAAGTCAACATAATAATTAATATGAATGTAAGAATCAACAAATAGTTATACTAGAATTGATAATTAAGCAGGTGATTCTTCTTTATACATCAGATCGATTAGGTGATTATTATTTCTCTTTTACGATTGTTGCTTGCTATGTGCTTGTACACAGTGAATTTTGCTATCTTTTACAAGCCTAATTTAACCACGAAAACTGTCCTAAATGTCGGAAATAATAAACAAACGCAAGACTAACCCGTGAAACTAGTTTTAATTATAACTACATATTCCTAAAATGTTAGTTGATATAGCCTATAGCTAACTATTCCTAAAATGATAGTTCTAAGGTGAACCGAAAACTGAGACAGCATGCTTATGTTTTTACATTCTTTTAGTTCTCTCTCTGTACATGATATGAGAGATAAGGTCAGATATCCATGATATTACTGTCCTGAAATAGCGTTTGATTTCCCAAGATTTTTTTTTTGCTTAAGACGGTAGGTCAAAGAGGCGTAATTAGCACAATTTTCCAGGGATAATCACTCATGTCGGTCAGATAAACTACTAAATCTGTCTATAATGGTTGGATCACTTTAAATTATTCACGCATAATAATTTATCCTGTCGTATTAATTCAAGAGAAATTGATGACAACAATTTCAGTTTTCATTTGAAATTATTCCATAACACTGGGACGAAACATTACTTACGGGCGACGGACGTTTACCGCAACACACCTTGTCGAGCTCCCGGCCTGTTTCTCTGTTCTATGACGGATCCCATCGCAGCTGCCAAACGAATTAAACAAACCCACGACACTTGGAAATCTCTGGGTATCGAGGTACCTAATTAAGTTATTAATAAAATCATACCCTTTTGAGACCTTAGACCGTTTGTTTGGTTTTATTTATGGTTTTGGTCATTTTGGTCTTTTATGGATCTCACAAAGTAAAAACGACAATGCTAATAGACCTTGCGCGTCGTGACGGCCTGTACACATAATATTTAAAATCACTATTTGAAAACAATGGGAAATGAGGAGCCAAATAAACAGCGGTAGCTATCAAAGAATTTCAGATAATTTCAAGATCTTACATTACGGCAGTCAACCGACTAATGTCATCCAGCTAGTGGAAGGACTTATTTTTATTTTTTTATTGCTTAGATTGTTGGACCTACTCACAGCCCACCTGTTGTTAAGTGGTTACTGGAGCCCATAGACATCTACAACGTAAATGCGCCACCCACCTTGAATTATAAGTATAGTTATAATATTATATAAAGTCTCAGTATAGTTACAACGGCTGCCCCACCCTTCAAACCGAAACGCATTATTGCTTCACGGCAGAAATAGGTGGGGTGGTGGTACTTACCCGTGTGAACTCACAAGAGGTCCTACCACCAGTAATTACGCAAATTACAATTTTGCGGGTTTGTTTTGTAACATTATACAATTTTATTCCGTCATTCGTGAATATGTGCTAAGTATGTAGTTAATCCACTAGAAAAAATGTTTCTTACCTGCGGAATCTGAACACCAGCATATTCGCATAGCCAGGACGACTTCAAAAATTGTATTTGTTTTTAAATGAAATTATGTACTTAGATATTTGCGATGGAGATGCACTCCAAATAACATAGGTATGCATGCGAATTCGTAGTTTAACAAATAAGATGAAAGTACAAAGTAGGTATTTACGCTTGGCTCAACAAATGAAAATGTTTACTTTAAGGTCATTACTATTAATATTACTGTGATGATAGCGTTGTTTATACGACCTATATGGTGCTAAAAAGTAACTTTTTTCAAATTGGGATTAATTGTTACGCAATATTCGTAATATCTCATTTTTCAAATTTTAGGTTAACTGGAAATGTTGGGACGAGTCACCGCATGTAAAGCATTTGATTTACAATCGAGAAGAGTATCTTGCAGCGATCTATTCACATCTGCAGCAATCCGGGATAATGACTTCTGTTAGATAAATAGAAAACTCATGACCACAATTAATTTTTATTTCGTGTCGAATTATTTCTTTTTCTTCCAAACATGAAATCTCCACATTTCGATATATTCAGGTTTAACGCAGACCTGGCGGCTATCACTGTTCAGTTTCAGTGATTATTCCACAAGCTTTGCATGATCTTGCGAAGAATTTGCGAAATAACTGAAGCCCTGAAATTACCTGATGAGTTATCAACGAGTCATATTTATTTTTAGGTTTGATACAAAACGATGCATTTTAAAAGGGTCTTGAAGAAGTACCCGTAGTTGTAAATTATTGTGGCGAATGATCGTGTTCCTGTGATAAAACCCAAAAATGGACTAGAAGGAGGGTAGACAAAATTTTCTGCTCTTAACATCCTACCCACATTGTCCCATCATGTTGGTCTGCCGTAACAAGGACGCTCAGTGTTACCGGGAACACTAAAAGTATAATATTAGCACACGCTCTAATTGGTCTGGCAGACCAAATTTGCCTACCCAATCAGTACTCGCTACAGACGACCAGATCGGACTGATCGGACAGTCGTTTCACGGACGTCTTCAAGTGCACACGGCTGTCATTATGTCGTTGAACAAAAATATATGGTGGTAACGCCTGCTGTAAAATGAGCGCCCGCGCGGCCGTCTTTCTTGGCGTTCCAGATCTTACAAATTAAATATATTATCTATGATAGATAATGCACTTAATATCCTAAGCACAACGAGTCGTAGTTTTTTCGGCCTAACTGTCCACACGAGCAGATTCGGTATAGAGCAACCATATCCGATCTGCAAACTAGCAAACTAAGGCAGACTCAATCTATAAAATTCGACACTTGAAAGGCAAACGTGACTAAGCGACAATAACTGCTTTGTACATAAATGATAGGCAATAACCATATTCGATGAGCAAAAAAAATATATTTCTAGGTCTAATAAAATCATTTCAATCCTACAGCTAAATTCGTTAAAATAGATATTTTTTTAGGTATTTCAACTTTAAATTAGTCTACTGTAAAGTTCACGCATTGTCGCTTAGTCACGTTTGCCTTTCAAGCGTCGATTATTTAAAAACGAATTGCTTTTTTTTTTTTCCTACCTAAGCTGGTAGCCTAGAGAGGCTATTCCAGCGTAACCGTAACTAGTAGGTGAGCTCACGGGGCTCAAACCTGACGACGATGCTAACACGAACCCTACCCAGCAAGAGCCGTGCTTCGCAGAATCTACCACCGGATCGGAAACGCGACCCACTGAGAAGATCCGGCGAGAAACTCAGTGGGCTGTGTCTGAGAGTTAATTTACTCGTCGAGCCCTTCGTCGCAAGCGACGGGTTCGACGAGAATGGTGACCGGTGCTTGAAGTACCTAGAAGCACCGTTAGTGGATCGGGAGGATCCGAGATGACGTGTTTTGGGCAACGTCGACTGCTTTCCATTCTTTCCGCAGGATCAGGAATGTAGTTACCGGCGGCCACGATGAGCGGGTTCTCGTGTCGTGCCGCTTTATCGAAGTGGAGCGAATTGCTGTTCGTTAGTCTCGCTAAAACTCTAGAACGACTGGACCGATTTGGCTAATTTTGGTCTTGAATTATTTGTGGAAGTCCAGAGAAGGTTTAAAAGGTAGATAAATATGAAAATGCTCGGAATTAAATAAAAATAACAATTTTATTTTGCCTTTGATATGTCCCACGTCGGACGGATTCCTTTTTGTTTGTTTTAAGTTTATTTTATACAAAAGTTTAGGGTGTGGCGAAACCTTTGGTTCCGTCACGCGCATGCGCAGCTAAAAAAATCTAGGAGGCCATGAGCCGCCATAAGAAAACAAATTGTACATTTTTTTGCATAAAAATAAGCACTTTATTATTTTATTTAGAGCCGCTTTTATTTATCGATTGTGGCACTACGAAGTCTGCCGGGTCAGCTAGTCTATACTTAATATTATAATTAATATTATAAAGAGGAAAGATTTGTTTGTTTGTTTCGAATAGGCACCGAAACTACTGGATCGATTTGAAAAATTCTTTTTCCATTAGAAGCCGACATTGTCCTTGATGAACATAGGCTACTTTTTCTAATTTTTATTTTTTTATTTTATTTATTTCATGTGTGTTTTAATGTTTCCGAAGCGAAGCGAGGGCGGGTCGCTAGTTAATAATAATTATGTTCGCAAGACCACGCTTCAGACGGTCAGATCTGGTTTAGTAGCAAACCAAATTCGTGGTTTGTTCGAACCAAATTGGAGCGTGTATTAATTTTTTTTTTAACCTACCTAAGCTTTTTTTTATTGCTTAGATGGGTGGACGAGCTCACAGCCCACCTGGTGTTAAGTGGTTACTGGAGCCTATAGACATATACGACGTAAATGCGCCACCCACCTTGAGATATCAGTAATAATGTCTCTGTGTAGTTACACTGGCTGCCCCGCCCCTCAAACCGAAACGCATTACTGCTTCACGGTAGAAATAGGCAGGGTGGTGGTACCTACCCGCGCGGACTCACAAGAGGTCCTACCACCAGCTAAAGCTGAAATAGCCTTGAGAGGCTGTGTCTATGGGTTAATTCGCTCGTCGAGCCCTTCGCAAGCGACGGGTTCGACGAGGACGGTGACCGGTGCTTGTGGTACCTAAAATCACCGTTAATGGATCTGGAGGATCCGTAATGTCGTGTTTTGGGCGACGTCGACTGTTTACCATTCGATCTACAGGATCAGGTATTAGTTTCCAGCGGGAAGTGTTGATGCTTTAAAGAGCATAACAATAACAAGCGAGAATAATCCCGAGAATCCTCGTAGTCGCTGTCACGCCGAATGTCACGAGCGGTGCCAGCACTTAGTAGGTATGTATGATAGTTTTGTCGAAGCAATTTGGAGCTTCGACCTCAGGTATAAAGGTGGGAAATAGCACTCACGATGTTATAACTATGAGCTTCGGTCACTGCTTAATTTAATATTATAATGGGTAGTAAAAGGAGTGGATAATGAGCTCAATTAAAAAACCATTTTAGTCGATTGCCCTTAAAATTGCTAGGTCGTCTCGTCCCCATTAGTTAGTGAAAAAAACCCATCAAAATCTGATGCTTTAATATAAAAAAATATTTAAATTATGATGTAACACACAGTAATGCAATCTTATCAACGGCCTTGAAAAATATTTAGGAAAACGCACATGTTGAAATGTAAGTTTAAGGTCTCCTGATTAGACCGTTGATAATTAGACTCTGATCAAAGCATTGTATAATTGATAAATTGGTACCTACATCAAAATAAAAACTTACATTGTGTTGTTTTTATATTGCGGACGATTGTTTCAGTTGAATATGATGAAATTTTAGAATAGAATACCTTAAATACGTATTTCATTACAAAAATTAGTATCTAGCGGCGAGGTTTGAACACCGGCATAGTCGAAGTGCTTGATACGAGCAAATTGAGTACCTTATCTTTTAGATCACGACAACTTCAAAACTAATAAAACATTAAAACTACTACAAAACTAATAAAGTCTTATAACAAAAATGAAATCCGCAAAAATTATAATTTGTGTAATTACTGACCGCCCTACCTAAATATTTCTGCTGTAATAATGCGGTTTGAAGGGTGTGGTAGCCGTTATATTGTAAAACTTAGAACTCATGTCTCACGGTCATTAGCGTTAATTATGTTGTAGATGTCTATGAATTATGGTAACCACGGAACACCAGGTCGGCCGTGAGCTCGTCTACCCATCTAAGCGACAAAAAAATCGTAACCAATAATTAAAGATACATTACATAAATTCGAACGTAATTTCAATAAAAATAAATAATAGCTTAAAAAAACGGGTGCATGGTATAAGTAGTTATAAATATTTTATGAACAGATATGAGTAGAAGGGTTATTTTGATAATATCCTGAAAAGCACCCCACGCTTTTTTTACAATAAAATCATTTTTTCTTACACTATTCTTAATTCAAATTTATTAACATTCATTTTCTATTTTTTAGTTGGATTTTCTATAAAAGCGTAGGTATTTTTTTAGTTTTTTTAAACTATTATTTATTTTTCATTTTTTAGTTGAATTTAAATTTTTTCAATATATTTTTCAATTTTTTTTTAAATATTGAATTGTCGTCCGTCCTTAATAATTATACCATATTTCAATTTAATCCGACGTTTTAAGGGGGTCAAAATCATGTTCAAAGATTCCGTTACAAACATACATATACATACGTCTGAAGCTAATAAAAGCGTATTAAAAACGTCCAAGTCTTGAATGTAAGCCAGACAGACAGACACCTTATTTAGTCATGTAGGTAGGTTGACTGACTGACTGTGTGCGAGCGATGAAAGTCAAAGATCTCACATACATTCGTTATGTTGCTAAGTTCATTGCTTGCGTTTCGCATCAAAATCGATATAAAGCACTTGTGTGTCTAACTTGTTTACAAATAATTTTTAATAGTTGTGTATGGAGTGTTCATACAAAATAATTACGTAGAGCTGTGTTTTAGATAACAATTTCCGATTAGATGTGCAACCTACGAATATTGATATAAAACTTTTATCAATGATTGAAAAAAGTCGTGCGTAAAAATCGTGTTGTACTATAAGCTTAAAGTTGTAAGAGCACACTAGATATCAGTGGTAAGAGTGTACCTACATCAATTTTGTCTACTTATCTTCAAAAAAAATCCTTTTGATTTCTTGTTTTTTTCAACAAACTAGTTAGAACCGTTATACATAGATCCACGGATTGATTTGTATTGTATACGTGTGTATACAAACCACAATGCCGATATAATTAACACAAAATTTAAATGTTTGAGTTCAGTATCAAAAAGTTTTTATTATAATTATGTCTATTTTGAAAATTAAAATTGTAAAAATGCTAATTAACTTCGTATTCGAAATAATATGCATATACGCAATTCATATGCTAACATGTATTTTATATTCAAACGTATCATGTTCACATCACGCGGTTTGCACGACACATACGAGTGTATTATATCGTAGACATAATACCATTGACTTAATGTGAAATTAAAACAATTTAGGTACTTCCGAATGAATCATTCCAAAAATTGTAGCGATTCAAATAACAACAATACGCTCGTAATTTTCAAAGTTTGAATTTTATTTNATGCTAACATGTATTTTATATTCAAACGTATCATGTTCACATCACGCGGTTTGCACGACACATACGAGTGTATTATATCGTAGACATAATACCATTGACTTAATGTGAAATTAAAACAATTTAGGTACTTCCGAATGAATCATTCCAAAAATTGTAGCGATTCAAATAACAACAATACGCTCGTAATTTTCAAAGTTTGAATTTTATTTTGAGTATTTTTATTTCTTCGATACTAGCGATGCGTCTCTTTTTGTTTGAATAAATTTTCATGCTTTGTGCTGTGTCAGTGTAATCCAGTACTTAAATACTATAGTCATAATAGTAAATATCTAGTTTCGTCTAGAACAATGAAAACATAAGAATGCTTACTGAAGAAGAAACTGTACGCAGACACCGCCACAGTTCGTGTTGAATTTGCTTCTTAGTACACGCATACTACGAACAGATTCACGGTAAGATCAAATATTAAATATCTTTAAATTTTCAATAGTATTATTTCATAAGAGCAATTTATCGTTCACATAATATTCATATAAAAAATTGTGTGCCACAATAAAAAAAAAACTCATATAAATTAACAGCAGATTCATAAGCTCTGTCCACGAAACAAGGTATTTATTGGCATTAATTTTGATATCGAAGTCACACCCCCAGCTATCATAATATTTATCATAGCGTGGAATACCGTGGCCCATCTGGAGATATCTGGAGTCAATGAAAAAAACGAAGAATTGTTTGTGCTGATTAACGGAATCATAGTCTTGAAACAAACAAGAACACATAACTGTTTCTCACAAAAAATTGGCACTATAGTTGCATCTACGAATTTTGACCGACATTTCCGTTTTACGAACAATATACATGATAGAGGAGTGAGAGAGAATTATTATTATTCAATAATAGTAAATAATTTAACTGCATTTCTGTTATATACATATTATAATTGTATAGGCTGTTTTTATGCTTCGTTGTGTATCTTTTGGTTTTCCGCAGTAAATGAATTAAATGTGAATTAATCAATGTTAAATAACCGAATACTTAAAGAAATACTTATAGCCTGACAATTATCATTTGAACAAACATGAAACGTTCTGAACATTCGTCTAGTCGATACAGCGAGCCAAGCGAATCGTCGATGAAGATTTGAGCAGACGCTTGTTTTAAGATAAAACCATCATCTGAGTATTACACTTTTTGGTGGGGCTGTAATTTTGAACGTCTTTAACATATTTTCATTTCCTTCTCACAGAGTGCTTGCTAGTGGAACTTAAACATTGGACAATATGAGACGTTTTCAATTTAACACCATCCAGCTATTCATCAGTTTCGGAAAACGACAGACAAATGTAAGTTTTTATGTATCCTAATATCATTTACGCCATTTGCAAATCTGACAAAGATAAAGAAGCAGTTTTATAATTATTTTATTCGCTATAATATGCGAAATCAAAAGAGGTGCTGGTGGACATGAGGCTGAAGCCTTTTGACTCTGTCTAGACCGAGGTCACAATAATATCGCAAAAGCGGCTGTCAGAATTTTCACACCTCTAAGGTCATGGCTACTTACTGACTAAAATATACAAGACATTGGTATATATTAAGGTGAGAAAAACAGAGCCAGCAATACATATCTATATATTTTTAGGAGGTTAATGGCAAAGGGTATAAAGTTCTTCCATCGAGCGATTCATATTGTTCGGTACACTGACGGCCCAATTGTTATTGTTCGGAACTTGTGTATATTCAAACTTATCTTGAAATTTTCGAAAGAGAGATTCAAGCATCTATCCAAATATCTTGTGTTCTATGATGGCCACCGCCACATATTCTTATCCAGGATATCTAGCGTAGCGTTCATGGAACAACATATGCCGGCAAACATCCAAATCGCGCTAATGACAAATATTCATGATAATCTTGCAATAAGGTCTGGCAACATACTTATATTTTAAAAAAAAGTTTTTTTTCCTGTACTCGTAAATTTATTATTGCATTGGCGTCGTTTTAAAGATTAAATATTATATTATAATAGTATTTTAAAACGCAAAGTACATTCAGAGCCATCTTTCCAGGACGTAATTCATTTTCATTAGGTAGTAATCAAGGTTTAACTACCATCTCAAAAATCTTATCTTGATACACTTGGTTCAAATATATTTTTTTCATTTATTTAACACGGATATTTACAAGGGTAATCCTAGAAATTGTGAAAAATTATTATAAAATGCGTGGTCTTATAATTCGATCCATCACCTTTAAAAGCAAGGAAGTTGTCGCGATAGGACTCCAACCAGTCACCCTTTTGGATATATGGGGGACATGGGTAGTACTCCTCAAGGAAGACTTTTTTTTATTGCTTAGATGTTTAGTGGTTACTGGAGCCCATAGACATCTACAACGTAAATGCGCCACCTACCTTGAGATATAAGTTCTAAGGTCTCAAGTATAGTTATAACGGCTGCCCCACCCTTCAAATCGAAACGCATTACTGCTTCACGGCAAAAATAAGCAGGGCGGTGGTACCTACCCGCGCGGACTCACAAGAGGTCCTACCACCAGTAATGGAGAGATGGAACACCTTGTTGGTGCTATACAAAAGATGATTCAAACCTGTAAGCGCACATATCAATTCGGGGACCCATGTTTTAAGACCAACTGCGGGAATGCAATTCGGCACACTCGACCTATGATGTCGAGAAGTTTCTGCCACCGCTTGACTGTACAATGTCTGTTGCTTACCTCAGACAGAAAGCTATCACACAGGTGGACGTTCGGTGTAGCTCCTCCGTCATCGAAAGTTAGTTCGAAATTAAGTTTCACCACAAATCAGCCTTCTCTTTCACACGATTAGCCAGATATATATCGAATTAAGTTAACCTAACTTAACGGGACTTCCACGGACGCACGCGTTATTTTTAAATTGTAATTGTAGTTATAGACTGTATAATAAATTCCGAAGAATATTATTTGAAACGTCTGTCTACAAAACGCCATCTTTGCTTCTTCCCTTTATCGTTTTCCTATATACAGGGCTATATTTTATTTATGAATAAGTGAAATATCTGATCCTCGAGTAGTTGGAATATTATATTGATATATTTTAAATTCTCGCTTCAGATGTTTTAGGAAGCTACTAAAATGAGATAGATCTAATTGTTAACACTTTTTCGTAATACTAACTGTTTTAATTTGTTCAAACTGTATCTGTTGTCACTCTCACCGACGTCATATTTCAGGTTTTTAACAATGGAGCAGTTCGCGCAGATTTTTTTGATGCAACGCTGCTCTCGTGCAGATCAGTTCACATGCAAAACATCAGTAAAAACATGCAGTACATAAGCAAAGAAGACAGAAAAATTACTTTAGACCCGTATACTATGAAGTAAGTATGTTTCATGAATTCTTTATCTTTAATACATAGGTAGATAGATTAATGAACATACCTAAATAGTTTATTCTGCCACGAAGTACATTACGATCTTACTCCCTATTTACAACACTTCATCTTTTTAAAAAAAAATCAATTAACAGGTAACATGGACGAAGCTATAAAGGTGTAGTCTGAATTTAGGATCACCGATTATCGATAACAGAGTTAATGTAAATTAATATTTACAACAAAGATTACGACCCCGAAAATCAGAAGCTACATTTTAACGGTTTTTTTTTTCTTTTCTAGACATTTTCAATCTTTCCAAATACTGTAATATACTTATTACGATACGTTTTTACTAAGTACGAACATTATAATATCTACTAAAATAACCTTTATTAAAATTTATTATCATAGAAACGTTAAATATTTAACTTCATGTCTGTAATTTTTTATATTTCCACAAATTCGACCGTGGAATTTTGAATACAATTGTCGAAAGAAAACATTTGTTATTTATGTTATGTACTCAAATGATTTCGGTTTCACCCGATTCAATGTCGCTCATTAAAATAAATGTATTTTTAAAGCTTAGATGAGTGAACGAGCCCACCTGATTTTAAGTGGTTGCCAGAACCTATAGGAAACACAACGTGTATTCCACCTTAAGATTTGAAGTATAAGTCCCAATTTAGACTAATTAAAGTTTTTGCGGGTTTTATGTGTCAACATTTTAAGCTTTCATGGTAGAAGCCATTTTTGAATAGAAGTACGTACTGCCTGCGGAATTTGAACACCGGCATAGCTGCATCATTCGATGCAATACACAAGCCGTCTTATTCTTTAAGCCACGACATCTTACTAATAAAAATTAATTGTTACATGTTTATACCTATTTTTAGACACTTTCGTCTTTCTTTCACTATGTTTGAAATTTATTTCAATTCCTTTTTGGTGGCAATAAGCAGAGAAGCTTTGGGCACACCTTATAGCTTTTGGTGGCCGCCGTTTCTTATCTTATAGTAGATCTCTTACAACTGATACACTGAAACCGATAATGTAAGAGCTATCTCAGTTGAAACACTTATTACACCATGCTTTTAAAAAAATGATAATCAGCTGCTACAAAATTGTAGCAGTTCCAATCATTAGTAAAGAACATTAATATGTATGCGGAGTATGGATAATAAATCCAATGTTACTTTTATCAGCTAAATAAACTAAACTAAAATATTTCTCATTAAAACGATTCACAATTTAATTAACCACCTGCGCATCCTATTGTTATGTTTTATTTAATTTATATTAAATATAACTTCGATTATATTAAAATTTATATTATACATCCGGTTCTCTCTTCAAAGTTACTAAACAGTACCAAGATTCGGATATACAAGACTATGAGTATAGTCTTTTTTTTATTGCTTAGATGGGTGGACGAGCTCACAGCCCACCTGGTGTAAAGTGGTTACTGGAGCCCATAGACATCTACAACGTAAATGCGCCACCCACCTTGAGATATAAGTTCTAAGGTCTTAAGTATAGTTACAACGGCTGCCCCACCCTTCAAACCGAAACGTATTACTGCTTCACGGCAGAAATAGGCAGGGTGGTGGTACCTATCCGCGCGGACTCACAAGAGGTCCTACCACCAGTTAAGATCAGACCAATCTTACTGTATGGATGTGAAGCATGGACGCTTATACAGAAAGAAGAGACGAAACCTTTTGTGACTGAGCGAAAGATCGGCACGTCCGGAAAAACAAGGATGTTGAAAGGCTTTTTGGTGAGCCAAACATTCTAGGGTGATGAAGGCGCGGAGGCTCGAATGTCTCGGACATGTAGTGCGTGTGGAGCAGGATCGGCCTGTGAAACAGGTATACGCGGGTGTACCGGAGAGACGTCACCCCGTAGGGACGGCTAAGTACCGCTGGTCTGACGCTGTGGAAAGAAATTTCCTGAGCTTCAAGTGTCGGACTGGCAAGGCGTTGCGCAGCGCCGGGATAAATGGCAACGTTTATTGTCGGAGGCCAAGACCCATTTCGGGGTCATAGCTCCAGCGCAGTAGTAGTAGTAGTAGTACATATTTCACTTTCATTTTTTAGATCATATAAATAATTAGATTGTAATTAATATAAATTTATTAAGGGTTTAATATTGACGGACTTAGTGGTTCAAAATCGGACCTCTCGTTGAAAGTTCGGACCTCTGGAACTCAAAGTTGGAACTAAAGAACTACAGGGCTCTCAGTCGGATCTATTTCGAGCTAGAGGGTCCTATATAGGCTCTAAATTTCGAGTTGGAGGAGCAGGGATAGCAATGAATACCAACACCCACCTTGGAACTTGGTACCAAATTCTCAAATATAACGGGGAGGTAAAAACTGATCAAATTTACGCACAAAAAATTTGCTAAAATTATCCCAACACCACAGTGTCAAGACTGTATACCATTCAACCAACCACGATACGCATAGGGGCCATCTGTACAAAATGCGCTTATATATTATTATATTGGTCAACATCGATTTAATTTTCATATATCAGTAAAATAAAATACACTAAAGATAAAATTCCGATTGTACTATTACAGAACAAACAATCCGATTCAAAGACCTCTATGCGTAATGATGAACTGGATGCTAGCGAAGCCCAAGCACGTTCTAAAGTACGCTAATGTTTACCTAGAGCAGGACTTTGACGTTGTGGCCGTATCGTGCTCGCCGATGCAACTCATGTGGCCAGTCAAAGGCTCAAAGGTATAATAATGTTGTATCATTGTATGTAATACTAGGTTTTGCCCACGACTTCGTCCGCGTGGTTCACAAATAATGCTTTATTTTAGAACAAATTTGGTTAGCATAAAAAACGTTATAGTTAGCCAACCTAACATATAGACATATGCTGCCGCGGACTTTTTTTTAGATATTTTAAAGGGGAACAATCCTGTCATACATTATTTTAGCGCAATTTTAATCGTTTCTGCAGCGCACGCAGCGGAAGCTCCCAAAAAGTAAAAATACCCCGATTTTGAAACATTCTTTATTAGTGCTCCGCTTGTATTGGTCTTAGCGTGATATTATAATATATAATTGTAATAAATGGGCTATCTAACACTGAAAGAATTTTTCAAATCGGACCAGTAGCTCCTGAGATTAGCGCGTTCAAACAAACAAACTCTTCAGCTTAGCATATTAGCATATTAGCATATTAGTATATAGATGTAAAGAGCCGTTTAGTTTTGGCAGTTTAATTTCTATTAAAACACCTCATTTCAGATAATTGCGGCAGACTTGATGAAATTTTTAGAAAACAATCCGTCCTACGGTCCTCTTGTCGTACACGGATTCTCAGTGGGAGCATATGTATGGGCTGAACTACTGGTTCATTCTTTAGAAAACAAGGAAAGGTTATTATTAATGTTCAATAATTGATGAATAATTCAGTTTTTTAAGTCTGTCAACCCTGACCACTACGTTTTTGCTACTATGCAAATTCTTTGCTAATTATCTAAATTTGATTGTGTACATTCTCCTTCCATATATATATAATTGTGAAATTATATATTATGTTTTATATATGTTTATATGTGCAGGTACCAACCCGTTCTCGACCGTGTAAACGCACAAATTTGGGACTCACCAGCCGATGTGTATGAAATCCCCATTGGACTTCCAAATGCTGTGTTCCCTAAGAATAAGATCCTCCAGAAAGCTCTCAGAGCTTACACAATGTAAGTGAGCTATGTGAATACAGTGATCTATAAATTAATTGTTACAGCAGTTCAGAGGTGAAATGGAATTAATTAATATTTTATTTTGAGGTGTAGGGTCGCATGCGGTTCTGTTGCACGTGGTAGGTTCTGCTGCGGTGGTAGGCTTGGTAGTCTTATCACAATCGTTTATTTCAATGCAATGGAGAATTATGCGACCTCATATATGAAATTGGGTGGTGACGTTCTCATTAAGATGCCGACGTTGGCTCTTAACATCAGAAGGTCCAAGAGACTGACTGCCAATCTACACAAAAACAAAAAAAAACAAAAAAAACAAAGATTTTTTTATACCCACTAATTAATATTTCCTTTTTCTCTTCTGGTCTTGGCCTCCAGCATTATATATTACTCTCTTTCACAATTAACATTTTTTATATCATGTAAACAAAAAATCTAGCATGAACACATAATGAACTTCATAAATACGTAGAATAAATTACAATTTCAAATGTGCTTTAATAACTAATTATGTGAACAAAAAGCAAAAATTCTTAAAGATAATTTTAATAGACAATGAACGTGTCAAGCACCATGTTTTTTTGCCAGCACGTGACTGGTTTTTTTTTATTTTTTTATTTCTTAGATGTGTGAACGAGCTCACAACCCACCTGTTGTTAAGTGGTTACTGGAGCCCATAGACATCCACAACGTAAATGCGCCACCCATCTTGAAATATAAGTTCTAAGGTCTCAAGTATAGTTACAACGGCTGCCCCACCCTTCAAACCGAAACGTATTACTGCTTCACGGCAGATATAGGCAAGGTGGTGGTACCCACCCGCACGGACTCACAAGAGGTCCTACCACCAGTAATTACGCAAATTATAATTTGGAAATAAAATTAAAACGATAATTAATTCCAGCTTTCATATGAAATTGTTAAATAATGTGGCGACTAAACACTACATGCGTGCAACACAAGTTTACCACAACACACCTTGTCGAGCGCCGGGACTGTTTCTATGTTCGTTGACGGATCCCATCGGCGCAGCCAAACGAAGTAGGCACGCTCATGACACGTGGAAATCTCTGGGAGTCAAGGTAAATTAAACACTGACCTCATCTCCTCACCTCTGACCTCGGAAATTACATCCACAGAAGCTTCTCAATTATTCAGTAAGGTCCAAGGTCACATTACACGACTTCAGTGATGATTTGGTGTATCAGCTATCAAGATGTGCCGAGCCATATTTTTGTATAAAAAGCCATGAAAACGTCGGCTATGGTGAATAAAAAGGTGGTTAAGTTTGTAACTCATTCTTAGTAGGTACTCTTAGCAAAACTCGGCACTGGGCAATAAATAAATAAATAAATAATGGAATAATAATAATAATAAAAAGAATAATAATTCTAATAATAATGGAAGCATATTTTCATACTGAAATTGATATTGTTATTATATCAATTAGAGTCAAAGGAATGTTATCTATTATCAATCTTGTTATGTTTGTTCTAGAATCATCTGATTGGTATTCATATCGTATTCTAAAGACGAGTTACAATATATTAATTAATATGATATCTATACTTATACTTAATATTATAAAGAGGAAAGATTTGTTTGTTTGTTTGTTTGTATTGAATAGGCTCCGAAATACTGAACTGATTTAAAAAAATTATTCAATGTTGGAAAGCAAGCGAAGCCGGGGCGGGCCGCTGGTTAATCATAAAGATATACCTACATTTTGAAGAAGAATTATTTTCTCAAAAGACTTAATAAAGTACCTGTGACATAAAAAAATCCACCATCAGCTTACAATAAATAAGCTATACTTTTTCAAAAAATACAAATCGATTTCCTAATCGTCATACGCACATAATGCATATAAGCCAAATCTAGGAGTATACCAAACTGACTAAATTGCGTTTTTAATACAGGTTAACTGGAAGTGCTGGGACAAATCTCCTCACATACAACATTTTATTTACCATACAGAAGAATATCTTGCAGCACTCTATTCACATTTAGGACAATCAGGGGTAATTAAGCCGATAGCACAAAGGTAAAATTCTTAGGTAAACTATAAATAGATAATAAAAATGAATAAGAGGTCGACAAAAAAGAAACCGAATACCACATAATATATTTTTTTATTTTGTTTTTACTCATAATGGTGCGTGACATTGTTTACTATAAGATCATATTAAATGAACACTTTACAGATTGTATTTTATTTTATTCCACTCTGTATTGATGCAAACTATAAGCATTATAATTAATTGAATCAATTCTGTAATGTCTGACGACACCACTCAAACCCGATTCTTGATATGCTGGATTCGTAATTTTTGCTAGGACAAAACTAGGCAAGTAGTAAGGACAGTCTTTTTTTTTAACAGAATAACATTTCGTCGTTCTGTTTATCTTGGTTAGGATATTATATTATTGTATTGACATCGGGGTTTGATACGTGTGCAATTGTCAAATGAATCTTGTCTTGTCTTGAATTTGATGAAAATAGCGTTGAAAGCTTAGAGTATACATAAAATATGTATACCCTAAGGTTGAAAGGTTTCGTCACGTATGTAGATAGAACATTTTAGCGTAATTATAACACTCTTAAATTCAAGACGAAAGAAACAAGCAGGATTATACCTGGTGCATTGCACCTAATGAGCTGTGAAAAGCTTTTCTTAATCTGGGCCTCATATTTTTGTCCGCGCTCATTAGGGATTTAATTTTTTTATTTATGACATGTGGGTGGACGAGCTCACGGCCCACCTGTTGTTAAGTGGTTACCGGAGCCTATAAACATCTACAACGAAAATGCCGCCACTCACCTTGAGACATGAGTTGTAAAGTCTCACTTTAAACAGTACAACGGCTGCCCCGCCCTTCAAACCGAAACGCATTACTGCTTTACGGCAGAAACAGGCGGGGTGGTGGTACCTACCCGTGCGGACTATTAATACATTGATTCGAAAAAATATCAGACTCCTCCTGCGTTTTAGAGAGACGGGTAGGCAGGTAACGATTTATGCGTCATTGAAAATTATGTAAAACGTAACTATTGTATTCAAATTTCCAACGTCGAATACAGCCAGCCAGCTCTGGCTGTATTTATTAACTGTGTTTTGTTATCTGTAATGTATGTTTTCATTACCGCTTCCCTAACACAAGAGAAAACCTGGGCCTATCGTCTTAAATGATAGGTATAGTATTAAGGTTTTTGAAATAATAAAACATAATCTGTAACATATTTTACTTAACATACTTAATGTGTAATGAACAGAACTCATTGTGTTCGACGTTTATTCTTTTTTCTCCGCGACTCATTAGTCTTGTTGATCGGCTGTTTGGGCTGCTTGATCCTCTCCCTCGCCAACCTCTTCAGTTTCAGTGCGTGCTTGCCTTTCTTTTTCTCAATCTTCATGGCCTTTTTATGTACCTCAGCCTGTTCCTTTAACTTAAAATTACTTCTCATTTTATGTTGGGTTCCTTCCTTAGCTGTTAATCCTGTAAATTCGTTGACATTTTCTACTTTAGGGTTTCTAACGAATCTACCATATTCGGTGTTGTTCTGTTTATTCTTCTTATCGTATCTCCCTTTCTTTGCGTAACCTTCTTCGGGTGCTTTGTTCGCTTTTCTCTTTCTGTTTTTCCCGTAGTCTATGGCTCCGTTATTTTCTTGTTTTTTAGCGAGCGGATTGTTGGCGACTGACTTTTCTAGTCTCTTCTTTCTTGCGTTCAGAGCTGTCCGATCTTCTATTGAGAACGACACGATTGGTCTCTGTAGAAGAATAATAACGAATGAGAAACTTCAGTCACGACTTTTTTTATTGCTTAGATGGGTGGACGAGATCACAGCCCACCTGGAGTTAGGTGGTTACTGGAGCCCATAGACATCTACAACGTAAATGCGCCACCCACCTTGAGATATAAGTTCTAAAGTCTCAAGTATAGTTACAACGGCTGCCTCACCTTTCAAACCGAAACGCATTACTGCTTCACGGCAGAAATAGGCAGGGTGGTGGTATCTGTCCTTGCGGACTCACAAGAGGTCGGTCCTACCACCAGTATTAACCATTTATAAATTTGATGTGATTTAGTTAATCTTAAGGAGATTTTGAATTGATTTTGAAAAACAGACATAGAACAAATAATCATTTTTATAAAATAAGTCACAAAATAAATAAAAATTTCTACAATCGTTTTTTGTAGTTATACATTTTATGAAAATTGGAATGAAAATCGGGTATACCCACGTTATTTTTATCAAATATATCCGGATTATTGTTCAATTTCCTGAGACAGGCCAAGGCGTCTTCGTGTCTTGTAAACATCACGAAACCGTAACCTTTAGATCTGTAAAAGAGAAATTAGTAATATATTTGTAGAGCTATTTTATGAGATTTTTTTTTAAACTGGTTTCAAGAAGATGAATTTATATGAGTCAAGGGCGGTTTCACTGTCCACCAAGGCCTCAACAGCTACTGTGTGTGATGGTGCTCGTCATCACTACAATGTGAACATTGTATTGTCCGTCTTGAGGTGTCCAATCCTCAACTAGTTTTATATTTTTCTATACTAATATTATAAAGAGGAAAGATTTGTTTGTTTGTTTGTTTCGAATAGGCTCCGAAACTACTGGACCGATTTGAAAAATTCTTTTTTCATTAGAAGCCGACATTGTCCCTGATGAACATAGGCTACTTTTTTTATTATTTTTTTATTTTTATATTTTTGGTTTCATGTGTGTTTTAATGTTTCCGAAGCGAAGCGAGGGCGGGTCGCTAGTGTTATAATAAAACCACTCAAAAATTGACATACCTAATTAGAAAACAGAAAGTATTGTGTCATCGATGATTTCAGAATAGGTATTTAAGATATGCGTATCACAAAATAACAACTTGATATTTTTGGTAAAAAATATTTACTGATCCAAATTTCAACGACCGAGAATACTAATAATAGTAATAATAATACTGACGGATGTTTCCCGTCCCTCCCGACCGGCGCGCGGAGGTCCCGCATGACGCGCGCCTCCGTCAGCACGCCGCCCCTCCTCGCCGCGCCCCGCCCCCCGCCCTCGTCCATCCCCGCCGCGCGACTGCACACGCGGCGCAGCGTGGAGTCGTCACAGTTCGGCGGCAGGTTCGATACTACCAGGCGGTACCGCGATACGAATCTAGAAGAAAAAATTACAGTTATAGATCTTTTTTGATAGTATATGTTAAAATTATCTTTTCATCATCATCATTCTCCTGCCCTTCTCCCAGTCACCAGACGTCGGCACAACATGTTTTCTCCTTTCATACTCTTCTTCTTCTATATCGTTCCCTCACTACTGAGGATTGCGACCACATGTGACGTTCTTCCACTGTGTTTGGGTGGCATGGACCGCATGGTACAGACTACCACCAAGTGCTTCTCTTACTAGATCTGATCATCTGCCCACGGCGCGCTTGCCCTCTATGCGACCCGCAATTATGAGCTTCTCTAATTCATGTCTGGGAGATCGCATTATGTGTCCGAAGGAGCTCATAACATATACCATTTCTTCGCTCAGTCTCCTCTGTCTTTCACGCAATCCATGCATTTCTTCTTAGGTCTACCTCTTCCTCTATAGTCTTCCACATTCATAGTTAACACTCTCTTACCAACCTCATTATCATTTCGTCACATCACATGTCTATACCATCCCAAATGCGCACTTCTCAACTTCTCTGTCAAACGTGCCACTTTCAGACTGTCTCTAACATATTCATTCATAAAAGTGTGTTTTATTATTAGGAAATTACAAAAAAATACAAAAAGTTTGGCAGGGGTGATTACTATTGAGATGCCCAGCTTGATGTGATCTACCGGAGATACGGAGTTGAACTCTCAATTGTATTTGTGAAATGGAACAGATGAGTGTTTCGGGGCAGAAATAGGTAGAATAGTGCTTCTCATCTGTGCGGACTCAGAATACGCCTTATCACCAGTGCATGTGAGTTGGCACTCGCAGTATTCAAGTGTAGTAATGAGAAGAATTATCTTTCTCAATGCTCAATAATTCACTGACCTATTCAAATTCTTTAACATCTGTGTCTTACTTCGCTCTAAGGCCAATCTCTTAGACATATCGGAAGCTGATACACCAACAGCTGCTTTTGTACCGGCCACTATGACTGTAATGACAAAAAACAAATTTACTAAACTACACAAATCCATACTAATATTATAAATAGGAAAGTGTCTTTGTTTATTTGTCCTTAACGAAGCAACAGATTGACATGATTTTTTTAAAGACATAATTTTAAGTCCAGTAATTGACAAAGGGAACATTTTGAAGAAGAAAAAAATTGCCTTCGTAGGCAGACTAGCATACGGCCCACCTGATGGTAAGTGGTTACCGTCGTACGTCAGCAACGCCAGTGGCAGAGCCAAGCCGCTGCCTACCGTTACACATTTCTTGACATTTAAAATAAAATCATTAACCCTTTTCTTTAACACGCATGCGAATCCGGGGGTAACAGCTAGCAAATTATAAACAAGCTCCTCTCCAGTAAATGTTTACAAAATATCAACACAAGTATTTACTCAGGGTGTCTACAGTTTACCCCATAGCCTTGTTTCCAAATCCATAGGCACCCCAACTTGTGTCTACATAATATAACCTCAAGACGCAAGGTAAAAAAGTCCAAGAAACTGATATAATACACTAGCATTTGTATATTAACTGGAATAATTATTCCATTCCAGTTCCAAAGGTAGTAAGTAATAACAGTAGTAAAGGCAGCCGTTGTACTGTAAGAACTGAGACCTTACAACTTATATCTCCAGGTAGGTGACGGCATTTATGTTGTAGATATCTATGGGCTCCGGTAACCACTTAACATCGTGATCTGTGAGCTCGTCCACCCATCTAAGCAATAAAAAAAACACTTGACCAAAAGAACTACGTTGTGGACCGAAATATACCTCCTTCTTTGACGAGATATAAATTCCTGTTATCTTTAGGTTCTTTCTTCTTGCCATTCTGTAAATTTTCTTTCTTTAATGCCGGCTTCACCTGTAACACCTGACCCTCCAGCTTCAAATGATCTGCCGATGCTGACAGGATTTTATCTGCATCCTCCTTGTTCTGAAATTTAATTAAAGCATTCAAACTTTAAAGTCTCACAGTTATTGCTGAACATCAAGTGGACTATGAAATTATTTTTCCATCTAAACCAATAAAAATAAATAACTGTTCAAATAATCAGTTTACATCACCAATATTAAACATTAGCATTTTTTAGTAATTTCTTGACTAAGTTTTTGAAATGCCATCCTATCCAGGTTCTTACTCCAGACTCTTTGTTGCATACTCATTAAATTTTTCTAGTGTCATTTTAGGCTTGGGAATCACTAGACTACATACAGTCTCAAATACAGCAAAACAATATTACATTAAATTAATATTATCTATATATATAAAAATTAATTGCTGTTCGTTCGTCTCGCTAAAACTCGAGAACGGCTGGACCGATTTAGCTAAGTTTGGTCTAAAATTATTTGTGGAAGTCCAGAGAAGGTTTAAAAGGTAGATAAATATGAAAATGCTCGGAATGAAATAAAAATAACAATTTTGTTTTTCCTTTGATGTGTCCCCCGTCGGACGGATTCCTTTTGTTTGTTTCTAAGTTTATTTTATATAAAAGTTTAAGTCTTTTATTTATCGATTGAGTCACTACGAAGTCTGCCGGGTCAGCTAGAATTATTATAATTATCTTCTCGAGTGCTTAACTTGAAATTGACAACTCGTTAAATTCAAAACAACTCACCACAAATTTAATAAAGCCAGTTCCTTTAGAATGTTCAGTGAGTTTATCCATACATATAAGTGCATATTTCACGGGCCCGATTTTCTCGGCGAAATCTCTTAACTGATCATTATCTATACTAAAAGGTATATTTGTTACAAAGACTGTGCATCCGTCTTCAGCATCGTTTAATCTTATCCTGTAATTAAAGTGTAATAATAAGTTAATGATTTGTAATATAAACTTTTTTTTTTGCAATAAAATGACCATGTGATGTAATATTATTGTTAAATCCATTACAGTGATACAGCATGAATGTGATCACCTAGCTTGAGCTCTCTAATAGAATAATAGATTTTACTTCTGCTTTTTCTATCACATTATTGCTTTACAGTAAGTAGAAGTGGATTGGTACAGAATTTCTTACGTTTTAATGAATAGTGTAGACACGCCCTTTTACTCTTTTATTTTTGTGTCTTTTTGGCTTATTTTTCCTCAAACTAAGCTCTATTGCACTATATCTAAATGTATAAAATACACACATTTCGTCTTTTCTCATTAAAAGTTTACAATTTCCTAAAATATTCGAAATTGGGTTAATATGCGGAGTCATTCAATATCACCAGTATTTTTCTCATAAATACTGTCAAAAGAGGTAGTTTCATTTTAGATTATTTTTTTAGTTTGCCTATGATTTGACTACTATTAACAAAATTAATTCATAATTTTATCTTACTTTAATAGACAGATAATGTAACAGGTAAAAAATAAAAAATAAATGTTGCAAAAATAATTAATATCAAAAATATGACATGTTAAACCTTTAAAACACTCTCCTGTAAAATTAGCAAGTTTTGAGATTATACAGTTTTAATGCGAGTAGACGATTGGTTCAAGTAATTAGTATAGTTCATAATTAGTGAATCTAAAACCAGCCTTTAAATTTACGCACAATTTTTTTAGGCAATATTATAAGGAATAAGGGCGTATGTCGAAAAACATTTGATATGGTCACTTACGGCTTTGCTTCTACTATGATCTACAGCTGATAATATAAAATAAACAATTGACATTTTATTTTATTTTAACATCAATATAATAAAAATATGTTATGAATAATAGGCAATACCAACCAAAAGGTAGGAGTTCTAGAAAAGAAGACTGGTAACACTGGTAATTTCTGATAGACATTAAAATTTATGTTGTGATTGCTTCTATTGTTTTTATTCTGTCAATGAAATTTACCATACCTTTTTGTTTCAGCCTGTGTGCTAGTCTGACTTAAGTTATCATCCATATCTTCCTGATCTTCATCAGCTGACTCTTCGTCTTCTTCTTTCTCATCATCACTATTGTCTTCTTTTTCTGAATCACTTTCTGACTTTACATTATCATCAGTGTCATCATCAGATTCACCTGGCAATATATGTTCAGTTAATGATTTACTTGTTGGTACTTAAGCTAGCGGGCCAAGAATAACTTATTACAAGATTTTTATCTAATTAGGTATTTAATCAATTTAATTTACATAATATTGAGGTGTCTAAGCTAGCACTCTGCCTTAAAAGTGAATTAAACTTACTCTTAACTTCTGGTTTAATATCATCACTTGACAAATTCAATTGTGCTCCATCATCATCACTATCTGACTCCTCCTTCTTGACTTGGTCCTGAAGCTCAAGTTGTTGGTGCACGATGTGTTGCATATACTTGTCTTTCGGTACAGCCCAGTCCACTGATATTGGTCTGCCTATAACACAACACCTAATATAAGTAATACCAAATATCTAGAAATTAAAGGCTTCGTCAAACAGAACGCGTAATTAGCGCGCGTCAGTATAGCGCTTATAGCGCTGGCGCTCTGTGTGACGGTATGATACCGTAGTAGTACAACACATCTCGGAGTCATAGCGCGGCGTTAGATTAGCGCTCTGACGCGCGCTAAGCACGCGTTGTGTTTGACGAAGCCTTAATTTGTTTAGTAGTTAAAGATATATATTCCCGGTATTTTACATTTTTTATTATTATTTTAAATACCATGGCTTATTAGCATCAGTGTATTCTCAGCTCAATTTGACAAATGATACAAATAATAAACAAATAAACGTGTAGTCTTTTTTCATTGTAGATTTATTATATACTTTAAAATCTGAAACTTCAGACTGAACAGAAACTTCAAAATTGCTATCGTAAATGAACAAGTAAGAAACCTTTAAAAAAATTGATAATGGAGATAGCTGTTATCAAAATAAATGCACATTAAAGTTTAAGGTATCACTCAATTAAACTGCAGTAATTGAAGAAGACAAAATGAGGTATTCCTACAGCACTGCCAACAGACAGTAGCAGAAGAGCACTTGTGCACACTGCTGTTTGTACTCACCTAAAAAAGGTTTCATATTTGTATTCAATAATGCTTTCTTAGCCATTGGTACATTCTTGTAATGAACAAAAGCACATCCAACCAATTTTCCATCTGGCTTTTTTAGTAATTTCACCTCCAGTATATCACCATAAGGTGCAAAATATTCTTTTAAGGATTCTTCTGTGGCTTTAAATGATACATTTCTAATAACTAATCGAGCATTTCTATTAACTCTTGGTTTTTGTTTTTCTGGTTCAGTTTTGATTTCTCTTTTACCTGTTAAAATAGATAAAAGTAAGAAGAGATTATTATGCAGTTTAGTTTTTTGTTTTTTTTTCAGGTTTTGAGATAAACATCAGAGGATCCATCCAGTATTATGCCATTCGCTTTTTTTTACATTAAAATAAATATGCTGGCCTTCAAAATAGGAAATAAATTTCCTTAATTTCCTCCTAAAAAGGAAATAAAACACCATTCCTATGATAATTATGGTATCCTCTAGCTTAATACGCTGTAACTTGGTTATATTTTGTAGCGGGTAGCCATCATACAACGCAAGATATTTGACAGATGCCTGAATCTCGCTAAGGACATTTTCAAGATAAGCTTGCATATATACAAGTTCCGAACAATAACATTCGGACCGTCGGTCTACCGAGCAAATATCATCGGCTCGGTGGAAGATCTTTCCTTTGTCGTAAATCTCTCCAAATATTTCATTTGACAAGACCTTGTCTGCATGTGATAGTAACTAGTATTTCTACCAGTATGTTTTACATGCATTATTTTATTTAAATATACAGATATATATGTAAATGTAATGTAAATATACAGTTTTTTATATGCAATTTATGAAATTCACATAAAACAACAGGTAACAAGAATACTGTTATGTTATGTTGATATTTGATGGTATGAACTAAAAATATTATACTTACATTTAATTTCACTTTTTTCAGGTTTACTCTTTCTATCATCTGTAGCTTCATTGTCCTGTCTCTGCTCACTGTATTTGTATCTAGGAATAGCCCACCCCACTTGTATCGGTCTATCTGGATATTTTTAGAATTATCAAACATATGTTCTTTATTTTCATATCAAATGTGAAGATGGAGTAATATTTTGGAATAAATAACTCTTCTTGTTTCTACTTTAGTCTTATGGAAATTTCAGGTCATTATCTGGCTGGATGTGTGGTGTCAGCCTATAATTTTCCTATGATTGTTGTAAAAGGCGACTAAGGAATTTACTAGAGAATGGGCAGCAGAATACTTTGAGTATTATTCCAGCTTACTGCAACTGTCAAGTCTCAGAATCTGATGCTGAATATTGTAAGCCTTATAAAATTATATAAATATAAATTGGTGCAAAAAGTCTCAGGACGGTATTCACATTGTGATGTCTATGGGCATTGCACTGGATGGGCCATAAGCTTGTTCTCATATCTTGAGGAATGAAAAAATCAAGAGCTAAGTTTTTTATTGATTTTATGCATGCACAGAATTTACTTGCGGGGTCTGTTGAAATGTTGTATTGGAAATTATATAATTCTGTTTATTAGCCAATTTTCTTTATTGCCATATTAAACCCCTTATTTTACCTACTTAAGTAAAAGTGAAAAAAGCTAGTGGATGCTTACAACATGAAACATCCTAACCAACAGATATTTTCTAACCAGAGTAGCTTACACTCTATGTTGATGAATTAGCTAGGCCACGTAATTACATATATGATATAAACAAAAGTGAATTAGGTTGATTTTTTTATTTGCGTATATAGGTGAACAAGCTCACAGCCCAGTGTTAAGTGGTTACCAGCACTGATGGACATGAGACATGAGGTTGGAGTCTCGATTTTATTGCACTATGGCTGTCAAATTGGAACCATTGCCTCGCAGTTGATATAATATGTAGGAAGAATGGCAACCACTATAAACGCATGCACGATCTCTTCGTTTATTTGTATTAAGCATGTCTGACGACAGCTGTTATTTTGGGGAGTAATATAAAACTAAAGAAATAAATATTATTGCGTGAAATTATTTAGAAATACATACCAAGAAACAGTTTTTTATTTGTAGCTGACAAAGCTTTATTTGCCATGGGAACTTGAGTGAAATGCACAAAGCCACATCCAACCAATTTACCATCTGGTCTCCTCAATAGCTTTACTTCTTCCACGGTACCATAATGTGAAAAATGTTCTCTTAATTCTTTTTCAGTGGCTTTGAAAGATAAATTTCTTACTATGAGTCTCGCATTTCTGTTCACCCCATCTTTGTATTTTGAATTTTCGTCTGTAGAATCATTAGTATCGTTGTAATCATTTCCCATTTTCCAGTTTTAGAAGAAGCCGTTTTTTGACTCCAAATACTAATACAAGGTTCACGTGCGATTCAAAACATAACCTCTACTCTACACTACATTAAATGTTTAGCATAGATTTTTTTTTGGTACGATTTTTCCTTATTAGGAAAGGCAAGGAGATCTAAGAGTATACAGCCTTATAACATAGATTATACACTTAGTGAAATTGCACAAGAATTAACAAGTGTATAACCTATGAGCTAACATACCACGGTTAATGCCGGCCACTGACATTACTGACATGACTGTTTGGGCGCATGTGAAGGGCCGCCAAACATTCATTCGGAAACCTAGCAGCTGTGCAAATGGGTTCGGTACTCAATTTGCGAACCCGTTTGCGCTTCCTCCCACACTTGTTTACGAATGTCTCACGAATTTCTCCTCCTTTTTAATCCGTCAATAGAACATTGAAGAGAAAAAGAGTTTTGAATTCTTTCCCACACATCATTAACAGCCATGCTGTTTTTATGGGATTTCTTTTGATGATTGAATGAATTGATGATGACGAACTTTGAAAATGGCGATACGTCCGTTACCTTCGCAATCGTTGGCGCAACTGGGAAAATGAATGTGTGTATTGATTGATTATTATTTGAGTATACTCTGCACGTTTAAAAAAATCATCCAAAACCTCTTGCTATTTTTTGCCTCTCTTCTGCTGCTGCTGACAACATCAGAAGGACTCCCATTTTTGGCGTTTTGATAAAACATCTGGCATTTTCAATAAATTAAAACCCTCTCATTTAATTCGTTCGATTTATTCTGTTCGCGCTTGATAGATCCAGCACCGCGGCCTTGAGCTGACGTACAGCCGTGATGGATCGTGAATAAAGCGCTTTAATTAGCAATAAACCAATTGACACACCAACAAAAACCATATGATTTGCACAGGAAATATTATAGATAACACACGGAAGCAGAATATTCTCTAATTTATTAATTTTTTGGGTTTTTATGACCTGGTATTTACAAACTTAATTTGGCCCCCTTTTTTTTATTTTCGGATATATATTTTTTCATTATTTGTTCGTTAATGTTCGAATGTAAAAATTGTTTGTTCGTCTTTAATTTATTTATAATTAATTAAACAAATGATCATTCTTAAGTTGGCTCCCCTTCTTTATTTTTATCGTTCATATTAATCAATTTTGATCAATTATCGTTTGTTCGATGACTATTGGTGACTGTTCGATCATAAAAACAATTAAGTTCCCAATTATTAATTATTTTATATCTATTAAGCAAACCATTACCTCACGCCTACATTGCGAATGCGCTGGTTTTGTTAATCAGCTGGCAATGTTTTGTTAATCAGCTGGCAATGGCCGTGGGGTAGCAAGGGGGCGTGTAAATAGCCCTCCTGCGGCGGGAGCATATAAAGCGGGGTTGTAGAAAGGCGTGTAAATAGCCGTCCTAAGCGGTGTGTGACAAATGTTTGTCACTTATAATTAGCGGAGCGGTAAAACTATATAGCGGTAAACAAAAGCTAGTAATCAAACTAAAGATATAAATTAAATACACATAAGCGAGCGGGCGGGCGAATGATTACACGGAAGCAGTAATAAAATGGCAATAAATTAAAAGAACTTGCACTCACCTGTAGACCTTGCCAGTGACTGTCGTGCGGGTTTCGGCGATGGAAGCACGCGGGCGGCGGGAGGGGGGCGAAGCTCACGTAGCTCTTCGTAAGCACAAGCACTACGGTACATGTGCCGCCATCTAGGCAGCTAGCGGTGAAGCGTTATCGATCGGGAGCTAACACCACGCTTTGGATTAAATTACGCTCGCGGTAATTAGTAACTGACAAACTCCAAAGGTGGCGCCATTCCAATAATTCATTACGCATCCTATTACTAAATCCGCGCGCAACCAGGCCGTATTTACTAGCGTTTTGTTAACAAGTGCGTTTATGCTGTCTAATTATTTCTTATGTAGATCAAAAAAATATTAAAATTGTTTGTTCGTCTTTTTCTAGATACTTCTCGATAATAATAATTAAGTTAATATAGACGTAAATATTTTTTTTTAAATAAGATCCTGTTGATAGGGTATATTTAGACTAAGTTTATTCTTCCATATTAAATTAATTTCTACTAAATGTCCCTGCAATATGTTTCTTGAACTTATAAATAATTATCATTTCAACAAAAACAGATTTTGTGTGCATTAAATTTACATTTTTTGAACTACGTAATGAATTTGGAATTATTAATTGTATTATAAAATAAAAGTATCATAACTATCTCCTATTGCATGGTAATGAATAGTATGATTTTAACACGAAAGTTGTATTCCTAAAATACTCTTAGAATAATCAGAAATTACTGAAACTTCTGTATGCTTGTTAATATTCAATATCATTAAAAATAACTGAATTTATTAAAACCGCGCTAATCGTACTTTAACGACTAATTGGCCGTCTTCACCGACATTTTTTTGTTAAAATCTTGTTGAAGTTTGTTGAAGTTTTCAATATTTTTTTGATCTACATAAGAAATAATTAGACAGCATAAACGCATTTGTTAACAAAACGCTAGTAAATACGGCCATTGCCAGCTGACTAACAAAACCAGCGCATTCGCAATGTAGGCGTGAGGTGATGGTTTACTTATTAGATATAAAATAATTAATAATTGGGAACTTAATTATTTTTATGATCGAACTATCACCAATAGTCGTCGAACAAACGATAATTGATCAAAATTGATTAATATGAACGATAAAAATAAAGAAAGGGAGCCAACTTAAGAGTGATCATTTGTTTAATTAATTATAAATAAATAAAAGACAAACAAACAATTTTTACATTCGAAAATTAACGAACAAACAACGAACAAATAATTAAAAATAAAAAAATCCGAAAATCAAAAAAAGGGGGGCCAAATTCAGTGAGCCTTTAGGTCAAAGTATTCTCTAAATTGCCAAAGCATACATAAGACATAATGACATTGGTAGTTTTCCAATTAAAGCACAAGAGCGCATTATGCGGCATAATGTTCAACGTTGAATGTTCCAACTACAGCAACGCTTCGCACTATCGAGCACTCTCAAAAGTACTGCTCTCACGTGATACTCGCAATCGATACCGACTCAGTGACAGAAAATTGACAAGTGTTTTTTCTTTAAGTTGGCATTGATCGAAATTTTGTTTATATNCATTGGTAGTTTTCCAATTAAAGCACAAGAGCGCATTATGCGGCATAATGTTCAACGTTGAATGTTCCAACTACAGCAACGCTTCGCACTATCGAGCACTCTCAAAAGTACTGCTCTCACGTGATACTCGCAATCGATACCGACTCAGTGACAGAAAATTGACAAGTGTTTTTTCTTTAAGTTGGCATTGATCGAAATTTTGTTTATATTATCGTTAGTAATATTATTTAATGTTGAAAAAAATTGTAAGGCTTTCGTTTCGTCGTAGTTTCTTAGAAATAATAAATGTTAATTAAAACTGTGCTAGCTTAGCGCACTCTGCTGATGCATTTGAAAACTAATTCACGTTCCAATTAAGCTTCAGCATAATTCGGCATTGTGCGTCACTGAGTCGCATTATGCTCTGTAATTAGAAAACTACCATTATGTGCCAGATTGAAGTAGGTAGATACCGTCACAGTAGTACCTTACATAGTTTTAGCCACTGAAGTAGGTATGAAACCTATATTATTTTAGAAATTATATAGAACAGACAAGGCTGTATGGGCTTAGATTCCCTTGCCTTTACTAATAAGGATAAATTGTACAAAAAAAAAGGTCTATACTCTATGCCACTCTATGGTTTTAACCAACAAATTTAAAAATAATTAAACCATAATTAATAAAATAAAATATTTGAGAAACTAAACAATTATGAACATACCTAAAAATTCTCCTTAAACAAGTAACTAACATAGGAAGAAGTTATTTAAAAAAATGTAAAACCTGAAACTTTACTGCAAAGCAAAAAAAACGAGAAAGTAATAGAAAAAAGGATAAAATAGAAATATATTAAAAAATCAGTCAAAATGAGTCTAATAAAATGTACGCAAATGAATTCTAGAATATTACTAAATATGTGTAAATACGATTCTCCTAGATTTTTAACTAGAGAATATTCTTACAAAACAATTAAAAGACCAGATCCAAGAACTCTGAAGATGCCGACGCCGGAATCTGCTCCGAATTTAATAGAAATAATAAAAGAAAAAATAAGATTAAATGGACCTATAACCGTTGCTGAATATATGCATATAGTAACTACTAATCCTACTGAAGGGTATTATATGAAAAAGGAAGTAATTGGGGAAGCTGGTGATTTCATAACTTCACCGGAAATCAGTCAGCTATTTGGTGAAATTTTAGGTATTTGGTTTTATGCTGAAACACAGAAAATGTGTGAAGCGAAACCACTACAGATAGTTGAACTTGGTCCAGGAAAAGCAACATTACTAATTGATATGTTGAGGGTAAATTGTTCTTCATTTTTATAATCAAGAATTGTACACACTCATTGCTGAATAATTGATAAATTGATTACATTTCCAGGTTCTCAATAAAATTGGCTATACATCACACGATTTAAGTATACACCTAGTAGAAATATCATCCACAATGCAATCTATTCAAGCTAACAGACTCTGTGTATCACATAGACCTGTAGAAATTGACATGCCACATAATCATGAGGTAATAAAAAAATTAAATTCACAAATTTTTTGGTTGACAGCTAGATATTTTAGTTTAGCTAATTTCACATAAGACAGTGTGTATGGCAGTCTACTATAGTACTCCTTACTATAAAATGCAAAAATGTATTTTGATTTGTATTTTACCCAAACGAGCATACCATCATTTAGGTAAATCAGAGGCAGCAACAGGTAAAAATTTGGAAAGTGAAGATGATTTAAGAATGGGCACTGCTACCATATATAAGTGATGAGAATATAGTAGCAGTAGCTTGAGTTGGTTGGGGCTTTCTACTCTGCCCTGACAACCTATTGGTTGGGTGCCCTTAGCGTAGCACTCCAAGTCTGAGCTTTGTACTTGTATACTCCGATAAAAAAAGACTATTAGAATTATACAATTTTATAACCTGAAATATGGCTGTATTATAAAATGTCCTCTTTGTATTTTCAGGGTGAAACACTCAGTGGTATCAAAGTATATTGGTATAATGATTTAAAGAAAGTACCACAAAACTTCTCATGGTATGTTGCACATGAATTTTTTGATGTCCTCCCCATACACAAGTTTGAAGTAAGTAACTTAGAATTTTTTTGATTTCAATCCAAGTTATAAATTGCCACCTTATAAAATATCAAAAATCTAATTTATTTCAGTTACATTATCATTAATAAGTTAAATGTCAATGTATATTAATTCTGTCATTTAGAGAGTATAATCAACTCAACAGAAGACAAGGTTTTAAGGTTATTGGTTCAGTATATATAAACTCTAGTACCCACTAAGGATCAAACAGGTTGACTTACTGAGTCCATCTGTATATGTTCATACCTACATATTTCTTATCAGCTTTAGTCTCATTTGCACACTCCCAGCCCTTGCATAGCTGGAATAGCCCCTTAGACTACCAGCGATTGATGCATATTGCATTATTAAGCCAAATAACATGACTATAACATACTGTAATAACATGACATATAGACAATCATCAATTGTACATCATTTCCATTCTCAGAAAACAGAAAAAGGTTGGAGAGAGCTTCTCATTGACATTGATGACACTGGAAAGCTGCTATACAGGTTGTCAGGTAATGAGACTCAGGCCGTGAAGATGCTTATTCGGCCGCCCTTGGACTCTGGCGACAGAACCGAGTTAGAAATCAGTGCAAGAAGCTTGGGTGTAGCACGACAACTGGCTAAAAGGGTGGATGAGTATGGTGGTTTAGCGCTCATTGCTGATTATGGACATGAGGGTGAAAAGGGGGATACCTTTAGGGTTTGTATGTTTTTTAAAGTAAATTAAGCTAATTTTAATAATTCTCTAACTTCGTTATGAAGTTATTTGAAGTGATTTCTATTCGACCTTGAACAACTGCACTCATTCAAAGTACATTCAGAGTTAGTTTTTTCCAAATAAATTTCAGCTGTAAAATTAACTTCATTCAGTTGTATCTTGACCTCTACAACATACCCAGTTTCAAACTAAGTTTGAAAATATTGCTCAGTGATAGGTAGCTACTTGGCTGTGTCCCTATCATTGGCTGAAGTTGATAAGCAACAGTAGGATTTATCTCTGCCTTTGTACAACTCACAGACATCACTTAATGAATGTCACCACCCACCTTGATTTCTGTGGTGGAATTCACAATAACATTTCATAATTGCCACCCCACCCTTTAAATATGACAATCTGTTCATTTTATTTAATGCATTTAACTTTTCACCTAAAAGTCATGTCTCCAATATTACTATATGAAAAAAATACATCTGTTAATGTCAGGACGTGACATTTACAATATTTTTTTCTTTTCATAAATTATTTTATACGTTTATTTTTTGGTAAAAAATTCATTCATTCTAAATTCAAATCAATTGGGAATCGACCTGGTGAGACATGGCTATTTGAATTCCAGGTCTCATTCACAACAAGCCCAAAGTTCGTTCAATGTACAGTTTTATTACAAACTCACTAAAGGCATTTAATTCCTAAACTTCATATTACAGGCTTTTCAAAAGCATCAAATTGTAGATCCTCTTGAAACCCCAGGCAAGAGTGACTTGACTGCAGACGTTGACTTCTCACAACTTCGTATAGCCGCTTCAAAGAATCCTGGTGAAGAGAACTATGCACTAGTTGTTGGACCAGTAAAGCAAAAAGATTTTTTAGAACAATGCCAAGGGGAATTAAGGCTGCAGGTCGGTTCAAATAGACAAAATATCATAGCCGGGCACCGTTAATCAAATACTTAACTTCGTTAATTGTCAATCCGATACAAAAAAAGTTACCTTCGTTAAACGTTAGTGTTACATTTCGGAAGAATTAACGCAAGTTAACGTTAATCGTTAATCCATTAACATGTGTGAAATTGCATCTTTATATCGTTGCGTCAACGAACTTATATAAGAAATAAACCATTGTACTTTTTGACGAAGCATGTTGCTGATAACTCTATTTCTGTAATCTGACGAAGCATGATGTGGATAATAACTTGTTGGTTTATGTTCAGGAAGTTAACAGATTAAGAACAAAACAAAAACTTGTATAATTCAAATGTGTAATTTAATCGCCGGGCATAAGGTGCATATTCCCCTTCATGAACATTAACATGTTGAAGTTCTCGTCTGCAAGCGAGGCTCGTTTTGGTGTTAAAATGTCTTTACCCGTGGAAAAAAGACATTCAACTGCAGCGCTTGAGGGCATAGTAGTATTGTATTTAATGAATAGATTTAATCCGCAGATTGAATATCTGTTCCCCGCGGAATGCAGCATCGTTGATCGGCAAAATATATCTAGTTTCGTTTTTTTTTTCACTCTTTGACACGCGCCGCCCGGCCCTTGTCGATGCCGTGCGGTAACTATTCGGCATTTGATTAACGATTAACGGACTTCTGCATATTAACGGAAGTTAACGTGTCCATTAACATTTTTAAAAGTTAACTTAAAAGTTAATCGGTTAATCAAAATGTTAAGTTCGTTAATTAACGAATAACGAGTTAATGCCCGGCTATGCAAAATTTAAACTTATTCTTTATAACTAGAAGTCGTCTATAGTTTTTATACTCATGATTTTATTTGTTTTCTACACTATTTGGCAATATTATCATTATATTGTTCATATTCATATATTTATAAATGTAATCTTTTTTCAAGCAATAAGTACATTCGGTACGGTTAATTCTTTCCTGAAAAGATTATAATTGTCCATCTGATGGTTGTTTGGAAGAGATCGTTTTTAACGATAAGACCGCCTATGGCACTTTTGTATTTAATGTTTTGCATTTGTGTTTATTTTGGTGTACAATAAAGCTTAGTATATCAGTTGTTCGGTTTCAGGTTCTTATTGACGCAGCAAAAAAAGATGAAGACAAAGAAAAGATAAAAAGCGCTTACGAAATGCTAGTCGATCCAAACAAAATGGGAGAAAGATTTAAATTTATGGCATTCTATCCTTCGACTATGGCGTCAATTCTCGCAAAGTACCCACCCCTAGGTTTTTCAAATCTAAAACCATAGCCATTTAAAATAAAATTAATGAAATAACAAATAAAAGTGTTGTTTTTTTTTTCAATTCTTGGCTTTCACTCGCGCAGTCCATATTGTCAGCACAAAATCTACCAGAGCACATTTATGCCTTGAACCAAGAATTTATCACCTTTGCAAAGAAATTACTCCTAACTGGTTAGACGTGCATATAATCCACCTGGTATCAAATATTCTACATATTATTACTAATATTCCACATATTTGATACCAGTTGAATGCACCATGCTTAGGTGGGTCGACAACCTCACAGCCCACCCGATGTTAAATGGTTACAGAAGCCCATAGACATCAACGTAAATGCTGCCACCCACCTTGAGATAATAGTTCTAAAGTCTCGGTTTTTACAGTACAACGGTTGCCCCGCATTACTGCTTCATAGCAGAAATAAGCAGAGTGGTGTGGTACCTACTCGTGCGGACTCGTAAGATATCCTACCACCAGTAATTATGCAAATTATAATTTTGTGAGTTTGATTTTTTATGTTTTTCCTTCATCGTGGAAGTCAATCAAGAACGTTTGTTAAGTACGTATTTCATCAAAAAAATTGGTACCCGCCTGCGGGATTCGAACACCGTAGCATCGCTACGTACGAATGCACCGGACGCCTCATCCTTTAGGCAACGATGACTTCAAAACTCACGGCTCACCTGGTGTTAAGAGGTAACTGGAACCCATAGACATATGCAACGTAAATGCCGCCTCCTACCTTGACCACTTACGTTATCTTTCCACTGTCAGCATTATTTTAGCAAATATCCGTTCATCTATTCTTTTTGTTGCTTAGATGAGTTAGTGAGAAACTTTTTTCTGTTGCTTAGATGAGTGGACTAGCTCACAGCCCACCTGGTGTTAAGTGGTTACTGGAGCCCATAGACATCTACAGCGTAAATGCGCCACCCACCTTGAGATATAGGTTCTAAGATCTCAAGTATAGTTACAACGGCTGCCCACTCTTCCAACCGAAACGCATTACTGCTTAACGGCAGAAATAGGCAGGGTGGTGGTACCAACCCGTGCGGACTCTTAGGAGGTCCTACCACCAGTAAAAACATCATAAAAGTTGTAGATTTTGTGCACAAATTATTAAAAAAGAAAGATATATTTGAGCTTACTAAATTAATGACACGAAAAGTATATATTACCGAATTACCGTAAAATAAGCTAAAATTGAAAATGTAGCAACATTAAGCGTTTCTGAATTTATGGATAATTTACAATAGAGGACAGGAGCACGAGTTTCTGCAGAATCGAGTGATGTTATACGGCGCTACTGTAGCAAAATTCTTAATTTTGAAAGTATTTGTCAAATATTATAAGCATTTTTTTTAATTAGATTTTTTACCTTTTTAAGTTATGAATCTACTCGGAAGATTTCATATCTGCGCAGGATATTTGGATCACTGTGTTTTGTATAGAATATTTCAAATAGATTCCTCAAACAACTCTACAAAGAATAAAGTCCTAAAGTACATTTCGTTTTTTGACAAAATATTATTCAAATTTAATATCTTCATAAAATTTGTTCGTAAGTTCTTTAAAATGTATGTCACAAATTTAAAGAAATCTAGATAGATCTAGGTCTTCTGCCAAAAACCTGTTCTTGGGGAAGAGACTTATGAGAAATTTAAATAAACTACTCAAACAAATGAGCTTCTCTTTTGATTACAGAGTACCTTATTTTATGCACTTCAAGAAGGCCTAGTTTGGACCTCGATCAAATTTTTCAATATCTACCGACTCAATGCTACTTTATGATATTTAGGGGATTTTTTTATTTTTACTTTTAACAAAGTAGCTTAAACTATGTACAGTTTTGTTGAAGCTTGTTTGATTGCCCTTCAAATTTAGATTGGTGCACCAAATACTTAAAATCGGCGATTACAACAATTTTTGCAGTGACTTAAAAAATCTGTCAGTTTTTACGAAGTAGTATCGATTTTTCGTTTCAAAAAATTTATCTATTTCATGTTTTGATATAAGTTTTAAGAAAATTAATTTCTCCTATAGAATATTAAAAATAATATGAATATTATGCTAGATTTCATATATTTACATTCAAAGGAGTTTTAAAGACCGAGTTGATATCATCTTTAACTTCCTATGACTGCACAGTGCACCCCTATTCCCTAAGTATATCTGTTTCTTTGAGTGTTGGACATTTTTTGTTTTTATTTCTCGTGAAAAAGAAAAATGGTATTCGGTCATTTTAATATAGATTTTGTGATTTCGTATTAAATATTCAATAGTTTGTTGTATTTATCATTAATCTGTGAACAAGAATGTTTTTATAGAGATCATTGCAGTTCGATGTGCTGTGATGAAATGTCAAAATTTTCGTGGATTAGTGCCAGAGAAAATTCGATTTCATGAAAAATTGTGAATTAGACATAATCACGCATTACGACAAATTACAATTTTTTTTCTAGTGTTTTAATTCTATTTACCTAATAGTGCAACATTTATGTTTGATGATTGTGCACATTTCACACTGAAGGTAATTTAATTTCTTTTGTTGTGTGCTATTGTTAATAAAAGTTGTGGAAGCAGTGGGTCTTGTAAAGCTATTTTCAAATTTGACGATCAGTTTTATAAAATATTGTTTGTATTTACATTTGTATACGTATTTAAATAAAAGAGATCACATATTAATCGAATATCCTAAACACAAGCATTTTGCAGTGTTTTTGATTGATGCGGTAATAATATTCTAGCAGTTTCTAATCCAGCGGATTAAACTAGACATATGGAGTTAGTTGACTATATTCATTTTGCATTTTAATTGAATACCTCAGTATAATACTGACAATCCGTTTTTTTTTGTATATTAAATTAAAATGTCAATTACTGTTTAATATTAGCCAGTCATTCAATAAACATATATAAAGATCTGGGGCTTGATTCATTAGAATTTGTCTTTCTTACTGACTTTGTTGCCAGCCCATTGCTGGACATAGTTTTTCACCAAGGTTCACTGTAATGACTGGTCCTGTGTTACTTCCATCTAACACACTTCCGTGACCTTCAATAGGTGGGTCCAAATTGGGAGACCTAGCCACACTGAGGATTCACATATGTGGTTGCTTGAAAACGTGGTTCTCTGTTCATGTTGAACTGTACCACATTGCTTGTTAGTAATGTATTCTTCTCTCTAATATAATAAACTCGCAATCCTCAGACCGTATCTGTTACTGTGGTTCTCCTGTGAGTCCCCACATTCTTAATTTGATCTTCTAGCACAGGTCACTCTATTGACATTTTGGGTAATTTTGATCATTCTTATATAAATCATTTTGTGTGACCACATCCCTATCCAAACTGCCATTAATAATAAGAAATTAAGACAAAAACATATGTTGTCATTTTTATTATATTATTATATTAAAAAAATCGGGAATTTGCCCTTAGCATTTAAGGACTAGTTTGGAATTACAAACTTGTATACCTTTAATGATTAATTTCGATTTAGTATCCAGATGTATTATAGTACTTATTTATGTAATAATAATAATAATAATAATTTACTTATTTCTCTCTTAAATATCAACAGAAATTAACCTTATAATTTATTTCGTAGGCCTTTAAATGATAATTATTAAAGAATACACTCAGTATTAAAATCCCACAGGCATGAGTCAATTTTTGAATGGAAATATTAAAAAATTACTTCCACAATGCAGGAATAACATTATCCAATAAAAATCAAATAGAAAATTCCAAATTTACATAAATACTGTGGGTAAGGCCTAATAGTTAACCTATCCTATGTATTTTTTTCTTGAAGCAATGGATTCTGGTGCCATAAGTAGTAGATAACTATAAAATACAATTGAATACTATAACTTTATATATCAAGATGTGGATAGCATTCATATTTTTAACCACTTAACATGAGGTAAGCTGTGATTGCCTTGAGGAATTGTTGTTTGAGATGATTCAGTCATCTCCTTTTTACCATGGTCCTGTCTGCCACTGAAGTAGAGTTCATCCATACTATTTCGAACAGTGGTTTAACAGTGGCGGAACACAGCTTGTATTCCCAGGGCCTTTCTTGCGTTGTACCACTTGGCTTTGGAATTAATTTCCCTTGATTGTGTACTCTGACTGTTATGACATGTTCTTCAAATGAGGCTAGGGGCGAGTAGTTAGCGACTTGGCTGTGCCCTTGGCAAAACTGACATTCATCAGCGACAATACTGACACAAAAGCAATAACTTTGACTTCAAAACCTAATAAAAAAAGCTTATTCACTGATCCATGCAATAAGCAAAAAATAGGCTAATGCTGGATAAGTACAGTCTGAGCATCATGATAGTAACATTATTAACAAACTGCTAACTGTTAAATTCTAACTAGAAATCATCAAACTGATTTAGATGAGCTTTAGAAAACTAGAGAACAATTTTAATTATTATGTCTACATAATCACTGATCTTTAATCCACTGACACTATTTACACATACGGAAGTGTGTAAGATGGACATTGATTCCGACAAGTATGTTACCAAATATATTAAGGATACTTTCTCATACAAAAAATCATTTTGATGTAATTGGAAAATGTTTTATAACATTGTTAATAATAGAGAAGCTGTAGCCTTATAGATAAGATGCTTAATGTACTCTTATCAAGTGTTACAATTATGCCAGAGTAACCAACTTTCACCAGTACATAAATGTGAAGTAAGTGAATTGAGTTAGGAATTATTGAATTAATGGCTGTGGCCAAAAAAAGAAATGAGGATGGCCGGATGGTACTGAAGTAGTGATAAAGCCAAATAAAGCTGGGGTTTCTCACATGTATTTTTTGGAAATTAGCCAGACACAGTTATCAGTAAAACCCTCGAACACGGATCTGCTCAATTAACCAAAGTCATCGTGGGCCAAGGGATAAGACGTTCGGTGCATTCGTATGTAGCGATGCACCAGTGTTCGAATCCCGCAGGAGGGTACCAATTTTTCTAATGAAATACATACTTAACAAATGCTCACGATTG